GACCTCTTTGAGTTCATAGGACACATAGATGGAAGGACAGCTAGTGGGCAAGCACAAAATCAATGCGTTTTTCTTTCTGCGCGAACGAGTATAAAAAGAAAGAATGCTCAAAGTTCGACTGCGCTGCGATCTTTGCTTTTGAGCACACAAACTTTCACCTATATATGTATACACTTTGCACATGAGCACGCACACACCACGCGTTTGTAGTCAGCTGAAAATAATTTGCGAGCTTGAATCTCCACAATCAAATAGTAGTTTTGCTGCTGTTAAATATATTTGATTTAAGAACCGTCGGATCTACGTTTTTACATGTTTTCCACAGCTTGTATCGAGCATAAAAAGTAAAAGAAGGTCTAAAATGAAAAGCCTAGGACCAAGCCCAAGGACCCAAGATACTACACTGCTGAAGTTGGACACACATTTCGATCGCCATTTGGGTTCTTTGAATAGAAACGCATTTTTATAGTATTTTGAAACAGATTTGCGTAATTTGTGATTATAATAAATCAATTGGACCACATTAAAGCTCAGCCAGCCTTTTGCCAGCCTTTTGATAGTAATTCAGTTTTATATGAAATACGAATAAACTTGCATAAAGAGACTTGCATAAATCACCGTTATTTAGACGAATATACCTAAGAATAAATACAACATTTGGAGGCTCTAGCTTTTAAGATGTACGAGATATAATTTAATAACTGCATTTTGATCATGTTTTGATCATGATCATATAAAAATAAAACAGGAAAAGTTATCGACTATTTAAAGGAAACTTGATATGCTCGTGCTATACAGGGACCTACAAGTCTCTAAGCCTGATAACTGCTGAGATTGAAGTGTTCACACAGACCGACAGACAGACGGACAGAGCTTAAGCGACTCAGCTTGTCGTCCTGATCAAGAATATGTGTACTTTATGGGGTCTGCCACGCCCTCTCTGCCTGTTATATATATTTTCACAAAACCATTTCAATGGGTTCAGGGTATAAAAATAGTCGTCAGGTCCGGAAACTTGAGTTAGTAATTGCAATTAAAACTGGAAGAAGTTTTTTCTTCAACTTTTGAGCTAGAATCAGAGATTATAGCTCAATGGCCCGCCCATTGGGGTGTGGCGCTGGGCGAAAATAATGCAGTCTGGCGACCACGAGTGTAACTCTCTAAGCTGAACTATTTTTTGTACCGGTCGAAATTGAAATATTTTTTTGTTTTTCTCTTTGGGAGTGCTCCTTCCGCAGCCTATGTGGAAACATACATATGAATTGAGTGTCTCGTGGCAGGCGTATCCCTTCGTTGCCTTCGACCTTAGGCTTTGGTTGTTTGTTTGGCCCTGGGCTGGCTACGCTTGCTCTGAAGTAATGTAGTAAGTAGTAAGGCAGTACGTTCTTATCGCTTACTCGCAAGACTACACTCTGGACGCACCGGCCATATCAGGGGGTCGCATGCTGCTCAGCCGACATCAACAACAAACAATAAATACAACAACAAGTGGAAGTTAAGAACTGGTAAAGGAGCGATGCAAAATGACGTAACAATTTACGGTAATCGATTTGTAATCTTAGTCGTAATCGTATGCTCGCACGACGTTCCCTTTGCCACGCCCATAACCACGCTGCTGCGCCAGCACTAGCAAATGTCCCAACTTCGAAGTAATAAAAAATCGACACAAACAAATCTCAAATCTCATATCTTAATGCTCCCTCACTGAACGTCCGTACATCCGTCCATCCGCCCATCCTTCCATGTGCTCGCTGAAGTTTAAATATTGTATCATATATATATATATATATATATATATATATTTAAATATATATTATATATATTTTATATATATGGTTATGCCGTTAATAGTTACAAGTGACACGGATTGATCCGCTGAATGAGCCCAAAGTGGAAATGAACAGCAAAAAAGAGTATTGCGCAGTCGGCTATCCTTCGTAGTCGACACTATTAAAGTTGTATTTGATATCAAAAGGGCATCCGAAGTCGAAAGAGACACATCTACATCATATGAAATGGAAATTGAAAGAGGTCCAGCTCTTGCCCTTTTATGATAACATTCAATTCGTGTGACTGGAGAGACTAGAGTTTATTGGTTTATGCATGTCAATAGTCCAGATAGATTGCGTATCTAGATGCAAAGTGCGCTTATTAAAACTTATTGGTGCGTACCAAACAGTCAACATAACAGGCGGCGGATCCGGCTCAGACTCAGACTCAGACTCAGACGCAGACTCAGACGCAGACTCAGTGCTCATCCTCCCTTAGTAGAAAACTTTCGCATCAACGCTGTTCCACATGGCACGTGGCACAACCGAGTCTTGATGATCCGCAGGACGGGCACAATTTCCTGCTGAGAGCCTTACTTTCATGTGTCCTTTATATGAATTGGAATTATACTTATATTGCTCCGTTGCGTGCGAGCTTCGTTTTCTTGTTATCTCCGTTAATATGCGAATGAACGCCGAATGATAAAAGCATGCGCATATTTCAGATCTAATCGCAACAAATTAAAATTCTTAGTTTCATTACAAAGGGTGCTTCCCAAACGATGCTAAAGACAAGGGGTTGACTGGGCGCTTTCCTGCACTCCTGATTGTTTGTTCTTATTCAATTTGATGATGATTTAGTAACCAAGAATCAGGCAATCCTCTTCTTAGGTGCTCACTCCTGTTGTCCTCTGCGATTTCTAGAAGCCCTTGGGCTAACAGATCACTGCTTGTACTATTTTGGAATATATAAATGTATAAATATAATATTGTATATAGTAATAGTTATACTGGCAGGACTAATCTAATGTTATATATATATATATATATATATATATAAACATATATATATATATATATATATATATATATATATATATATATATAAACATATATATATATATATATATATATATATATATATATATATATATATATATAATAAATTATATATGTATAAATAACGTTTAATATATTCTTTATATTTTCTGAATAAACTTTTATTTTATTCATTTTACTACAACATTCATATTCAGCGTTATATATACTTTATATATATAGTTGAACCACTTTTTGGTCTACGACTACTTATTTTATTATACTTTAGCATTTGATCATTTATAGTCTGCGTATTTTTGATTTAGCCGCACGATCGATAGTTTTGCTTTAAATAAATATATAATAATAAATAAGTTTTGTAATGTATCTTTAATTACAACTAATAGGAAAATTTACAATGAGAGTACAAGTATATTCAGAATATTTAACTTCTTCAATGGGTCTTCAATGGGTTTATTTGATATATGTTGATGCTTGTTAGTTCAATTCCTTTATTGTGTACCTTAATATGCAAAGAAATATTTTGCAATGTCACGCTCCGACGGCTTTTAAAAGTGGAGTATTCCAGATTGATTCAGCATGATAGATTTTTAGATTCTGAAAAGAAAATTAGTGAAAGTTTGTCAAATGAGTATCTTTAAACACTCTTCCTTAGTAATCTTTTTTTCACTATAAGTTGCAGCGGTTGTATTGAACTTTGAGTTACCTATTTTGGTGTCATGGAATAAATGAGAAAGCCTAAATCAGAAAAGAAATCAGTTTTTGTCCACAAGAAAGTGTCAATACTATGGGATTAAACAAACTCGTCGTTAGTAACAATTTTCTTAAGCATTTTGTAAACATTTTATACAAACATGTAAATGTGCATCGTTTGCTGTTCAAGGTATATACAGACATGTATAGCTATCTCGCTCTAACGCCGACACTCGGGCAAGCGATGCGTACGTCAGTAAAAGCAGGACAAACGTGCATGTATGTGGGTGTGTCCTCGTCCGCGTCCGTCCTTGTCGTCATTTTGAAAACAACCACGCGCCCACGCCCAGAAACAGGAACATAATCAAAATCAGGAACAGGAACAGTCTCCTAGCGCTCCATGCCGCCCATTCGTTCGTATTCACGTTCATCCTGTGTTTCTGTTTTTGTGTTTGTCGAAACGGAAGCCATGTGGGTAGTTAACGGAACAGTCTAGCGGTTATTGTATCGGAATGAAACAATTCAATTGGGCGGCTGCAACTTACTCGCCCGTTCATTCGGGTAATTCAAATAGAATTCCAGTTTCCCAATCCAACAAGCAGACATGTATACTCATGTACATTCTTATATATATACGTATACATACTATATATAAATATATATATTAATATACATATATATATATATATATATATATATATATATATATATATATATATAATATATATAATATATATATATATATATATATATATATATATATATATATATAATATATATATGTATATAGTACGAAATTTATGTATTTATGCATATGATTCAGCGAGCCTTCAACTGTTCGTATCTGCACATACATACCTAAGTATTTATATATATATATGGACCTCATACACAACATATTATGTAAAAGACTATTTCAATGACAAAGTAAGTCAATAAATGCAAAATTCTTTAACTGTTAATACTTGTAAGTTTGTACATTGAAAATTGCTTATTATTTGTGGCATGGTCAAATCAATTTAATTTTAAATTTAAAACTAAAACTTACAGAAACAAATATTCAATAAACAAAAATATTTTTGCCTCATATAACAAGCATTTGATTACCCTTTTAAATTTTTGGCGCAACAAGCATTGCAACTGTTTCCCAGGAAGGCCCGTATTAAGGCTCAGCAAGTGTTGCTGTACTGTGCATACAGCTAGCGTTTTCGATGCGTGCTAGAGAAGGACAGCTTGTAAACTGGCTGTCGACCAATCATTGAGCAGCGTACGACAATAGTGGAAATGGATAGTAAGTGGATGAGCCCCGTCAGCCAATCAGAGAGCCGCCTATTCACCACGCTTTAAATTAGCTCAGATGCTTGAGCTACACAAACAAATTGTGCAGCATGCGATAGTCATATTGGCATTTGCATTGGCACAGTTGCTCGCGCATTTACTGTAACTACGTGTGCCGGCGGCCCTCGATCATGAACTTAATATATGTGCATCGGTAACGGTTTCTCAACTCGGTGTATCTACTACTAGCTGAAGCTTGGCAGAGAGTGCTTCTACAAACAAGCATATTGTAATATAAATCTGTGTGTGCCGTTAAACTTATTCAAATAATCCTTTCGAATGGATGACGTGGAATATTTGCGAATAATGTGTGTGCGCATATACGGCTGTCCGAGATGGCATTAAACAGTGGCAACCCGACTACGTGATATTTCCCTCAAATTTAAAACAAATCTAGAGTGCACGAAAATGAGCAAGTGAACTAAAACAAAGGCGAATGTTCATATTACAAATAAAAACAAAGGATTTGCAAAAAGTAATGCAGTCTTCGCGCATTATAATACAAACATATATATGCATCCGTGCATCTAACAAACATAGAGCCCTTTAATACACAAAAATTATTACCATCTGTATAAATTCCATTGAGACCGACAAAGTCCTGTGGTGGTAGCGCTGTGTGAAACATTGCCGCCTGCAGTGAGCGCTGGCATTTACTTTTAATGTTCATTGTTGACACTCAAATGACGAGTAGTCCGTCTGCATCAGCTAAGATTTCCTAAATAAATACGACCAATTTGCATTTAAAGCTTAAAAGTCGAAATTAACATTAGCACCAACAGCAGCAACAAGAACAAGAGTTCTAATTTAACCCTAGGAATAGCTACGCGTCTCGCAAAAAAATGTTCACGCTTCAACCAACGCCTGCAGCCATTGGATCAGTGCCTTGGTCCACAGGAGCACTGATCGAACGACTCCCAACCTTGGAAGACATGAACCATAAGGGTATGCTGGCTATAATCCTTATCTGAATCTACAAATAATATAAAATATCCCAAATTATTATATGAGTTGCATTATCAAAAAATTATAATGTCCTGTTATTAAATAGGAATCAACTTAAAGTGCATAAACTGAGTTGAAGCATCAAAGCAAAATTATAAATCGCTATTTTAATTGAAAGCTTTTAGAATATAGAAATTCAATTGAAAATCATAGAAAAAAATATATAATAATACATATATGAAGTAAAGGTTCAAACTAGTCTTAAATATATTCCAAGGATAGTCTATACACATATTAAACCCAATACTGGATCGCCCTGAACGGAAGGACTGAAGGGTGTAGGCACGTCCATACTGTAGTCTAACAGGTTTACAGCTAAGTAAATTTCGTATTGCTCTACTTGACGAATTCTTGCAGAGCTGTATATTTAGGTACCTGGGTATTATTGGGGTATTATTTCCAAGACTTCAATGTGTGCTCCCAACTTTCATCAGGATTGATCGCCTAATCATATAAAATGAGTTTCAGTTTCTTTTCAATGGTAGATTTATTGTCTTCCATATGTTTTTAGGTGTTCCTTACGGTCCAGGGACTATATTAATATGAATCTGTAGCCTAAATAACTTTGACTTTTTCCATATCCAAAAAAACAGAAATATATGTTATAATCTAACGATTATTTGGGAGAGTCTCAACTGCAACAATTATATATATTAACTGACAAGATTTTCGAAATTTGAGTGAGTCTATCCTGGAGCGTTTGATTAACATTATATTCTATTATTCATTAAATTATTAGATTTCTCTATTGATGTTGCCAAAGGACGTAACAAAACAAAAAGCAAAAAAGCTAAAATGTAGCCCCGTCCTTCCGGCCATCCGCCTGACCGTATACATTGCATTGATCTTCTCACCTTTGTTTTAAATAATCGACATATTTTCTCGATTGCAAAAATCGATTAACTTTAGTTTTGAAATTAAATTCTGTATCTAGTTTGATCTACTGCTACTAATTGTGGTTCATTTTGTGTTCAATACAATCACACAATGAAAATTTTGCTGGGAACTCAACTTAAATGTTGAAACTGTGCAGTTTGTCAGCATCACAGCTTGGCGCATCACTTGCTGTTTAGTTGACGTCCGTTGAGTAGCACAGGTGTCAATTAAGGCATATTTGCCTTATCCATGGCCCACATAAGAATGCATCCAATGCAACTTAATTAGTTTTTACTTAAATGTAGTGGAAGAGGGGTAGAGGTGGTAGAGCTGTTAAGCTGCGGGGATTTTTTCAATGTTTAACTTACTTATTTATATAAATACATCTTAGATTTTTACATGGAGTGGTAAGCCTCAAGTATATCTAATCAATCCGTATCCAACTTCAACTCGCCAACGGCGAGAAATGGTTTACGTTCAAGCGGTCGGAACAAGTTTTCATGAGTTAGTTACGTTCGATAGAGAATATTCTAGAAGTTAAAATAGTGATGAAATATCTCAAGTAGATATATATACGCGATTGTCAACATATCAGGATACAACTCAGCTTTAAGGTGCCTCGATAAGTTCGCATATGTATTTAATTGTTATATTGATGTCCATTTAAGCATTGTATTTTGTGTATGCATGAGAGCTGCTGTGATTATTTTTCGTTTGCTTTGCTCTTTTTTCTTATAGACAATGTTCTTGCTATGAGAAATCTGCCCTGTTTGGGCGTGGCTAGTGGCAACGGACTGGGCGGTATTGGCGGAAAGGCTGCTGCAACAGCTGCGATGGAAGCTGCGGATGCAACTACAGCATCACAGCCCCCACACTCAACATCCTCGTACTTTACCACCACGTACTACCACTTAACAGATGATGAATGTATGTTTTTAGTATCATCTCAACTTTTTCAATCACCTTTCAGAACTAAGCCCATGTTTGTTTATAGCACAAGCAAACTCGATACGAAAGATCCAAGTCTTAGAAATAAATTCATCATAAATTTCTAACTTTGATACCTCAAGAACTTTACAAATCCATATCATTGATGTATATCACATCGCCATAGTATTGTGAAATAGTCTATCGATTCATACTGGAATAGATATAAATTAAGTAGTATCAGAAACATTTCGAAAAATGTATATCGCCAAATTGATCATAGCAAAGTTTGCCGAATAATTATTAGTGTGGTTGATCTGGTCGGGCGAACACGACTGGGAGAGCTTTGCAGTCAGCCCAGCTCTCTTGTACTATTAAGTAAATTATTTTCTAGGTAGTCAATCTTTCGATATTAAGTTTTTCATAAAAATTTTAATATTTTAAATTAGTTAGTCGTTGCGAGCAGTTGTTGCACAATGTCCGTTGGTCTGAGTGAACGCAAAGTGTTTTGACGGTGTTGCTACCCTTTTAAGGATCTTAAGATACGTCCCCAAGGATCGTGAACGGGTATTATGCAATCGGTGGTGCATGACTTACTTGATTTTTATATCGATTATTGGGAATGTCAGTTGATTGTTTTCTCCACGCGATTGTGAGCTCCACACGACCTAAGGAACTCCAAATTCTATCCATTATCTTTTAAATATTATTTATAATAATATATCATTTATGTATTACAAGAAGATTATTTGAAACGGACCAAAAATCTTATCTCTGTTTAACGATGTTCTCAAAATTTTGTTATAGTAATAATCTAATTTGGAGTAAAGAATCGAAAGGAGAAACTATTTTTGAAACGATTATTTTGAAGTTATTATCTGATCATGGCTTCTTCGTTTTTTGAATGGTGTAAAAAAGTTCAATCTTGAATTGCAGTCAGAAATTAAAAGTTAGTCAGTATGTCAACAAATCAATGTCAGCAACTTATTTGAATCACACAAATAAAGTGACAAAGTAAAAAGTATTACCTAGTACATACACAGCCACGTACCTAATTGAGTTATTTTGGTATTAGTACTACCCAGAGTGGAAAGAGCGCGCGGATCGCTTGCTGAACCGATTTGTGAAAATTATGTGGAATGTTTGCGATTCGGTGTGAAAATTGCGAGACATTGGTCTTCATTGATTTTTGCACTAATTGTTTGTTGGCATTGTGCTGTGAATGACTTGTTCAATAGATTTTGAAGCAGCATAAGCTGGCAATTATAGTCACACAATGGACCGAGAACAAAAAACCAGAGCCAAGCTGATCAGTGTGGATAATGGATAAGGGATATGAGAATAGAGAGAGAAAGAGAGAGAGAGAGAGAAAGAGAGATAGAGAGAAAGAGAGAGTGACAGAGAGAGAGAGAGAGAGACCCCGAGTTGTTGGTTTCTTTTAGTCCAAGTAAAGACGTTTATTGAGCTCATGAGGGGAATAGCTAGCGGCAAAGAACATATAACTGATGGAAGCTACTGTGCTCGTTTGACATGGTTCCCTCCCCGTTTTGCTTTTTGCGATCCTCATCCCCTTGTCCCCTTGTCACCTCCCTACCTGACAATCGCCGCCCCGCTATGCCGATAAGTACTTTTCGTTATGTCCGTGGCATTGTTTGTTTTATGAATCAATACAATCATTTTCCACCTATATAATAAAACTGAAGAGCGCTCTGTGTTCGAAGACCGTTTCGTGTCATGTCGTTACAAATGAAAACAATTATCGTGACGCTGAAATCCGAAGTCGAATGGAAAACAAACAAAGGCATCAGCATTTTCTGCTGTCTGTTCATTGTGCTCGTGCTTGGGCTGCTCGTGTCGAACCTCGACCGGACTACAGCACGCTCTTCCCTCTCAATACTGAGGCTATCTCGTTTTCGCACACATAACTACACACATTTCCACATTCACATTACACAAATGAGCCTCTTTAGCGGCTCGCTCATTGTACGATGTGTCCGAGGGGTTCCAAGTGGTAATTTTTTGCCCTTGTTATCGCCATGATATGGCCTAGGTCTGGATACCCGTGTACTGCGTTTAGTATTGAGGTCCGAACTGTATCCCAACTGATTTGTGTTGCAATTACATTGTTAATCCTATTTATGGCTAACATGTTTTTGAAAACTGCATATATAAATTTGTAGATACTGAAGACAACCTTCTTTGCCCTCGTATACAGATGTGATTACGTTACATTTTCCTATCAGCATCCCAGCCAAACAGCTGACAGCATCTCCATAAATAACACCTGCAAGGAGATTTGCTTACTAAATAATGCAATTTCTTAAATATAATTTCTTTAATCTCTATATATTCTTTAATCTCTATGTAGTTTGACCTACGAAATAATTACACTGTTTGTCTTAACATGGACATTTTGGAAATCGAATGATTTTTGTACGCGTGGGCAAAGCCCGATGAGAAAGTGCACTGCAGTCGGTTCCGATGGATTACTGTTGAGTTGGGTCTTGATAAGATGGCGAAAAGCAGGAAGATAATTTAACAGCGAGCACTGTTATCACTGCAATCTGTTATCTATTCAATTTACTGACGATGGCACTTTAACGCTTAGCTGCTCAACTGGCGCAAAGGGTCGTCAAATGATAGAGTCGGGTTAGTCTTTCATAGTGCTTTGACCCTCGTCTCGAGGCATTCGGTAATGGGGCAGGGCTAGCAGGCAAGTTGCCGCATCGCTGAGCTCAATAAAGCATCAAATTGATACGCAGATTTGGGATTATCTGCCAAGCAATACTAGGAAAAATATTTGAAATCCATGCTCGACTTGACGAGTGCTTTTTTCTCATTTGGTTGACCAGCTGATTTGATTATCTATTTTTTATCGTGTTTTCGTTTGAGATTTTTATTTTTTACTTTTCCTTCTTTTTGTCAAAGAAAGAGAGCCCCTTAATCACAGCCAAATTGAATTGTTACCAAACAAGAATTTTTTTCCCATACATCTTGACAGGTAAGAGCATACCAAAACTTTTTTTCTGATACGATTGACGGTGAATCCCGTTTAAGTAAAGTAGCAACATAGCGAAAAAGAGACAGAGAGGTTGGAGAGAGAGGTAGAAGTGGGTGGAGGCAGAGCACCTGACGTGACAAATAGCAAAAATACACGATCTTCACCTCTTTAAGTCTTCTCAAATCCGGTAATATTGGTACTTCAATCAAAATAAATAAATGTTAATATTTTCTTTTTTGTTGACATTTGATACTCGAAGACGAATTAGCATTTTTATCAAATTTGGTCAAAACGCTACGAATCAAATTTGTTTGAAGTTTTAGTTGCCATTAACTTAACAAGTTAATTAATAACAAATATTGGCTAAAAACATTGTATATTTCAGGTCACAGTGGAGTAAATCAATTGGGTGGGGTCTTTGTTGGAGGAAGGCCATTACCCGACTCGACTCGCCAGAAAATCGTGGAGCTCGCCCACTCCGGAGCTCGCCCATGTGATATTTCTCGAATCCTGCAAGTTTCCAACGGATGTGTTAGCAAAATTTTAGGCAGGTAAGTACTAAATACTCTTATTTATATATTATATCAAATACTTATATGAGGCCTTATCATTTTAAATTCACATTTCAAATATCAATTTGCTTTAATGCTTGAAAGTATAAATTCAAAACTTATTTTACATGTCGATATGTATAAGAAATCGGCATGGCTTTCCTCCTATCACCTTCGAGACATGTTTACAATTCAAATTAGAAGAGTGAACACAATAAGCAATTAGAAATGGCCAACTATTCAATTTTCCACATTTAAGTTCATTTATTATTATATTAGATACTAAATTTATATTTGAAGCATATTTTTAAATTCCCAATGTCAATGTCATTAATTTATTATTGTATTAGATACTATACTTATATTTAAAGTAATTATTTATCTGTGCCAGTCATTTTACTTTTCAAAGAGTCAGATAGGAATTATCAATTGAGATTGTACGCTAATATTGAAGCTGATAATGCAAGCAGTATTTAATCGCAATAATCGATAGGCAAAATGTGTGCTTTTGCACAAAACGTTTTGTTTAATAGCTTCTGTTTTACTTAATGGATTTTAATTTTTATTTAATGATATTATCAGCATATGATCTACATATTCAATTGGCTTGGTTTAGATGCAAAAGTTTTCAGATAATGGAGAAATTTTAAGCCAGTATCCAAAATCCAATAAAAATCAAAATTGCATAAAATATACATAAAACCAAATACAAAATTTGGAGGCTCCAGCTTTTAAGACGTCCGAGATGTAATTTATTAACTGCATTTCAATCATGTTTTTATTCGATAACAATTAAATGTGAATAGTTATCGAATATTTGAAGCAAACTTGATATGCGCGTACTATACACGGACCTACCAAACAAATTTCAAGTCTCTAGCTTTTATAGAAGCTGAGATGAACGCGTTCACACATACAGACAGACGGACGGACAGGGCTTAATCGACTCGGCTTGTCCTGATCAAGAATATATATACTTTATAGGGTCTACCACGCCTCCTTCTACCTGTTACATACAAATAAATTTATCCTGTTTTACCAATTCTTTTACGAGTGTTTTCAATTTAGCTGGGCCTTGTACTCACTGATATTAGGAATTCAAAGCATGCAGGTTAATTTTTAAAATGTTACATACATAAGCACAACTTTCAAAAATTTTCTTGATCAGGAATTATACGTCTGTCCGTCTGTCAGTATGATCGCGACGATCTCGAAAACCAATTTAGAATTTTGATTCATTTATACTTTATATAAATTTTCTTTAAGTTTAAGAGATGAATATATGCAGTTAGTCAAAGAATCTGTTTTAGAATGTCTCCCTGGTGGTCTGTTACACTACATTCATTAATATTTTTATTTTAGATATTACGAAACAGGAAGTATTCGACCACGTGCGATCGGAGGCTCCAAGCCACGAGTAGCCACCGCAGAGGTCGTTAGCAAAATTTCACAATACAAACGGGAATGTCCCAGCATATTTGCATGGGAAATCCGAGATAGATTATTACAGGAAAATGTATGCACAAATGATAATATTCCCAGTGTAAGTATACTTTTCTACACTTAATGACGCACACATATATAATACATACATATATAATACACACATATATAATACATAATAATACATACATATATACATATGTTGTATATTTACCTAAGCCATATCCGATACATTCAATTCAGGAGCATTCACTAATGTGAATTTGAAATATCCCTCTTTTGTCATGGATTTGTTATACATTCGGATGTCGTTCTAACGCTCCGAAGATTGCGTATATATGAGACGCAGAAATATTTGTCACTTTATCAGCCCAGACCAGGCTATATTTTTAATATTTGCTCAGTACTACAGGAATTGTTAGATATTCCAAGCTTTCAAGTGTTTCTTACGATTTAAGAAACACATTATTGTTTGCAATTTTTCGCTGTTTAAGTGTCTTTTGTGAGCTTTGCGCCATTTTTTTTCTTTCTGCTATTCTTATATCTAGTTAGCAATACCATTTTTTATTGTTTATTAAGTATGCCAAAAAGGAAAGCACCAGAGAAGGAGAATGAATTGTGACAACGATGCCGATGGCCTGCGTTGGGCTTTGCCTCATTGACAGTTGTGTGGAAAATGTGCTCATTCGAATGGAAGGGAAAATCTTTTATGCACATTACGACAAAAAGGGAAATCAGTGCTAGAAAAAGTATGAAAAACGTACAATATTAAATAAATACGGCCCAGCCCGTCACCACAAAGCGTTAGGCGTTGAAATTCACGCGCGAGGGAAAATCCGATGCTTCCTTTTATGCTGGAAACAGCAACAGAAACAGAATCGACCCATTGGACGGGATTCGGATTGAGACCCCAGGCCGTAAAAAATCATTGAGGGGTGAAAGCGTTAGTGTTTGGCAGTTAGAAATTAAATTGTTGGATGTTGGCCGCATGCTCTAATTTGTTCCGATGGTCCAAGGGACTTGACGTAGCCAAGCACTTGGGCAGCCGGCAGTCAATGGCAGGCGTCTGAAAGTAAGTAAAAACATTTATTGATGTTTCTTAGCTTACTTGTTTCAATAACGCCGATTTCGTTTTAATATTATTTTAATATCTGTACTAGGATATCTCTTGATGTTAAAGAATATTCACTATTTTAGGCTTTAAACAAAGGCCTTTCGATCTAGATAACACATAACGTCACTTCATCTACTTTGTCTGCGGAATCGAGCCTTCGAGCCAGGACCTTATGCTTTAGCTAACTCAATATTTAGCTTGAATTAAAAGTTTCTTGTATTATTCATAAATGAGGAAGGTGAATTTAGTAAGAACTACTTTTTTATCTACCCAAACATATTTAAAAAGACCAAAAAACAACAAAGTCTGAACTTTTAAATAACAATAATATTTATTTTAGTTTATATACATTGAGAATATAATAATATAAAATATGTAAGTTATCATGATGATAAGCTATGCCTGTATGTTGACCGTCTCTTATCGGAAGCTTGTGTGCAATCTCTGTTATGTACCTAGCTATTGGTGTTTGTAACATTGTGTGACGTACGTGGACTGGGGTTGGGGTATCCGAGTGCATATTAAAGGTATGTATATGTGTATATATATGTATATGTATATGCATGCATATATGGATTCAAGCCCATGTGCCTATGTGAGTACGACGCTTTCGGGGATGGCGTTCATTTTATTTTTAAAATAAGTTTTTATACAAGCGTTCGCTTTCGTTCCCTCGAAAGGACATGTCTGCCTAATTTTTCCACTCAACTGCACTTTTCCCTGTTGTTCTCACTCGCTCATTTATATGTTTTGCGCGTTTGTTCTTTCTTTCGTTCGTTTGGTTCGCTTTTGCTGTTGCCTTTTGAATTCATTTCAAAAGCGCTGTCATGCGCAGGCACTGCCCTAAAATAACAATAGAAAAATACAGCCGTAGTGTACGACTAGTTGATTCCCTACATATAAAGGACTCGCTGGCTCACTGAAACGTATTTCCGACATCACAATACCGCTCATCACAGAGTTGAACCGATATTTCGCGAGCTGCTGAGAACGATTGAAGTATTCCAATAGTCCATGGCCAACTAAATATAATGCATTTATTATAGAAAAATTAAGTTCAATAAAATAGAAATTTCCATACATATATATATATATATATATATATATATATATATATGGAAATTTATATATATATATATATATATATATATATATGTGTGTGAACATATATAATAATGCTCCCATTACAAATTGGAAAAGAGCATCATAAAATTATATATAGGCTTAAATGACATTTTATAAAATATTTATATAGTCCCCAGCAATAATTTTTGATAATTAATTATTATTCACCGATTCTACCATTTGAACAGCAAATCATAGAGAATGATATTTGCGATGCCCCATTCACTCATGCTTATGTCCATTTGTGGATGTTTTTTACATCTTCCAGGTGTCGTCGATAAACAGAGTTTTGAGGAACTTAGCAGCACAAAAAGAACAGCAAAGTGGTGGACAAAGTAGCTCCAACACTAGCACAAATCTAAATCCTAATCCAAGCACAAGTCAAGGAAGCAGCACTGGGAATGGGAATAAGAATGCCAGCAGTAATGGCACTAGCATGAGTGGGGCAAGTGGTGTTGGCGTTGGTACAAACACTAGCACAAATGATTTGATACAGACAGCAACACCGTTGAACTCTTCAGAAAGTGGAGGTGCTAGCAACTCGGGAGAGGGCAGTGAGCAGGAGTCCATTTATGAGAAGATACGCTTGTTGAACACTCAACATGTCCCAGCGCTCGATCCGGCCTTATCGACACCAGCTGCGCCTCCGGTTAGTCACGAACAGCTGATGACGAGTGTGCCCAGTCATTTTAGTCCGCACCCCCACGCAAGCCACTCGATACCGATCCATGTCCATGGCCAGCACCAGCCGCAACATAACCAGCCCCAGCACCAGCAGCAGAGTTGGTCCTCGCGACATTACCCAACTGGGTCCTGGTATGCGGCTCCCTTGAATGGCAGCGAAATGGCTTCATCTGCAGGAGTGATATCGGTAACGGGATATGGCCAAGGAGGCGCGTCAGCTGCTCCAAGTCTGCTTCCGGGACATCCTTTGACCCCGCCAAATGATCTCATCAACATTGGTGGCCCCACCGTTCGTCTGGACAATTGTTCCATTGCATCAGTCGACGAAGTAATGCTAAAAAAGGGTAAGTCATTAATCTGCATATTTCATATATTTATACGTAGAATACCACATCTTATCTTACGAGACATTTGCTGAAACAAGCGACCACAGAAGGTATTGAGTCGCCTTACCTATATATATATATATATATATATATATATATATATATAGATCTATCTTTACATACATACATAGAAGCTGAGGCTATTACCTTTAAATTATTGCAAATAAAACCAAATTTTTCAGGAATACGGCCCTTCATGTGTGCAACCTAAGGAAATATTTCCACTGCTTCAGATGTCGCCATTTGAATGTGTGTCCCCAAATTCGAGTAGACTGTATTTCTCACTCATATCGGCACACAAAGGTCTTTGATATCAATGCCATTATCTCTAAGGAGAAGGCCCCTATATCGAAACTCTCAACGTCTACTTAGAATACGTCTGAAATAGAATCCGATGACACAGAGTTGTAGATTGACCCAATATACTTGACGGACTTAGATGACTTGCGTCATACAACCATCAAGTTTGGCTCTTACTTCGTTCCTGAAAAACCCTATATATGCGTTATAATCGAAGCAGCCCAAATATTTGCTAAGGTTAAATTTCGCTTACAATTTGAGGTTTGAGGCGCGATTTCTTGTTTTTGGCCAGCGATATTATTGAACCGTGGTACAATTATAATGTGTTGATGGAAACATCAAGTATAATTCATAAAGAATCTTTAGTAAAGCATATCATGATTTCAAAATAAAGAGATCCAAATTCAAACGAGAAACAAAAAAAATTGTATTAGTGCATCTGTGAGCAAGCATCGAAGAGAACTCATCTCGTATTTTCAGAATAATACAGTCTGAATAACGGAATTCTTATTGTCAGTTTATGTATAAAAGTAAACAGTTGCTTTTGACACAAGCGGGTTCTATTTTATAATAATATATATAAATGATAAAATTCCTTTTACACTCCAATAATCCCTATAATAACTTGACCTTTTCGTTCGAGTACTTTCTTTCTTTCTGAACGTGTCGATCTGAGCATCTATAAAAGATAGATAATTGAAATCTTTGGTTCGTGTATAGCAAGCGCCTCTCAAGTTTTGCCATCGATTAAAAACATTATAAAAATGTAGTTATTAAATTATATCTCGCATTGCTTAAGAGCCTAGAGCCTTACAATTTTGTATTTAGTTCTATGGATATTTTCATTTGAATACCGGCCCCGAATTTCCCCAAATTGTTTAAATTTAAGTTCAGTTACAAAGAGGGACAAATAACGCATTTTTACTAAACTCCAAAAAAATATGTAGATCATATGCTGAAAATTTCATTCAAATCCATTAGGTAAAACAAACCGTTTCGCGTTTATTCTTTTCTATCCGAAAATCAAAATTGTGATTGAATTATTCTTAAATTGTCAGCTGATACTTCAGTTGAGATTTTAACTTCCTGCTGGATCAGTGCAGTGGAAGTGTTGGTAGAGTTGATGCGCGTTGAGTTGGCAATCCTGGTTCGAATCTTAGTGTCGTATTGTCGGTTATTATTTGTTCTTTTTTAATGATCGATACAAAGTATTGGAAGTATTAAAAAACGGCAGATAGGACTGTGGGATCAGGGTGTATCTTCTAGTCGGGCACCCCGACTAGAGTTTTCATACTTATTTAAATATAAAGTGGGGTGTAATACAGTTGATGCGTGGGTCGAGTTTCGAGTCTTGGTCCTAATGCCATTTTTATTTGTCGCCCCTATTAGTAATTAATTATTTCTTTAAGAACTGAACTATGGAAATCCTTGAGCTGAGTTTAGTCGCCAAATTCTATCTAAAATAGCTTAAGAACTTAAAAATAAAAATAACGAAGCGACTGTACTTGTTCTCACAGCTCAATAAGATGTTGCTCAATATTTTAATATTCTAGCCTTAATTACAAATATTTTGTAACTATATTTTTGTAGAATCAATGAGATCTAGGTTCTTTTGATTTGACACGTCTCCCGGGCGTGGGATGTATACTTTAAGTCAACTGTAATTAATTTGTTATAGCTTTTGACTCTGGCTTTCAATCTGCAGACGATACAGATTTTCAATTTGCTATAAAATTATTTTTTGACCAGTCTAAAAGCACATAGATTATTTAATTTCTTTTTTGCCCTATATTTATTTATATTTTTTGCAATGTTCAAATAACTTTAACTCACCTGGTCATAAACGCATGAATTACACAATATTTGTAGCTCTAGGGGAAACTACCATGAATCCTGTAAAACAGAAAGTTTGGAAAGGACAATCAAGTATTGGACGCTGGGTCACGTGCCGTGACTATTTACGCACGCACGGCAGGTTTGACGTCCTTATCGAATAGGCACGGATACAGACTGAGATATGCAAAATACAATCACCCATATCGGTGAGAGGTATGCAGGCATGGCACTACTAGAGAGCATTCATGAAGTATTCCAAGTCAATCGTGCGTATTTGTGGCTAAATTGATTCATGACAAGTCTGCATTTTGCGTCTCACAATATCTGCTTGCTTCTGAAAAGGTATATACTGGTATATACTAAGGTATACTGACCCCGTGCACGTTTCTGTCCTCAGACTGGAATCTATTATTCTCAAAATATATAAATATCTATGTGAACAAAAGTGTTTGATAGCAAATCGAGTTCAATGCTTTTTTATGGAACAAGAGCCGTAATCAGAAATATGAAAACAATACAATTTGTGCACCCCAAATGAAGAACTAGTAGCCAACTTATATTTAGACTCTATCTCTTGACCGAATAATATAGATTTTTTAAACCGGCATCGTGTTGTATGTGCTCTTGAATCGATATACTTTATGGGGCTTAGCGTGCGAGGCATTAAGCATCGATTTGCATGTTGTATTTTCTTAGACGTGAAAATATTAGTATTAAACTCAGAGTCTTTGCTAAATTCATGGGGAGTGCAACGTCTGCTTTGGTTACCTATATCGGTTTGCTAACAATGTATCTTTTAGATATATTAATCAAAGAAAAAATATGTATTTTGAAACACGGATATTTTGGCAGTGGATACAGCCGACGGCATGGCAAACAAAATGTAATTTGCCGACATTTAACAAAGATCTAATTAGTTTAACCACATACGCCCCAAAGTTTTTGAAAAATCTGTGCGTGAAGCCCGTCCGCATGTTTGCCTTAACTGTTTGGGTGTGCCACGAGAAGTAACTGTAACAGTAGCCCGTTTAATCTGCAGCCTCTGGCACCGGGAACTGTTGTCGTGGCTGACAAGCAGGCGGACGACAGACAGACAGGCAGGCAGGCTTACCCCTAACCGGGAGTAGTTACTTTAATGCGATTTGCAGACTCATTTTACAGGCGATGACACTTCATTAAACGCCAAACTCGTGGGGGTGGCAGCGGTGACAGCGGTTGGGGATGGGGCGATACGGTTCCGAGAGTGTTGATGGGGTGCATAAATATAGAAAGCGAAAAATACATATTTATAAAATCGTATCTGGCAAACCTCATGCTCTACTCCATTTGAGCCTTATCTGGTTTGTCTCTAACATATTTAACTGTGGAAGAGTGTCGCTCTGTCACTCTGTCGCCCTGTTCGTCTACCCTATGCCTGACATCTCATCGTGGCAGAGTGCTGTAGTTGTTGTTGTAGTATTTGTTCGGCTATCTTTATCGTGTACCGTATACTCCTACCCAAGCCCTACCCCTTGGCTATGCCGTTGTTTATGTTTTCGTTGCTGTTGTTGTTGTTGTTTTTGTTGTTGTTGCCTGTCAGCACATTGCAGTTTGCTAGGCAAGTGACGTGTGCTGTGGACTGGACCTAAGTCCAGACCTGCGGCATGTTTCAGAGCTATCAGCATCTATTTGCTCTGTCACATTCACTCGCATTTAATGCCAGTTACACACACACATACACAGACACAGACTGTTGCCTTTGGTATATCAAAAGTGACAAGCCGAGATCCAAATGATGCGGCCTGCGGTGTTTTAGATGTGGGAATTGATGTGGTTTGAAGTATAATTGGATGTGGCAGTAACAATGCTCTGATTTTTTGATTTGCTTAATTCCAATACTGGTTCAAACCATGTGACTTAAATATTTGAAAAACAGGTGTAAGTATCTTATATGCAAGTTTTTCAAGTTGTGCAGTTTAGGAGCATCGCATTCTGCGTTAACCACAGTTGTTACATTAAAAAGCCAATATTAAACACATCCATTTCCATATAGATTATACAATATTAAAAGCCCAATGCTTCGATTGTTTTTCAGAACTCGATGGGCACCAATCAGACGAAACAGGCTCCGGAGAGGGAGACAACTCGAATGGAGGCGCCTCCAATATAGGTGCGAGCGAAGATGACCAGGCCAGATTAATTTTGAAAAGAAAACTGCAGAGAAACCGAACATCGTTTACAAATGATCAGATTGATAGTCTTGAAAAAGGTATACACTGAGACCTAGTCTATCACTAAATGTAATTGTGTTACAATATCTGCCAAATGGCTTCTTGAGAGATAAATATTTTAGATAAAGCTTATTTATTGATTTGCAATTTATTTCAGAATTCGAAAGAACACATTATCCTGACGTATTTGCACGGGAACGGTTGGCTGGCAAAATAGGACTGCCTGAAGCAAGGATTCAAGTATGGTTTTCGAATCGACGTGCTAAATGGCGTCGTGAGGAAAAGCTGCGGAGTCAGAGGCGAACGCCAAACTCAACCGGCACAAATGGAACTTCATCCTCGACTTCGGCTACCACCTCGTTGACTGACAGTCCCAATAGCTTGGGTGGCTGCTCATCCCTATTGGTCGGATCGGCGGGCAGTAAGTTTTCCTAATATTCGCAATTTTTCCAATAGGTTAAATTTTCAGTCAACACAATAACTTCATGTTAGACCTCTGTAGGCCTGTTTAAGAAAATTTGTTGGTCTGTCTGTCCGTTTGGTTGTAAGAACGCCAAGTATTCACCGCTATTAGAGCCTGAGTCTACAAATTTGCACGTAAGCCTCACCTGTCCGTTGAATAGATTTCAATAGCGCAATTATGGATTAACTTTAGGTTTTAATTGGAAGTGAAGTCAAGTTAAATTTCAGATTAATAATAGGGTTACTTGCCGCATCTCGTACTTCATCACGGTTTGTAATTAATTTGTAATGTATTTGAATATTTATATTAAGATCTTATTATAATTTTTGTAGGTGGGCTGAACAGCTTGTCCTCGCCCAATCCAATATCCACGCCCACTGGTGGTCTTGAGACATCCGAGGCACACCACCCAGTTGGTAGCGGAGGAGGGGGAGGAGTAGGAAACGCACAGATTCGAAGTGGAGCGCATGACGTTAGCAATGAATGTACGCCGGGTCTTGGGATTACGGACCATCGGCATCAGCATCATCAACATCATCATCACGTTCCTCACACTCTCGTCCCCTCGATTTCTCCGCGGTTAAACTTTAACAGTGGCTTTAGTAGCTCAATGAGCGCCATGTACTCGAATATGCATCACAATGCGTTATCTATGAGTGAGGGTTATGGGTAAGCCACTCTTGTATTCTATTTACCTTGGGACAATTATATATAGTTTTAAAATTTGAATCTGTTTAGTGCGGTTTCGTCGATGCCAAGCTTTAGTCACCCAACAGTTGGCTCGCCAATCGCACAACAAAGAGATCTAACCCCGCCCTCAATGTACTCGTGCCACATGCCACTACGGCCGCCGCACCTGGGTCCGCATCAGCTGGTCTGTGTTGGAGGCGCCACAAATGAGAGCACCAGTGTCAGCAGCAGTCCCACAGTGAACATGACCAATGCAGCTAGTAACAATTCGACTGGATACGAGTCTATACCTGCCTATGGTTTGCCGCCCCCGCCACCAGCTCCTACTTCGGGATTAGGAACCCCGACCGTTGCCAATGCTGCTATTGCCGCTGCCCATCATCAAAACATGGAAGCTCGTCCATCAACGTGTAGTCCAAGTCAAATGGGCCATGGCTCGGCATTTGGGAGCGAGAGTCTTTCACCGGCTATGCCTTCATATGCACACATGAGCTACAACTATGCCAACAGTGTGGCGTCCTCAGGTGGCGCGAATCCGGCGGGCGCTCTCAACTCACTCAACTCACATGGATCGGGAAAACAACAGTTTTTCGCGTCCTGCTTTTACTCGCCTTGGGCTTAGGTGCCTTAGGCTTCCAGTGCATATTATTAATAAAATAAAAATCCCTATCTAAAACAGCTTTCATGCCACCAAACAAACTATTGTTTATGCCATATCTTTCATATCAAGGTATCAATCCGGACACCCACAAAATTGAATTAACATATCTTTCAATGGACACTTTATATATGATTTAAGCATGAAGGTTGTAAAAATGCATGTATGTATTTCCGCCCAAGGATGCCACCAATCATTACGATAATTGGTGTGATTAGAAAATATAATTTTGAGAAAAAACTAACAAACTGTTTTACTTACGGTCCCAAATTATAAATCTCGGTTGCAGTTTTCCAAATTTAAAGTATATTTTTTCACCCAAAATCGAAATTTGTAATCTAGAAGCTAAAAAGATGAAATAAATAGGTAGTAAAAGCTTTATATATCGCGCCATTAAAAATTATATTATTGTATATAATATATATGTATATATATATATATATATATATATATATATATATATATATATATATATATATGTATATATATGCCATATAGCCATGTTTAACGAGTATTATATCTTCATTTGATTAGCTTAAGCAAAACATTTAATTCAACTTTCAATTTTAAATTTGGTCGCATGCACAAGGGTCCTTGTTAAAGTTAAGTTCAGTAAATATTTTAATGAACTTGACTATGTTTGGAAAGGGCTATCAAGACATTTGTAATTTGGGACACAACTCGAAGGATCATTGAAACGCAAACAATATTACAAAGTGGTTGCTAAGAGAGCGGTCCTCCAAGACCACAGGGTTAAACCGTTCGCGCAAACTTTTCGCCTGTATCCGTATTCGTAGTCGTTTATTCATACACGGATTATAACCCTTGTTTTGTTTGTAAGCATAATTTCGTTTTTGAACGTATCAGTATTATTCTCACATAACAGAATTATTATTATGTGTACACCCCACGAACAATACACGAACAACAATATATTAATCCGACCGTCCGTCTGTTCTAATAATAAAGTTAGAGTTTAGAAGACTAATTTTGGAACACCAATAGAGGTCAGTAGTAATTGAGTTATCGAATTTTTAGTTCCTAACCACTATTTCCCACGCCTCCTTTAGACGTCGCTAACAACAAAATAAAAACGAGCGGATAGCAAATCTATGGGCATTGAACAAAACCAAAATTATTAAGCTATAATCCCAATAATTGTCAAATACGGAACAATACAGCGCCAGATCACCTCGATAAATAGAGCTATAAATAATACGAGCAACAGAGACGAGTGGCAAATCCAAAAATATCGATTTTAAAACAAACTTAGTTGTTTTTCAATTGAATATTAATTAATTAATCCATAAGTTTGTAACACAGTGCGTTAATCACGTCGCAGATATTTATTTGGGACAAGCATCGTTATAATATTTATAGATAAACAGAACCACATGTATATAAATACAAAATAATGCCGGCTATGTACATATACATATTTATATTTGTGGTAGATATTTTTATGTATGAAACATATTTATAAATAACCTGCTGTAAAAATATTTTCCGACTCTAACAGATGCTCTAGTCAATACTTTTGAATCAAATGTTTGTTTTCCATTTAGACAAAAAATAAAAGTCACAGAAATTTCACTGCTACAATGAGAACTAACTAGGAAGAGAGAGAGAGAGATAGAGATAGAGAGAGTGTAAAAAAGACAACGTAAAGAGAACGAAAGCTGCACTCGCTAGATAAGGTCCAATTCCTGATGCTGATTCTCAGCAAGATTCAGTTGAAAAGAAACAGTAATAGATCAACACTCGTGGAGTTCGCTTCGTTTCCACAGAAGGATAATTTTTCTTGCTGTGGGCTGCACTGTGTTATCTGTAGTCTAGTTGTATGTACCAACCAAAATGTATATATATATATATTTATAGTCAGAAATGGTTCAGTTGTGATTAAACCGAGTGAAAGTAATTTTAAAATTTTTAATTTTAAAAATATATTTTTATATATTATATGTTTATATATAAACATATATATAAATAAATATATTTTATAAAAAATAAAATCATAAAACACTATATATTTATATAGTTAATATAGAAATTCATTCGAGAAATGAAATAAACTAATAAACCCAATGCAAATTGAAAAATTTTTAAAAATATAAGAATAAATTCATATGAAGCATATCTCTAGCTTGTATGTGTATGTATGTATATTCCTACATACCTGCTACATGCTTATGTAGCTGCGTCTATTCGTGGAATTGTGTAACGGTTGTCGGGAATATAAATAGAACTGGCTCATTTGAATAAGTATCCTATAAAAAGTGAACTGAAAAACAAATATATAATTGCTATGCTTATCTATTTTAAATATTACTATTCGCTGTATGTATGCAACTGTTAATTATTAATTGTAATTAATTAAAATATATACTTACTCCCACACATACACTTTTAAATAGTGCTTTATATATGTACATACATATGTCGGTACATATACCGACCATGAAATTACTTTGCCAAGTGCCAAAAGGCAAAGTAAATTGGTTATGCATGTATGTTATGTATACCATACATTGTGAATGTAGAGATGTTTAAAAATATCCACTTTGGATATGTTCCTTACACTATTTGCTTAACACACATACATCCAGCTATGTGTGTGCTTGTGTGTATGTATGTATGTATGTGAGTATTGAAAGATAAATTTCACACAAGCACATAAATATATTTCATATGAGTAAATACATATATACGTGATGATTAGGTACATGTGGATTCCATTCTCATCGATCAAATATGTATGCATATATAAATGTGTATGTGTCTATGCATTCTTATTATATATATATATGTATGTACTATGTACAGATATTAATGCTCAAGCAAACTTAAAGGTGTAGTTGTATATAAATATATATATATATATATATATATATATATATATATATATATATATATATATATATATATGCAAATACATATTGTGGATATATATACATATATAAAAAAAAACAAATGGTGACTACTAAAGACTAAAAATAAACGAGAAGCACATTCAAATTTTCGTTTTCTGTGGGAATTTTTTTTCCAATAAAACGTTAGTGCCGACCGAGAGGATGGCGATCAAATTTCCATCTTCCAAAATATCGATGAGTCGTGTGCACCGCTCAACTGTCGCTGCACGTATATATAAAATATATATGTATATATGTTACGAATTTAACTCGAAACTGCATATTGTTTTCAAATCAAAATATATGTATATCAGTTTGCCTATGGAGTACAATTTTCTAGGCGTTTGAGCGAGTAATAGTGCTTTTGTTAGGAGTGTACGACTCTCATCATACCCTACCTTCATTTGGTATCAAGCTGTTACTTCAACCCCTCTAACTTTCATAACCAACCCAACGGAGTGTATATGCTAATCAATGATGAGTTTCTTATTAGCCAGTCCTTATTGACAGCTATTTTGAATATATATATTCCTTACACTATGGTTTTAACACTTAGCGATGTATGTATATGTATGCATATGTGTATGTATGTGTGCTTTGAAATTTTACACATATATTATTTCATATAAACTGAAACCAGCTCTTGACAAATTTCAATAACTGAGTTTCGTGGCGACACAATTTATCAATATATATATATATATATATATAAACTCAGTTATTTAAATTTGTCAAGGCTTCAGAGCTGGAGTATTTAAAATGTTGCATCAAGTTCCACATATACACATATGTCTTATATCATTTTGATCTTCTTTTTATACTCTGAACCCATTGAAAATAGGAATTCAGGGTGTAACAGGCAGAAATAGGCGTGGCAAACGATATAGGGGATGCCCTTATGTTTGATAAGGACAACCAGCTGAGCCGATCTAGTTTTGTCCGTATTTACGAAAGGGAAGTTCGATAGCTATTCCCGTTTCAATGTAATTGATTAAAATCGTTACAAACTGCAACTATTGAAGTATTAGTTTAAATATTCATTTAAGCTTACCAATTACACAGTAGATTTTTATTTTGCTATATTTTTGACCTCAGCCCCAAATTGAATTAAAATCTTTAAATTAAAGATTAGTTCTAGCCAATGAACACAAATTACATTCTGCAAATTGTATTGAAATACGTTAAGTTACCCAGCGGCTATTAAGCAAAACGTTTAGCTAATTAGCACAAGCACGCGACAATCAGCGTCAAGCGTACGCATTTTTCCTATACAGGTGCACACATACCTTCAAATGCGTGCATTCCTTCTAGTCGAAGAATGGCAATTGCAATTGCGATTTAATTGCATTTGAATTGTCAGCTGCTATTTTAGGTTTGATTTTGCCGCTATGCATGAGTGCAGTAAAATAGGGAGAAATATGGTAGATTTGATTCGTATGGTCGAGGAGTCGTAGGTTCAGTTCCGGGCGATGACGGACGAGAGTTTAAATAGTTTAAATATAGTTTACAACGGGCTGATGCTGATTTGGTATTAGCCATAACCGCGTATCCGTCAAAAGTTACTTGCGAATTGAAGTTGTAAATATATATTGCTTTATATGTGCAGCACAAATTTATAATTTTCTTATAACTAATCCCATTTGCTAATTGTCAAAAAAATCTGTAGTTAGTTTAAAAATGTGAAAACTTCAGATACACTTTGTTGGCTCGTGAATTAAATACACACTCTTTCCCCAAAAATCGTAAGAAACGTTGTGTTAAACACTAAAGACTTGAACAAATACACACAAGTTTATGTCCCTATTGTGCTCTAAAATTAATTGAGTATAGTATAAAAGTTATTTATTTACATATGTATATGTATATATGCACATATGTGCATCTATTATTATTATTATAAACTTTTGCTTACAGCAAAATTAGCATCTTTATGCTCCTTATCCTGAAGAGATATACCCTCTATTATTTCAGAGCTTAAGAGACTGTTGCCGAGCCGTTGAAGACGAAAAACGATAATCCTCAGCATGGGGGTGGCTGAAGATTTCGCTCCCAGCTTTGTGAAGAAGCCGCAACTGCATCAAGAAGATGACGGTAATCGGTTGATATTTGAATGTCAGCTGCTGTCGTCCCCGAAGCCGGATATAGAATGGTTTCGCAGTGACAATAAACTAACAGAGGATGCCAGAACCAAATTTAAAATTCAACCCATCGGGGATAACAAGTTTACGGTAGTATTAGAGCTCGACGATGTTGTTGAAACGGATGCTGGACTTTACAAAGTGAAAGCCAAGAACAAATCGGGCGAGGTCTCCGCATCAATTAATTTGAATTTCACACGTAAGTAAACACTAAATCAAATATAGTTAACTAATGCCACATATAGATAGTATATAAATGAATAGAAAATTGGATGAGTAGAGTTGATAGCAAGTTGAAAGACTTGTTCCCCATAAATCTTACACCTTATGGTTAAATATGTGACATAATGTATTCTCATATATATTTTAAACGCTCTTACCTTATTTTGATCAGCTGCTGACGAACCCAAAGAAAAGTAAGCTCAAGTTTTTTAAATTTTTTAGATTTTGATACAATTTTATTTTTCTTTGCTCTAACTGATGCTGCGCTAAATACTTTTCATTATGCCAATCTTTAGCTGAAATATCTTTTCATGACAGAATCTTAGCTAAAACAAAAATAAAACTTAAACAATTTTAATAATCAAATAGACAGTAAGATTTTCAATTATTATGTTAGTAAGACAAGTTATACTTCTTTATAATTAATGTAATGTAATAAGATGCTTTCTATTAACAAGTTGGCAAGTTCTTACTTCTCGATGATTCAAGGTGAGTTAAGTGTGTTTTCCGAGCATTTTCTGTGTTGATTGTGTCTGACTAAAAAATCTATGCTATGCCCTGCATATTATTAAACCAATTCTAAAACTGGGGAGGCTAAAACTTTTCTGATTTGTGAATCAATCGAGGGCGGCAACCTTTATTTCAATATCACATTATTGTCTCTAGCTGTAAAGTTGCACCTTTTCCGATTGTCTTTGAACAGACGGATAGACGTACAGACGGACGGTCATTAAACAAAACGCATCTACTCTTCCCCTTTGTGAACGAGTAAAACAGTTTTAATTGCATTATACTGAAGGATCAATGATGAAAATATTCTCATAACGCTTGCCTTAATATCAGTGTTGCTTAATTGTTGTCAATTGCATTTGATTAATACATAAAAATTGATATTTGAAGCATTTATAAGTGTCTAATGATTTACAGACAAATCGACGGTTTCGCGCCGACATTCGCGAAAAAACCTGCCATACGACAAGAGGAAGACGGTAAACGACTTCTATTCGAGTGTCGTGTTAACGCTGACCCTTTACCCAATATAATTTGGTTTCATAATGGCACGTCTGTTAAGGAATCTCCCAGACATAAGGTAAATATATAGGTCTGGTTCACACTTAAGTTCACATAAATAATATATTTATTTCGCTAGCGTACGCGGAATGGTTTCGTTGTGTTTTCTGATCATTATGAAAAGTGAAAGAAAAAATGTTTATACCGTTCGTAAACTTCCGCCTGTTCGCGAGTGTTCACTCCTTTTTGTTAACTGAGGCGTATATATGATGTCCATACATAAGTTTTTAATTTTCTGTTCTCATATTTTTCAGCTCACCATCGATAAGGATGTCCACTCGTATTTTGCAACGCTTGAGATTCAAAATGTTACAGTTGAGGATGCTGGAAAATACAAAGTGAATGCAAAAAACGAACTTGGAGAGAGTAATGCAACCATAAGCCTCAACTTTGACAGTAAGTTCTGATCTCTTTGTATTATGTAATTCACAATAATAATTCAGCAAAAGACAATTAATTTGGCTGGGCAAATCCAGATACTAGCGATATGCATATATAGTAGAGTTTTCAAGCTAAAGCCTGAATAATATTATAATAATATTATAGTTAACGGAGTGGAATTTCTTGTATAATAATAATAAAGCTTCATCATGATCATGTAAACTTAACTTAAGTACAGAAACGTGCAATCTAATGACATGTATATATTTATATACTCGGAAATAAGTATATATGTAATTAATATATTTGAATCGCACTAACTTTGTTATTAATTTTAAAAAACTAATGCCAAGTATCAGTTAAAGATAATTTGTTTGGAGTGGTGTGATATTAATATTATATATATTTAAGCTTAATATTTGTTTAAAATTTAACTTCAACCAGTCGAAGGGCTTTACTTGATTATTCGCTGAATGAAATAAGCGGAAAACGTATATTTATATATGTATTATATACAAAATACAATTTTCCTAAAGTAGAATCTTGCGGCCTTCTTGTTTCAAGGCTCGCATCGGGAACCTCAGTTTTAATATAAATATTGAAAAACAAATTCACTTAAAAACTCATTTATGTTACACACATTCAAAGTATTTATTTGGTATTTGGTATAAAAGTAAATAGTATATAGAAAGAGTCCAGACCAAAATATACTACGTAACGTGATGTTTAGAGACCTTGAATTAAATATAATTAAACAGTGGGGAAAAAATGTGCTGCGAACGAGCGCATCCGACTATATAATACTCTTTCACGGCTCAAAGGTGGTCAAGTCATTTAGGGGGAGTCTTAAGAAGGAGAAACCTTAACTGCTTCATTTTTAGAGCTCTTTCTCGATATAGCTCTTTCGATTTCCATACCCCCAGAGGAATATGCTTATGTAGTTTTCCGGAAAATCAATAGAACTGAATAAAAGTACTTAGACGTTCAATTTTAAAATGGCCAAAAATCTTAGAGGGTATCTATATATTTCCGATTTGTCACACCCTCTATGGACGCAGATATATAACCTAGCCGGCAAGTATATTCAAAAATGGAATTTTTATTCGATTCGTAACTACCTAAGTCGATGTTTTAAACACTACCTTTAAAACTGTGGAAAATATAATTCTATCCCGCCAATGGGCATGCATCTATATCAACATGAGACATAGTGTTTCCTGATTTTCCATGCACCCAGTGGACATATTTGGTACTCTTAACCCACTAGTATATGCTCCAAAGTTCAATTCTCCCTCTTTAATATTTTCGGGCAGCAAGACGGATAAATACCCTTTCTACTTCGTTTGCGAGCATACAAAATATAAGAATGGCGTAGTTGTATTTATCAATAATCAAATATAATATATAAATAAAATATAATAAATAATTAATATGAGTTCCTATGTGTCAACAATAAATCTAAAACAAATATAAATCTGTGTAGTGCGTATTTGTTTGTAATATATATATAGATTTAAGTAAGTAATTTTTATTTGCATAATTTGTGTAACATAGAAACTTAAAATTCATAGGCGACGAGGCTCCCGTACCCGAGAGTACAGATGGAATAAAACCTACATTTACCGAGCGCCCCGTTATCCGTCAAAGCGAAGATGGCGGAAATGTAACATTTGAATGTAGATGCGTTGGAGATCCCACACCAACAGTTACATGGTACGAAATCCATACTTAAATTTTAGTTAATCTCCGAAAAAGCACCTAAAACTTCGATCGTATCTATAACGAAGAAGAGAAATGCCTGATAACCGAGAATACTACACGATTGTATATGTATGTGATTATTTTGATATTCGGAATGGATCCCATTTAAAATTGTGTTATAGTTGACTTATAGCAATTATGCATGCAAAACTATTGCCTAATAAGAATAATATAACTATTTCCCTCTGTGTACCATCATGTTACAAAGGTCCCATGGCGAGACAGTGCTGAGTGAGGGTAAGCGCTATAAAATGTCATTGACGTTGGATCAGAAACTTTATCATATGGCGCGCCTAGAGATAAGCAGCGTTGTCTCCAATGATCAGGGCGAATATAAAGCCCACGCGAAAAACATACACGGCTCGGGCGTGGCAACAATTAATTTAAATTTCGAAAGCGGATCGAAAAAGTAAGGCCACATGTTTTTTCTATATATATATTTATATATATATTGTATGTATATATATAATATATATCTACTTATATATATATGAGAAAAGAAACTACTACTCTACTCTACTTCTGTTTACACGCAGAATTCCAGATGGTAAATCACCGCGATTTCCCAAAAAACCGACAATACGCCAAGAGGAAGATATTTTAATAATGGAATGCATCCTGGAAGCGCATCCAATACCGGACATAACGTGGTATTGCTCAGATAAGCAAATCTCAGACAGCCAGAGAACCAAAATGACCCGAAAAGCAATAACAAAAGATAGCTACGTCCTAACACTCGAGATACAAAATCCCACAAAAGATGATGGCGGCAACTATCGCTGTAATGCGATAAATATGTATGGAGAAAGCAATGCAAATATAGCGCTTAATTTTCAAGGTATACCTATTCCATTTTTACAAGCACTACCTTAACCAGAACGTGCAAAAAGAACTTCAACTACACCGTAATCTGAATCCACCACCAACCGAAATCAATATACTTAATGTACTTTAATTTAAAAAAATGGTGTGTATATATATACATATATATGTATATATATATATATATATATATATTTATATGTAGCATGGAACAGTGAATATTACATAGATACACAGACATAATATCACCATTCGACATCAGCTAACTATTTAATATTACCAAGCAATTCTGTAGATAATATTTTGCTTCTTAATATATTGGACAGCTTGAAAATATGCATTCCTAAGCGAGCTTAAGCACTGTAGCTAGATCTGTTACAATCTAATCACTGTATTCACATATGCTAATGTACGTAGCGTATCCATAGCTGTCAGTTTGCCCCAACAGCTTTATATATTCAAATACATCTTTAATTTTGACATTTGTAAAGATCATTTGAATTGCTGGTTAAATTTCAGATTTCTTTATTTGATTTTGAACAAATATTTGGTTTTTAACTCCCATTAAATGCGAGGCAATCTAAACATCTATGTATTATTATACAAGAGTTTTTAAGTCAGGATTTTGTATTAGATATATATGTATATGTGAATTATCTTCGAGTCATTTTACTTTTCCTTGTATACATGTACATATGTAAAAAAGTAATTAATAATAATTTAAATCATAAAATGATTTAGCTGTTATCATAAAAATATATATACTATATTTTGAAATATATATATAGGCGCCAATGATGCAAATGGTTTTGCTCCATCGTTTATCGAAAAGCCAAGGATTATACCAAATGAGACGGGCACTTTGATAACCATGAAGTGCAAATGCAAGGCTAAGCCAGAACCCATTGTCACATGGTACAGGGGCCAAGACTTAGTGGAGAAGAGCAAAAAAATAAAAATAAACAGCACTGTCATCGCGGAAGACACTTATGAACTGACGTTGGAAATAAAGGTAATCCGCATATATATTGGTAGAGTTGATGCGCGTTGTGTGGAAATTGTGGGTTCGAACCTTGGTGTCGTAATGTTGGTTTTTAAATGTTTTTTTTTTCAATATTCGATACAAACTACGGAAAATATAAAAAGACGCAGATTGGACTGGGATCAGGGTATCTCCTAGTCGAGCACCCCGACTAGAGCTTTCTTACTTGTTGCTATATCTGTTGTAAAATTAAAATTACTTTATCTTAGGATCCCGGCGCAACTGATGGTGGCACTTACAGATGTAATGTGAAAAACGAGTACGGCGAATCGAACGCGAACCTCAATTTGAACATTGAAGCAGAGCCCGAACCCGAGGGTGAAGGGCCAACATTTGTTGAAAAGCCACGCATTATATCTGAAAATAATGGTAAGCTTGTGATCATGGAGTGCAAGGTGAAGGCCGATCCAAAGCCAGACATTGTTTGGTTCCGCAACGGAGAGGTCATCAAAGAGAGTAATAAACTGAAAATGTCCATGGAATCGCGTGGCGATCAGTACTATATTAAATTGGAGTTAATTGATCCACAGTTGGAAGACTCAGGTCTCTACAAATGCAACATTAAGAACACGTTAGGCGAACTGAACGCTAACCTGACGCTCAATATTGAAAGTAAGTACATTTATAAGAAATTGTAGGTTAAAGAATTCATCTAATCAATTCCAACAATATATATATTTACAGTTGTGCCTGTTATAAAGGACAAGCCCAAGATTATCAAAATAATCAAGAAACGAACTGTTGTCATCGAGTGCGTAGTTGCATCCAAATTCGAGCCAAAATGTACCTGGTATAAGGAAAGCAATAAGGTTGTCGAAAACAAACGACACGTTTATCTAGTTGAGAAAACGAAGGAAGGTGAATTTGCAGTCAAGCTTGAGATCAACGAGGTTGAGGATAGTGATAAGGGCGCCTATAAGCTAGTGGCCAGCAATGAGAAGGGTGAGGCCGTGTCCCAGGTGGTCAATCTCGTTGACATCCCAGAAGAAGAGCGCAAACCCACTAAGCCAGAGATTGCTCGTAAACTGGTTGACCAAAAGGTCACTGAATCAAAGACATTCGAGCTTCTGATAAGCCTGAAGCAATCGGATCGTAAGTGCAAGATCGAGTGGTATAAGAGTAGTACCCTCATCCGCGAGACGAAGGATATAACTACAACGTTCGATGGCACAACAGCACGATTGACATTTAGTAGTGCCAAATCGGAAAACACATCAAATTATAAAGTTATTGTAACAAATGAGGCCGGTAAGGATGAGTCCACTTGTAAGATCACTGTGGAAAAGAAGGACAAAAAGAAGAATGAGAAGGAAAAGGAGAAGGAGGAAGCTGAAAACAAACGTAAGGTAATTGAAAAAACTAAAGAAAAAGAGATCCACGAAGAACAGATAGTCATTCGAAAAGAGCAACAGCAACAAGTTGAAAAGTCCCATAAGGTCCAGAAAACTCAAATCGATAAGCAGGATATCAGTGTATCTTCTCACGAACAATTTATGATTGAAGAGCAACAATCAATTCTTATAGTCCAGCAAACTAAGCAGCAGCAACAGCAACTGCAACAGTTCGTCAACGAATCACAAGTTTCCTTTAGTTCCGAAGTTCAGGAACAGAGTTCACAGACATTTCAAGCCAAACAGGTGTCCTCCACGTCCGTTTTTCAAGCAACGGTTAGTGCATCTAATAATTCCTTATGTATAAAGCCTAAATAAATTCTGAACAATCCTAAAGAATATTTTCAAAAAATATTTTCGTTCCTTAAGCAAGCCAGCAAAGCTCCTGGAAGTATTTTATTTACCCTATGCATGTATTATACACGAACTTGTATATACATACACAAATATCTGCATATATAGTCACACTCCTAATTCATCTCTAGTTCACTGCTAACTGTAGATCTACTTCAAAAATACAGTTGCCTTTTATATATATTGAGTTATAATCGTTAGCTAGTAAGAATGTATGTTAATTTTATTATTGTATTCCTCACAGTCGGGCTCAACTATGTACCAGATACCTAAGCTTAAGCCGCGAAAGTCAATGGACCAACTCACCAATGTTTCTACAACAAAACAGACAAATATCTTTGGGGTAAAATTGATGCCCGTCAAACATGCTCACGCTGATGAGGTTTGACATATTGCTCAAATTTAGAAATGCTATTATATTTCTCCTCTTTTTCTCTCTCTCTTTTTATTTGAATTTTCTAATTCAACTTTCACTCTTTGCTGTTTCTCTAGAATTGTCTTCTCTATCTTATTCAAACTTTTTCAACTCTGTATTCCCGGGTGAATTGATCCTAAATTTATTGCAATGTTTGTTGGATATTCTATCTAGTCTACGTATGGTTCATCTATTGGATATTTTCTGTCACCCCTAATTCTTGATTCTTGTTTCGTGTCTATTATTTATCGTTAAATACAGTTATATGTGTATATATGTGTATTTTATTCATATATTGTTTCCACAACTTTATACTTTTAAGACTTAAAAGATTACAGAAACTTAAGTTCACACTAACTTTAATTGAGGTCTTAGAAACCACCTTGGGTTTCTAATGTCTGCACAAACTAAAATTTTTGTCTTTCTCTTTACAAAATCTTGTTAATAACAACCAAAATACACATTACACCAAAACCTACACTCAAAATATATCCGAAATAACCGACCGAAGGCTGAAGAAGAGGCCAAGAAGGACGAAATCATAGAAGAAACTGTTCAAGCAGAGAAAGATGAAAAAGTTGCGAAGAAACAGAAAGATATTAAGACTACTGAAGAAAATGTAAAGGCAGAAGCGGAAAAGGAGGCCAAGAAAGATGAAACCATAGAAGAGTCTGTTAATGAAAAGAAACCAGAAGAAGTCACAAAGAAACCGAAAGAAATTAGGGTTCCCGAAGAAAAGAAGAAACCGGAAGATAAACAAAAAGAAGCAGCAGAGCCATCACTAGAATTAAATAAAAAGAAGAGTCCAAAGGAAAAACAGGCGTTAACAAAAGATATTGAAGCTAAAAACGAAGAAACTGCTGTCGAAAAGAAGTCTACGAAAGTTGACGAAAGCAAAACGGAAGAAACGCCTGTAGAAGAGACAGCTCCAAAACAAAAGGAGGTGAAACTCAATGACTTGGAGAAGAAAAAAGAAATTGATAATAAGCCGCAGGCTGAGAAACAAGATATCGTTCCAGAAATAAAGAAACCACTTAAAAAGAAATCGGCGGCAGAATCCAAAACAAATGCAGCCGAAACATCAAAGCCTAACGAGCTCAAAACTAATGTAACTAATGAACCTAGCGCAGATAACGGCATTCAACCTGAAGAGGTAAGGATGAAAATGTCCAGCGTACAAATAGAATCAAAAGCTTTTCTAGATGGATCTACCCGAATCCCACACAAACAAACAATACAAAAGCAGTCAAGAATGCTAACTATAGTGCTAAACGCATGCCAGTTCTTGTTACAAGACAACTACTAACAAAAAAAATACAACAATGATAAAATTTATTTAATTTTTACATTTTAGCAGGGACCTGTTGAGCAAATTGGTCTGAAGAAAATGGAGCGTAAGGTGAGCTATGCTAAGCTAATTAGTTTATGTGCATTCTTTTAAGCCGACCCGAAACAAATTATTTCCATATATCTGTTGAGTTTAGTTAGCACGTGGTCTCCGCCCCTAGTACAACAGTCGGGCACTCTCAATTAATTATTAATTATACCTTGATCCCATTGAAAATGTGAAATCAAGGTATAACGGTTATGTGCAAATGTATGTAACAGAAGAAGGCGTGGCAGACCCCGTAAAGTATATGTATTCTTGATCAGGACGGACAAGCCGGAGTCGATTGAGCCCTTTCCTGACCGTCTGTCCGTATGTGTGAACGCGTCGATCTCAGCATCTATAAGAGCTAGAGACTTGACATTTTTTGTAGGTCCGTGTATAGCACGCGCAGGTCTAGTATGTTTCAATTTCGTTTTCGATAACTATTCGCATTTAATTGTTATCGAATAAACCCATGATTGAAATGCAGTTAATAAATTATATCTCGGACTAAGAGCTAGAGCCTTCAAATGTTGTATTTAGTTTTATGTATATTTTAAGCAATTTCGTTTTTGTTTGACTTTGGATACCGGCTCCAAATTTACCCAAATTCTTAAAATTTAAGTTTAGTTGGAAATGGGGCCAATTTGTGAAGGCGTTTGCACTTCTACCAAGCAAATAGAAAAATATAGATCATATACTGAACATTTCATTAAAATCCATTAAGTAAAACAAAAGTTATTAAACAAAACGTTTAGCCAATCAGCAGCGCCAAGCGCACGCATTTTTCCTATGCGTATGTACACATACAATCAAATGCGTGTATTCTTTTCTATTGGAAGAATCGAAATTGCGATTAAATTGCGATTAAATTGCGCTGATTTATTAGGTACTACTTAAGTTCAAATTTGCAACTACTTGAGGAATCAGTGAAGTGGCTGCGTTGGTAGAGGCGTTTAAGTTCAGGTACAATTCTCCCGACGACAAGATATTTTTTATTGATTTATTTATTTTTTTAATTATGAAGTGGCGGTGTTGGTAGAGCTGATGCGCGTAGCGTATAAAGTGTGTTCAAATCTTGGTGTGGTAATGTTAGTTTTTATTTGTATTTTGTTTAATACTCGATACAAGCTACGAACAATGTTTAAAAACTAGATTTCTTACTTGTTTATGTTTACCTTTGTGATCATATTCCATTTTGTTTGTTGTTGACAATTTTTAAAATTAGGCCAGTGTTGTATCCATGAATGAAGAATCCAAGTCTGAGGTACGTCGTAAGTCAATAATCAAAACAACCGGGGAAACATCTGAGGAAGCCACAAAGATTGTATCTAGGAAATCGTCAATTGCGGTAAGGCACACTTAACACGATCCCGACTTAACCCATTTATTTCCTATTTGTTTTCCAATTTATGTTTCTACTCCTCTGTAAAAAGGCTGAAGAGAGCATTTCAGAATCTCGCCGCTTATCTGTAGTTGATAAGAAGGCCTTGGAGGTATGTATTACTGAAATGTGTATTATTTATTTGATTATTGTCTACTGAATTACATCTAAAGTAAAAGCAAATAAATTAGGTGTTTTCAATATATTTAAGTTATTCAATGGAATTTAACAATGCAGGTTATTCTTAAGTATAGATTTATAAATATATTTTAACACAGCAGGTTGAAAGCAAAAAAATTGAGGCGAACAATAATCCACACTCTATTAAGGAAGAGATTCCCAAGTTGAAGCCAGCTGAAAAAAGGCGTGTCTCAAAGGTGAGCGATGACATATGAGTGGAATGGAACACCGCTCAATAACCATTGCTCCATATATTACTTTATGAGATGCAAAACAACGATTCTAATTCTTTCTTTCTCTTCAAATTTCACGCCTAATTGTAAGCTTCTATGTGTTTACAAAATATAATCCGTGGGAAGTAGATTAGAAGTAGTATGAGCTTTAAATCATACAAACAAGAATAATTTTTTTGATTCAAAGCAAATAATTTTATATTCAAATTTAAATTCCCAAATATTTTCTATATACCTTTCTCATTTCCACTTAAACTTACAATAACATTGTAACTGTCTCTGTACGAATCAAGTAATAAAGAAGAACGGATAGTTTTATGTGCTGTATAGACGCACATGTATGTGTATACATATATGTAAATATATTGAAGTTTTTGAATTTTATGGAATATAAATGGTATCCTTTCAAGAACAAGCAGGATGACATCCGTAAATTGATCCATCTATGTCTTACTATATATGAATATATTTTGTTGTATGTGATACTGCCACTAACGCTATCTAATTATCTATCCATCTATTTCTTTATCTATCTATCTGTTTAATAGTCTTTATATATATTTATCTTTCTATCTATCCATCCGTCTATTTATCTTTATATATATTTATCTATCTGTCTCAAATTCTTAAATTGATATATATATATATATATGCATAAAATTATATATGTGTATAACAATAAATGACCGCATGACTGTCATGGGCATACTCTGTCGTTTCTTAACATTTTAATATGTGTATACTAATGATATACCCATATGCCCTCTGCTTGCACAAAATAGACTATAGAAGAGCCGAAACCTTCAGAGGAGCTTCCGAAGCTCCGCAAAACGTCTATTACACAGCCAAAGGAGGAACCTAAACTAGAGGTTGCAAAGCCAAAAGTCAAATCAAAGCCCAAGGGCAAGCCCAAATATGAGGAGCTACCAGAAATTCCAGATTACGAGCGACCACAGCTCGAGAAATATGAAAAATCCGAGTTTACGCCCACAGACTTTGCTAGGGAGCTAGAAATACCAAATAAAATGGAGAAGCCAGTAGTGGACAATGCCAAAAAGCCAGCAGAGTTGGCTCCACAAAAGAATGGCTTGCCAAAGGTAAAGTGTTTAGCGACATTAACATGGATGCTCCATTAATAAAAACATAATTTAATGTATTAATTCATTATTTGTTTACACAATGTCTATTATATGTTTGATGTTATGCGCGGTCATATCACAGAAAACTGAGGCAATTGAAAAACCTGTAGAGGAGCCAAAGACTCTAAAAATGGGTAAAGGTAAATTACCAGATGACGAAGATACTAGAGATGGTGCCACACTAAAGCCTGTGATTGTTGAACCAGAGGTAAGTCATATTTTTATATACATATATAGGAAATTCTTGAATTTCTGAGTAAATTCTGAGCAAATCTGAGCAATACAATTTTGACGTAAAACTAGTGCTAACAAACAATAAACAATCCTCAATTTAGTCTGATTGAGCATGATCTGTGTAAATATATACCTTTATATTTAACATTCCTTTACCTTTTTTCGTTGCCATCTGAAACCCACCAACACAATTGCATACATTCGCTAAACAGAAAGATAAACCAAAATCAGGAGATGATAAAACGGAGGAGGTAAGTGCAAATACATTTCGTTAACATTCGGCGAATCATCTATACGCTTTACATATATTAATAGTCTCGTGTAGTAATTTCTTGTGTTTTGCAATCCAATTTTTCATACTTTATGTTTAGCAGCAGGGTTCGAAGTTTAAATTACTACAAACCAATTATGTAACCAGATTTCTCAGAAAAATACATATAATTTGTAGTAAAATTTCATTTATAATTTGCATAAAAGAAATGATTTGAATTACATCACTGGAAAAACATGCTTATATGCATAATGAATAACCATCTTTTTCATCTAAATAACACTGTTGCCAGCTATTCAGAGATATGAAAAGTATATAATAATACCTTGAGAATTAGTGAAATTATTTATCTGTGAGGTTGACAAATGTGTCTAGTATTACAACAAAAATTATAAATAAGCAATAAAGTTCAACTGGGCCAACTAACTCTGAACGCAAAAAAAATAAAAAACTAAATTAAAATCAAAATCCTCTCAGGCTGTGAAACCATCTTTGATGGATAAAATAAAGCAACGACGTCGTTCCTCAGTCAGACCCTTGATGACCAAGGAACCCATACAAAACGAGTCGTTCCTCGGTGTAGTTTTGAAACCCGTAATAAAGGATGCTAAAGAACAGGTTGCACCCCAACAAGCCAAGCAATTACATAAGGTAAAACGAAGCTCTGAGTCAAAGTGGCGAATCTTTTCAATAAAGTATACTTTTCTATCTGTCTTTCAAATTCTATCTTAAATAGCCTCAAGAATTTCTTTTTCTTACTCTTTATATTATTTACTAACTTCAATTTCTTTCCCTGTTTCTATTTTATTCAATTCAGTTGAAAAAATATATTAATTTGTTCGATGATCTCACTTATATAATCTCATTTTGCCATTTCCATTTGAAACCTTATACCCTGATATATACCCTGATACCATTGAAAATGGGAAATCAGGGTATAATGGTTTTGTGCAAGTATATGTAACAGGCAGAAGAAGGCGTGGCAGACCCCATAAAGAAGATATATTCTTGATCAGGATGACAAGCCGAGTCGATTGAGCCCTGTCTGTCTGTCTGTCCATCCCTCTGTCCGTATGTGTGAGCGCGTCGGTCGATCTCAGCATCTTTAAGCGCTAGAGACTTGAAATTTATTTTTTTGTAGGTCCGTGTATAGCACGCGCAAATCAAGTTTGTTTCATTTTTATTTAATTATTCGTATTTCATTTTTGTCGAATAAAAACATGATCAAAATGCTGTTAATAGATTATATCTCGTAGAGCGTAAAAATGTTGTATTTAGTTTTATGTATATTTTTAGCAATTTGGTTTTTGTAAGATTTTGGAGACCGTTTCCAAATTTCCCCAAATTCTTAAAATTTAAGTTTAGTTGGAAATGAGGCCAATTTGTGCAGGCGTTTGCACCTCTACCAAGCCAATAGAAAAATATAGATCATATACTGAACATTTCATTAAAATCCATTAAGCAAAACAGAAGTTATTAAACAAAACGTTTGGCCAATCAGCAGCGCCAAGCGCACGCATTTTTCCTATGCGTGTGTACACATACATTCAAATACGTGTATTCTTTTCTATTCGAAGAATCGAAATTGCGATTGAATACTGCTTGAATTATTAGCTGCTACTCAAGTTCAAATTTGCAACTTTTATTGCAAGCGGTGCAGTAGCTGCAATGGTAGAGGTGGCGCTCGTAATCAGTTAGTCCCTGGGTTCGAGACCCGCGACGATCAGACATGTTTTATTGATTTATTTATTTTTCTAATTATGAAGTGGCGGTGTTGGTAGAGTTCGTGCGCGTTGCGTAACAATTGTGGGTTCGAATCCTGGTGTCGTACTGTCGATTTTTATTTTTTTTTTTTTTTTTGAATACTTGATACGGAATATAATAAAAAACTCAGATAGGACTGGGATCCGGGTATCTCCTAGTCGGGCACCCCGACTAAGGCTTTTTTACTTTTTTAATTATGAAGTGGCGGTGTTAGTACAGCTGATGCGCGTTGCGTAGAAGTTGTGGGTTCGAATATTGGTGTCGTAATGTCGATTTTTATTGGTTTTTTTTTTTTACTCGATAGAAATGCAGGTAAGACTGGGATCAGGGTATCCCTAGTCGGGCACCTCGACTAGAGCTTTCTTACTTGTTTTTCTCTATCTTTGGGGCTATATCGATTAACTTTCTATATTGTTCACTGAGATGCGAATGAGCATGTGAAAGTTAAATATGGATTTATCTTTCTCTCATTTCCTTTGTAGTCTTTTCCTTTAGTGTCTTTTGGTCTTTCTCTGCTCCATTCTTTTGCTCTTTTACTCCATGTATAATTTTTTGAAAACTGTTCTGAAGCTTTACTATTTACTGTCTTTCTCTTTATCTATTCTCTACCTAATTCACTCTCTCACTATGTCCTGATATTTTCCTTCCTTATTTTTGCCTACTCTTTTCATTCTCTATTTGAATAAAATCTATTAGAAAATTGACACTATGATAATTTATACTAGTCAATAAGAACTTCTTTAATCTACATAATCAAGCCTTCTATTTTTTTCACGTGCAATCCGTGAATATATATAATTCTTTGCTATCGCTTAATCCTATATCGCTGGCCGCATAAAATTGAATAATTGCCATTCGTGAAACGGTATTTACTCACCTGTTCAAAAAAACTCTATTCGCTTGGTAAAGGCAAATGCAACGGAAGAGTTTAATCCCACAAAAGCATCCAAGGCTCAAATATCTGAGCTGAAAAAACCAGAAGTCATAGCAACCATTGTAGATGATTATGAGCGGCCACAGTTAGAAAAATATCAGCGTTTCGATTTTGAGAAACCCACACCTGAGAAGTCCACTCCTGTTGTTAATATCCCGGACCAAGACCCTCCAGAAGTCAAACTAACAGCCATAAATCCAAAGGTAAATCCAATATGAGTGCTCATTGTAATAAAATTATGAAACTAAAATCTATTAAATTGCCAGTATAGTAGATATAATATATGTATCATATACGACCAATATAGAATACAGAATATAGAATACATACGCATCTATGTATTCGTTCAGGATAGCTCACTGGGAACTTATTTTTTATTTTTACACATTGAATATGAAAACTTAGGGTACAAAATGTGGACAGAAGAATGCTGGGCAGAACCCATAAAGTATGTATGTTTTTGACAGATTTTAATATTCAGTTTTCAGATTATATTTATATATGTATATGTTTATATATACATTAATATTTGCTCTATGCATTAAAATGTATTTTATGAGCAGCAAATTTAATATTTTTTATGTCGGTATAGTAAATAGATTCTTTACTATTATATATACATATATACACATATATACCTACAATCAAATATATAAAAATATTTATTTATAATTTCTATTTTACTATGCAGTACAGAAACTATTTACATAAGAAATATGTGCATACGAGATTGAGTGAATATAGTGTTCAGGCTGGTTTCTTTCGTTTCGTTTTTCAATTTGTGTAATATACACAAATATGAATGTATATTTATATGATCATATATATATATATATATATATATATTTTATACTATATATAAAAATTGTATTTATATTTTTATATTTTAATGTGGTGAAATCTTTTGTGAAAAATATATAAACATATACCACACAAACATAACATATACACCCATCCAAATGTTTGATATTTGTGTCCTCTTGTCGTTCGTGACAAACGGTCTAAATTTTATCACATTTTATCGCGTGTCAACGAAAAATCAAATACACCAAATTCCAACTTCAAATACAAATGCAATGCATTTGTAAAATAATCTTGCTACTTCACCATATCATAGTCGATTAAGTATACAGAATACGAAAAGGATTACTCTCTATCAAGAATGTCAACCACCATTAAAGTGACTGTAATTGCGGTGCGTATTATAAATGGGGCTGTGTCCAGCAATCACACAATTTATTTATAGATCGAACTAGATATATCAAATCACATCATATACAACATATATAATAATGTAAATATGTAAATAATATATCTATATATTTAAAACACGTTTAAAACTTGTTATTTACGAATTCAAGTATATAAAGATTGAGCTGTTCCGCAGGAATGAAGGCCCAGTATTTCATTAATAATTTTTAATTTTCATATGTTTTAAGGTTTTTATTTGTTTATTAACATTCATTAACAATTTATTGTGCTTAGGATGACAAGCCTAAGGTACCTAAGATGCAACCTCCAGCACCTGGTGAGCCACCGAAGATCGAGGTGATACGAGAAAAACGTCCGTCCCTAGCACCAGAACCACCCAGCCGACGCGGCTCTCTAGTTCCCCCAGCGGACACGGGTCGCCGACCATCGCTTATTATTAATGACGAGGTAATTAATTGCTCCCCATATAATAGGTAGCAAAAAGCAAAAGTTTCCAAAAACAATGATCCAATAAGTGGTTTATCCTCTCTTAAGTATTTTATATTTCTCAGATAATAATTTAGTTGAATAATTTATAATATGATTATTGCTTCATATTATAATTTCATGGGAGATTAGCAATATCAAATTGAAATATTTATTTAACGCTTAGTTTTAAATTTACAAAAATAGTGCTCATGTGCCCATAATGCTTTTCATGTACATTCTTTCCTAATTATGGAATATTTTCACGGTAGACCTTGCTTACTTTAGAATTCCCATTTAAACGGCTTGTGTGTAAATACTCCATACACATTTGAACTAGGTTTAAAGTCATTCTACATTTAACAAATCTTCTTCTTTGTCAATAAAATGGCTAGTTTTTTTATATATATCTTAAAGCCGGATCAGACCGTGCGACCGTTTTTAAGCGTTACTTAAGTTGAGATTCAGATTGGTGAATTATTCAACCATCGTTTTACCGCGTTTTTTTATCATTCAAATAAGTTCTGATCCGTTAGAATTAAATATATATACTGTAATAATTGCTTGTTGTTTATAATATTTTTTTATTTTGTGATCATTGAAAAAGTGTTGCAATTTTACAATTTTGTTTTCTATTTTAGCTACATTCTCTTTTGAGTAGTAGTAGTAGTTCCAGTAGTACTGGATGAAATCATCAAGTTTCATTCAATCAATGAAGTGCTTAGTAAATATATATAGATATATATATTTTTAAATATTGCATCTGTGTTTGAATATTAAATGATTTTTTTGTTAAATATAGAAAAAACTATATATATTTGAAGCATTTATATGCACAATATATTAAGAGACTATGTGTATGAAAAGTGTGGCTAGGATTTTGTAGTGACCGATAGATATATATATAGTCGACTGTTTATAGTGACGCGTTTTATAAACAGTGAAACGTTCTTATCCTATCTGTATGAGTAATTGAGTGTATTGTCCTTAATTGATTGACTGATTGTATGTAATATCGATTTATTTTCTTAAATATATATTTTATTCATGTTATTTGTTACGAGTAAATGTAAATAATACGTATTGTTAATCACACATATATATTTCCTATGTCCCCTTTTTTATGTACCATGTATGAACACTGTCCTCTTAACAACTACAACAACAACACCTGAACAACATACACTATTTACTACCATTTGATTGTGCCCACTTCTGAACGCAACGCGACCGAACAATGTCAAATAAATACTCCAAATACCATCTCCACCGCCCTCAATCAACCCACAACCACAATCACACACGCACATCCACACCTGCACGCACATATATGTATATGTATATGCCATCCAACAAATACAAACAAATTCCCCAGAAGAAACTCCGCCCCGGCGAAGTCATGGATACACGGGTAAGACATTCCAAATATGCTAAAACCGTACAATATACAGAATTTTGTATGCTTTTGAGTTATATACGTATGTATTAGAAAACATATATATATTAAATATATGTTTAATAACATATATATGTATATAAGTTAAGGTATAAAAATGTGTATGATTTGATATATATATATATATATATATATATATATATATATATATATATATTTCAATATGTGGTAGATGATATCTGAAATGATATCCAAAATCTGTAACATGATACCTAGAGACTTCTACTATAATTTATTACGAACGAATTAAAGTCATTCTGTTTTTTTTTATATATATACATAGTACACACTAAATGTATGAATGACTTTCTCCTTGTCTACCCATTTTAGAGTGCTAATAATAGTACACTCGTGAGTTCGTATAGAATACATTTGCACACATTTGAGTATATAATTTTCATATAGGAGACATCTTTTTACCAAAGAATCGCATCTACAATTGTAATTATGCATGCACATAATATTTGGTTTATGTGCGATAAATAAAAGAACATTATAGATATTAGCATTTAGAGAAAGAGGGAAGAAACGCTGAAGCTGCAGACGTTTTCAAAAGAAATGACGTCAAGGATACTAAATAAATATATTTGGCATTGTGAAGAACAAATATTTGCATAAGTATTCATAAATATAACATATATACATGTTTGTATGTAAGACGATTAGATCGAAGTGAACGGCTGCAATAAATATGTAAGTGTGTAATATGTATTTAGATAGATAAAATCGCATCATGGTCGGGGCATCTCGATTCAAAAGATTCAACTCGTGCTGAATGAAACCCATTCAGTTGTGTCTGCCTCGAGCGAAAAGCTAAATATATAGTCGGGTGCAGTTCAGTCGCGTAATATTCGAGTTGCTTAATTTTAGAAAATAGTTAATTACTACGCAAGGTCTGTCGAGAGCAGTACGCATATGTATATATAAGTTAGACTACAAAATATATATTCTTTCCGTACATGAAATTATTCTTGCGGCAATCTTCATGCAACAATTTAAATTGATCAAACCAGTGCCTCAATCCAAATACATTTCTTCATACGCATCAGCAAACACATATATATAAAGATTATATACCCAGATCAGAATGAAGGCCTTTTACGAACTAAGCAAACTAACTAATAATTTGAAATGCAAATGTATGTTGTCCAGCGTTTTTAATTTTATTTAAACCCAATATTACAGTTGTTGAGGCCAGGCGAGGTTGGTGAAGGACAGGTGAGAGTTAGTTGTGTTTGTCGATTCATTCGTAGTGTTTGGTTACATTTCTCTTAACAAAAAAACGTTTGTTCTGAGATTGTTCGGATTATTTCAACTTCTCAAAAACCGCACCACAATTGAAAACATTATACATCACTTGCATATGACTTGCGAGCTCGAAAATTTGTATACCAGACAGAATACAAACAGTACTACTATCACATATCATATCATCTATCAAATCTTACATATATTATTAAGTAATAACAAAAACTCACCTATCTATTTAGATATTCTTAAATAAATGCTCAAAATGTTTTTAAATATGAATAATTAGATCCAATCTAATCTTATCTTTTCCGAAATATAATACATTTTGTCAGAAAGTGGGCTTTACGACTAATATACTATATTCTGTGAATGCTCGCGACGAACTAAGTAAAACACAAATTTTATTTTGATCAACAATAATTTATTAGATTTTGTACTCTTCTTTAAAACTTACCAAACTTTTAGTGTGTCTGCCGTTATTCTAATAATGTGTAGTTCGATATCTGTATATGATTTTTTGATTTGATTTAATAAATAAAGCAGTAGATACATATTTCATTGGCCTCGTCTACAAATAAAAAGTTTTAGCTGAAAACAGAAGAGGTTTTTAAAATGAACAGAGGATAACATTTTTAGCTGATATTATCTTTTATTAGGAAAAATAAAAATAGTTACGCATATGATGAGATATATTCTTACGGCTTCAAATGACAAATTATTTGGCCTCATTAAAAGTAGTGCATGAATATATACTCACAGTAATAATTTTTTATTACCATCGGGCATTTAAATTTATCCTTTTTTTGATCTCGATAGCAACAACAGCGACCCGGCGAAATGGGCGATGCGAAACAGGTCTTTAATTACGATCGAACGATCACATATTTATATTCAATTTTTTTACGCTTGAGTTCTTGTTGGTGACTGATTTGAAAAAGACTGATATGTAAAAAAGTTGCAGTCGGACTTAGCCGACTGCACAATACTCGTTCACAGCATTATATTTTTCAATTCAAAATGTATGTTTTTTAATTGTTTACAACTTCAAGGACCCAAAAGAACCAAGGACCCTGAGGTATAACTTTTTCTAATTCTTTGTGTCTTATGCTATTCTGAGTATTCAAACTCACAAATTTAAAAATTTTAGTTTCAATAAATATAATTATTCGAATTCGTGGACGAGTATTAAAAAGCATTTGAAAGTATTATGAAAAGCGTAAATAACATTTAAGATATATATTTGTAAATATAGAACCAACAAATTACAAATACCAAAACGATATATGTACATATATATATATATACATGTGTATACAAACAACTATATATATGTATATCATATTAAATTATATTATATATATATTGATTTGTATAGTGTATATATTTAAATTTAGTAGCGATTGACGCAAAATGTTGAACACTCCAAATGTAAATAATACATTCATAAATATTTCTATGTTTTGGGAGCTCGGGGAGTGAATACTTAATGGAAATTTAATGATATTAAGGCGAATGAACACTGCGGAACTTAGTTAGCTGCAGTTACATAGACGCAGCACAAAAGATTTGTAATTAAAAACACAAACACTGTTTGATTAACTTAGAGTAATTGATATGTTAACATCAGTAATTAATAAAGTACATTCCACATTTCTACTAATGCTCATTCACTCTTGACTTAACCTTAACTCTTAATTTTAACCATTCATCAATATTTTTGAATTTGTAGTCGCGTTTAGTTGCCACATATTCATATTATCAAAGTCACTTCGAATGTGTCTCTGGTACAGTATTTATTATTTAATGATCAGTAATACTATGGATGTTGAAGTTCAGTTTAGTAGTTGACATTCCTTAAAACCTTTCTTCCGCAGTATGCGTTTTAATAATTTGCGTTTGTATATAATCCGTATCTTAGACGAGTGAATAACAATGTGTTCACAATTTGAATCTGCAAATGTACTTACAAAAAACAGCTCTTATCCATGTGAAAAGAAACTTATGTATTAACTATCTACATCTTTGTCTATGTTTATATTTATTTTGTCGTGTTGTGTCAAACAATTTTGTTGATCGTCCCCATAATCGTCGTAAATTACACCACCAAAGCGGAGACGTCCCTCAATTGACGTGCGTAGACCTAGCGTTCAGGACTTGGAAGATCTTATCAATAAGCCATCCACGCCATTGCGCGATGTCGGCGACGGTGGTCCACCATCAATTACTGATGTCCAGGAGTCCTACTCAGTGGTCGAAGGTATGTGTCCCTATTACCCAATTAAATATATGTATGTATAAATATGTATGTGTCTGTGTACTGCAGTCTTTTTTGATGATATGGTTCGTATTATTGTTATTCTGTATCTGTGTCTGTATCTGAATCTGTCACTAGATCAGTATCTGTATTTGTATCTGTAAACACAATGTAAATTTGATTGATGCCTACATCTGTCTGTCTGTCTGTCGTACGACCGCAGTGGTGCAAGAAACTTACAATCTTAAAGATTCGATTCCTATTTTTTATTATAAATAAAAATCAATATTGACCCAAGACAATTAATAAACTCTGCACTTAATTCTGCATCTATTGCAAGTAGTTTATTTCGAATAGTAATTGAAACAGCAATTTTTTGCAGGGTACAGGCTATCTCTTAGTCGCACCCTCCCAACTGGAGCACTCTCACTTGATATCATTATGAAGTCGCGTGACTAACCAATAATACATTGTGTATACATACTTCTTGTGTTCTTTGTACCCTTTACCCACATTTGTAGACTCGACGGCCTACCTTACTGTGACCATCGAGGGAAATCCTGCCCCCACTTTCAAATTCTACAAAGGAGTTAGTGAGATTCTTGAAGGTGGTCGCTACAAGTTCCTTACAGATGGACAATCAAATTCAATCACATTGTGCATGCGAAAGTGCAAGCCCAATGATGAGGGCAAATATAAGGTTGTCGTGTCGAATATACACGGCGAGGACTCGGCCGAAATGCAGTTATATGTCTCCGATTCCAGCGGCATGGATTTCCGTGCTATGTTAAAGAAACGTCGTTATCAAAAATGGGACAAAGAAGAACAAGACCCCAATTGGGGCGATCTTAAAGAAACTGAAAAGCCATTGCCGGCTTTAAAGAAAGTCGAAAGGGTAAGAAGCAGGTTGTTCTCGGCTTACTATCATTTGCTTAACCACTTACTTATAGAGCTCTCTATACTGTGGTGATAATATCCTTCTAAAGTTGACTGAGCAATATAATCACATAGCATGCTTGGCCATTTCACTGTTATGTATTTAACTGCAGGCCAACTAATTGCCTGTCAGTCTAAGATCTTTCGTTATTCTCTTATACAAACGATTTAGAAATTTTGTGTATATTTCTATTTCGTAGCAATTTTCATTTAGGAAGCTTCACTTCGCACCATTTCTCATTCATAATGTTTCTGAAAACTTCCATATCAAGTAGCAAACAAAAAAAGGTAGCTTAACGCATTTAGGTGAAATTATGACAAAAGATAGAGAAAATATACTTGTATAAGGGCATATAGTCAAATGGAAAATTATTTTTTCCAACCGATTCACAATATCAATTAAAAAGTTATGGTTAATATATGCCCGAAATGAATTTCAAAATCAATTGATAAAGTTATAAGTATATATTTGATCTATATCTGATCTTTATGAACATGTGTGTATATGTATGTGTAATGCAACACAGGCGCCAACACTACGTAGACCATCCCTAGCTGAGCTGATCCCCGATTGGCCGACGTTGCATCCGTTTCGCCGTGAGGAGGTGTGCTTTACTTCTGAGTTATTTACTTATAATACTTATAACAAAAATACAATAATTTACATTTTTATGTACAAAATAGTTTTACAGTCCAAGGCAAAAGCTTGTTTTTTGGCGATTTGGATTGATGCCGTTTTTTCCTTTTTCTTTCAAATTGTACAAGCTCAGATCGATTTAGTATTCAATGATTCCGAATGTATTTATATGGAATTGAATGGAATGCGATATCCTTAAAATCTACTTATTCTTCTCTCTCGTAGAGCATTTGATAGGGAATTTGAATTTTGTTATTACCTATACATATGGCGCTATATTCTATAACATAAAGACAATACAATGTATGTCTATTTTGACAAAGATTCACACACATACAATATTTTGATCATATATAATTGTCAATCAATCATGATTTCCATTATGTTTTCAACAATTTGCTGTCAGTTATCTTGATTATCTATATAACTCAGAATTCGATATACGAAATTACTCCAATGGGTATTATTATTTTTTTGTCCAATATATGCAGATTCACTAATATTCATTTTGCAAATTAAATTAACAATCCACAAGTAATACTGTACTTTATTTTAAAGATCATATCAAATTAAATAAGTATATATATATTTATATATATATATATCTTCACTCATAAATCGGGTTCATTTTCATGTGATTATTCATATGTGATTGAGCACGATAATTTACGCAATACGCAAAAAATAAAATATTAGTAAAGGTACTTTCTTATTAAAAATTGCAATGCTTTGCTTACAAACTATATCAAAAGAGATATTGTTTTTTGGGATCTTTGTTTTCTTTTCACTATTTTTTATTTAAATAGTTTTAGTTTTTTCTAATTTTTGTTTTGCATTAATTATTATTATTTTAATTGGTACCAGTACCTTCTAATTACTATAATAATAGCACAAATACTGCTGTGACAAAAATTTAGCTAAAGCTTGGCTAATCTGGATGTCAACATATTTGTACTATTATTATTAATTTATAAATTGAATTTTCTACTAAGTAATCGTATATCAAATTTATTGTCGTTTGACGTCTTTACCCATTTTTGACAACGCAAAAAAAAACAATATAAAACTTATCAACAACAACAACAAAAACAACGTGATTATAACAGAAGGTAGAATCATTCCTTAGTCCATTGATCGACCAGTTCGCCAAGGAAGGCAAGGATAAAAAGGTTGTATTTGAGGCCAGATTCAGCAAACCTAATTGCAAGCCCAAATGGTTATTCCGCAAGGATGTAAGTATGAACTTAAAATAATAATAACAATAACAATAAAATTAATGATAATAAATTAAAAAGAACTACATTTTGCTGTTACTCGGAAAGTATCTTGAACCTTTTTGAAAAAACTATAATAAATATGTAAACATTAATCTGTTAACAACAGATTTATCTTCTTGATTGGAGGTGTTAAAGAATACAAATTAGAAGAACAGCAACCATTACAACAAATGTTTGAATTAAAAATCATATATTAATATATTATTTAAACCCTTTAATAGGAGGTGTTTACAGGCAGTAAATTCAAATTCAAGCAAGAAAATGATACATATCAATTGATCATAACCGGACCTAAGGTGGAAGACACGGGAAAATACACAATTGAGATCGGAGGTGTCTCCAGTACGGCATTCCTCAATGTCGAGGAAGCTGATCCCACATATACATTTACAAAGCCCCTTAAAAAGAAACTAGAAGGCTTTACCGAACATGAGACCACACTAGAGTGTGCCGTTAGCAGTAGCATGGCGAATGTTCACTGGTTTAAGGACAATAAGAAGATTGAATCGGATGATCCACGTTTCTTGATCTCCAAAGATATAAATGGTAATCTAAAGCTAATTATCAAGGAGTCCCTATTGGAGGACAGCGGTCAATACAGGTGTCAATTGGACAAGCAGCCAGATAAAACTGAAACGGCATTAAAGATAGTCGAGTATCCATATAAATTTGTGAAAGTCCTCAAATCACAGCAATGCATTGAGAAGGACACCGTCACTTTATCCTGCGAAATCGATGATGCCCAAGGCGAAGTTCAGTGGTTCCGCAACAACGAGGAAATCAAACCAGACAAGCGAATGCAAGTCATCAAGGAAGGTCGCAAACGCAAACTGGTAATCAAGGATTGTAAGGTAACTGATGCTGGTCAATTCAAGTGTACGACAAACGCTGATAAGACTGAGGCAGAGATTATTATAAATTGTAAGTGAGAAGCTTGAAAAGTCCGCAGACAAATACACACTTGATATTCGATCAACTGATCTAATGAGTTCCATTGCAGATCAAAACCGTTTCAACAAGAAACTTAAGGACACCGATGCTGTTGAGCGAGAGAAACTTGTGTTGGATGTCGAATTACAGGACCAGACAGCTCCTTGCGACTGGAAATTCAATGGCGAACCAATAGTGCCAAATGAGCGTATTGAAATTAAAAACTTAGGCGGTGGCAAGCACCAGCTTGTTTTTAACAATCTAGAGCTAACCGATGCAGGTGAAATCACCTGTGAGTCTGGTCAGCTCAACTCAACGTGCAATCTATCTGTGCGCCAGGGCGAGAGCAGGCCCAATATTGACTGTCGGGATGAGTTTGCTGGACCAATAAGTGCGCCTGTTATTGTTGAGGTACCATTCAAAGGTAAGTCAAATTAATTCATCAAATCAATACTAACAATCAAATTGATTATAGTATAAATAGATAAGGATAAAGGCAACCTTTTTAGCCAAGCGGCTGATGTATATATAGTCTTTACCAAATCCCAAAAGGGCTTCTTACACAAAACTCAAATTTCAACTAAAATTCTCATCCAAATATGTAAGAAAAGCAAACTAAAATTGGTTATCTCTATTCGAATCAGGTCGAGTAGTGAGTAGTAGGGACGTGAAATAATGATATATTGAAAGGAAATATATAAGAGTTTTCATTCAAATAACCTTAACAATGCAAATATTACGCAAATTTCTCTATGGAGGTGCATATGTATCTATTTTATTATCATTTTCAGTAGTCATTTTCTTTATAGTTTCCAAGAGTCTTTGTACGCGGAGTAACATGGCTAAGCTTAAACATTGTACCCCTCCCTCTTTTAATAATTTTTTTTCCAAAAATCTAACGTATGCTTCTTAAATATCTACTGTCAGATAAAGTCTAAGTTAATAACATGACAAATATAGTTATACAGTCTTTACAGTCCACACAAATGCCATCTGCTATGAGCTAGTCTTTTTAAAATATATTAAGATAATTATTCTTATTGTAATTGTTGAACCTAATAAATAAAAGAAAATATTAATTTTCTTTTCCCAAATCAATCAATAACAATATAAATTAAATTTATATATTTATACATAGTTAGCGGTACTAAGCAATCTCCAGTTGAGGCAAAATTAATTAAGGACGGAAAACCTTTGCCTGTCAAAGATGTTGAGGTTGCGGTAACGGATGATAAGGTCACATTTAAGTTAAAGAAACCATCCAGAGACCTATCAGGACCATATCAGATCAAAATTTCAAATGGTCAAGGCGAAGACACAAAAGATGTTAACATTATTTGCCAAGACGTTCCACAACCGCCACTCGATGTTGATGTAACCGATGTTTTCCAAACATCGTGTGTGGTTAACTTTAAGCCCCCGGCAGATAATGGCGGTACTCCTATTTTAAAATATATTATCGAGCGTCAAGACTTGAGCAAAAAACAAGGCTGGGAGCCTGTCGCTGAGGTTCTACCAAGTGAACCTTGTCAAAAGAAGATCGATGACTTAGTGCCAAAGAAGCAGTACAGATTTCGTATACGTGCTGTAAACAAAATTGGTCCATCTGATCCGGCTACATTTAAGAACTCAATACTAGCAAAAGATCCGTGGGATGAGCCGGGCAAACCCAAAGCCGTTGACCTTACAGATTGGGACAGAGATCACGCTGACCTTAAATGGGAGGCACCAGATAGTGATGGTGGCGATCCGATTATCTCTTATATTATTGAATATAAAGAGAAATTCTCAAATGATTGGGTTCCCGGAAAAGAAGTGCCGGGAGATGCCAGGGTCGGCACCGTTGATAAGCTCAAAGAGGGCCAACAGTACGAATTTAGAGTCCGTGCTGTTAATCGGGCAGGTCCTGGCGAGCCTAGCGACAAGACTAAAGCCATTATTGCCAAATGCCGCTTTGTTAAACCATTCCTTGTTGGTGATGGTCTTAAAAATATAACTGTAAAGAAGGGACAGACCGTACGCTACGATATTAAATACGACGGTGAACCAGAGCCAGCGGCTAGTTGGCTTAAGTCCAATGAGCCTCTTAAGTTTGACAATCAGCGCATCTGTCTGGAGCAACTAGAGCGGAACTCATCGATTACTATCAAAAAGTCTGTACGCAAAGATACTGGCAAATATAAGCTAGTTTTGACCAATAGTTCGGGTACTATTGAGTCTGAAGCCCAAGTTATTGTATTGGATCGTCCACTTGCACCGGGTGGGCCATTTGAGCCGGAAGAGGTTCGAGCTCACCGCATTAAAATGAAATGGAGACGACCCGAAGATGATGGTGGCTGTGAAATCACGGGCTATGCACTCGAACGCATGGACGAAGAGACTGGCCGTTGGATACCAGCTGGAGAAGTTGGTCCCGGCGAAACCTCGTTTGACTTTAAGGGTTTGACACCAAATAAAAAATATAAGTTCCGTGTGAAAGCTATAAACAAAGAGGGTGAATCAGAACCACTAGAAACAACTGATGCAATTCTTGCTAAGAATCCCTATGATCCGCCAAGTCCACCCAGCCAACCCGTTATTGATGATTATGATAACAAAAGTGTCTCGCTTAAATGGAAACGACCACCATCTGATGGTGGACGTCCTATTACTCATTATATCGTTGAAATTAAGGATAAATTTTCACCAACATGGAGTGAAGTTGCCAAAACCGAAGATCCAACACCCGAATGCAAAGTGGACGGGCTAAAGGAAAAAATGGTATATCAGTTCCGAGTGCGGGCAGTCAACAAGGCTGGCCCATCTGAACCGTCTCAGCCCACAGACAATCATCTTTGCAAGCATAAGAACCGTAAGTTATCTAACTTATTCTTGTTTTTTAGTTTTATTGCATAATCCATAATCTGTATAAAGCATATTAAATTAATTTGATTTTGGCTTAACATACATTCAATGCATATGTATACAAATAATTCTTTCAGAATGACATTCATACAACATTGAACAACACGACAAGCTTTATATCAGTGACATTAGTACTTACATTGTTATGTAACTAAATTAAACAAAGATGCAATCCGTCGCATTTATTTATTGAAAATCTTTACTACAAAACTCAAGAAAATATATATATATATATTTCGATCAATCTTAGCTATAAGATTTAGAACATAGAATGAACATTAGAATGGGCGTAGATATTTGTAATATAAATTTTGTCTTTCGGTGGTCCTCAATACGAGTATGTGACTACACTTGACTGTGGTGTTGTTCAGTTATGTAATAATCTTTACTCCTTTGAGCTATTGCACTAGTCGTTGAGTGCGTAGACGGCATGCTTAGAATCCTCAAACAGTAGCAGTTTCTGGTTTCTCCTCTTAATGCTGTTTGTGTCGCCCTCTGTGTAACATTTCAATTTTTCTATGCTTACCAGAGTTTTCTGGGACGTCCAGGCACATCGTTGGTTATGCGTTTATTACCTTGTTGGTTGATAATCCACCTATATTGCCGAAGGCAATGCATCCAAGTGTAAAATTTTTCCCAGTGTATTGTTGATTTTCTTCAATTTTTTCCAACATTATTAAATCGACACCAATAACAGCATCAAAATGACTGAGCTCGTTAAAATGTGAGTTTGTTAGCTCGCAACCCATCCAATCCTTATTGACATTCATGTCAATTTTCTTAATCGGTAGAGCTCTCTGAAGTTTTGGCCTGGGTTTGATTGTTAAGCAAACGCTATTTTTAAGAATTTCCACATTTTGAGAAATTCCTTGAAATCTAAACGTTGCGTTTGATTCGGCGCAGTTTTAACTATTGTGCGGCTTCTTCAGATAATAAAATTTTTTGCAAGCCTCCATCGATAAGAGCCCTTAGATGCTCGTATTTTTCAGACTTATTTTTAAACTGGATAAACGTAGTCGCCAGCAACGTATTCTACCCTTTACTTTCATTTAGACAGTTGCTGCTGATAGTCTCTTTATTATTTCCATCCTCGTGAAGCAAATTGTGTGCTTTGCATTGATGGCAAGAGAAATTCTTTTTGCAATCTTTAATGGGTACAGACATATTTATTCACTAACTCCTTGCGCTTTTTAACAGGTTCAGCTCTAAATCTCTGACACCTGGTTATCTCATGTCCAGTCCATTGGCAAAAACGGCATATTCTGTAGCGCGTTGTCTTTGCTTTTATCGACGTATGGACGGAACTCTTTTCCACTGAGTCTATTGAGTTAAACAGTTGCTTAATAAACTTCAGCACATTGTCGAAGGACTGTATTTCTGTAGCCTTCTTTACATGCTGATAGTAAGGTTGTAGGACTTCCGTAGAGAATCGTCGCAACAGAATATGAGTTTCATTAAAAAAATGACCTTTTTCTTTAAAGATGAAAATGCATTCTGTTGCTGTGTCCAAGAACTGCGGATTCTGCCTCGGAGAATAGTTCGAAGAACGTTGGCCACTCTTTGGGCCATCCATTAAAGTGAGGATGATCCACTTTCGGTAGCTCTGGAAAGTCTTCTTTTTCTTGTTGGTATGCTGATATTGCATTCCAGCTCATATTTTGCCTCTAAATCCGTGAGCGTTGACTGAACTTTGTTCCACAGGAAAATCAACTTGCCTTTATAGTCAAGGATTTCTTCTTGGCTACTGAGCTCTAGATTGGCATACACTTCTTGCATGTGTTGAATTACTTTTAGATCTGTTCTGTCCACAAGGTCTACCATCAAATCAATTGGGCTCGAGCTTCTTTGGAAAAGTATTATTTTCTGTTGCCTAAGTTGTACCTTGGATGTCTTTGGTTGGATGGATGCTGTTCGGTCGGTGTTTACGGCATAATCGGCAACTTCGACTTTCATCAGAGACTCTACAAAGCTCCTGATGTTTTCCATTATACCATTTTCTCCTTAAGATATCGCTGGTTGCCAATTTGTTTGCGATGCTCTGCCGGATCTTGTCATAAATCTCTGTTTGCTTTTTGAGTAACTCAAGAGTTTTGTCGACAGCATTTTGCTTGTGTAAATTTGTTCTTGATTTAATCTTTGGGCTGACCTGTTGGAAGTGTTTTTGTTTTAATCGTATTGTACTAGCTCCTAGTCGTTGAGTGCGCAGAGGGCATGTTTAGAATCCTCAAATATGTTGTATGTTAATGCTTGAACAAGTATATATTTCAAGTTCGATGTCTCCAGCTTCATAGTGCCCTCAATATTAACATCGGCAAAATAACTTACGTTGCTTACATGGTCACACTGACAGGCAGATGGACATAAACTAATATAAAACTTAAATTATTGCATTTAATAGCTAGCTCAAAAAACTATTTTACAGCATATCGCAAAAGACTTACTGCTACCGCTTTGATTATGTACGTATCTGCTTAAATTAGAAATGATCCTTTTCAATACAATGTGTGCTTGCAACTAACGTTCTTTCGGATTTGATTAATTCTTTGTATCGTATATAATTTATTAGTCAAGCCGCAAATTGATAGATCGACATTCAAACGCGTCACAATCAAAAGTGGACGTACTCACAAATGGTCGGTTGACATTACCGGGGAGCCGGTACCCGAGGTACATTGGAGTTGGCGGGACGACGTTCCACTGACAACTGGGGATCGCATTAATATCGATAATATTGATTATCACACGGACTTTGTTTTAACGAATGCCAAGCGCAAAGACAGCGGTTTTTACACATTGAAGGCAGAAAATCGGAATGGTGTTGATCGCGAGACCGTTGAATTAGTTGTTCTTGGTAGGCCAAGTTCTCCGAAAGGACCTCTTGCTGTCAGCGACGTCACAGCAACTGGATGCAAGTTACAATGGAAAAAACCTGAAGATGATGGCGGCGTACCGATCAAGGAATATGTAGTTGAGAAAATGGATACAGCAACTGGCAAATGGATCAGGGTTGGACGATCTCCAGGCGAAAAAGAACCACCTACTTTTGATGTTACAGGTTTGAATCCCGGCTCTGAGTATATGTTCCGGGTGTCAGCTGTAAATGAGGAGGGCGAATCCGAGCCACTGACGACGCTCGTTAGTGTTGTTGCCAAGGATCCCTTCGATGAGCCCAATAAACCAGGAACTCCTGAAGTTACCGACTATGACAATCAGAGTATTAGCTTAAAATGGACACCGCCCAATCATGATGGTGGAGCTCCAATACAAAAATATATTATTGAAATGAAGGATAAGAATAAGCCAGAGTGGGAAAAGGTTCTCGAAACCCCTGGCGATCAATTAGAAACAACGGTTGCCGGTCTCCAAGAATATGGTGAATATCAGTTCCGTGTCATTGCAGTCAATAAAGCTGGTCTATCGCCACCATCAGACGCGAGCGTTTCACAAATCGCCAAGTACAAAAAATGTAAGTATCTAGAAAAATAACAAGTCGCAATTATTTACAATATGTTAAAAATTTTCATTCAACAGTGAAACCTCGTATTGATAGAACCAATTTGAAGCCATTGCTTATTCGGGCTGGAAAGCCAATTAAGTATGATGTGAATGTACGTGGCGAACCTATTCCTACTATAATATGGTATCAAAACGATAAGGAACTGAAGCCTGCGGACTTGCCAAGCAATTGCGAGATTCAAAATATTCCGCACAATACGAAAATTTCAATTATTGACACTGTGAGAAAGCATACGGGCACATATAAAATACGAGCTGTCAATGAGCATGGAGAAGATGAAGCAACCGTTGAAGTTAACGTTTTAGCACCTCCTGGTAAACCGAAGGGTCCCCTAGCTGTCAAAGATATTACCAAAGACAGTTGCAAATTAAAATGGCAAAAGCCTGAAGATGACGGTGGTAAGCCGATTACGGCTTACCAAGTCGAAAAATTCGATAAGAAACAAGGTCGCTGGGTACCTGTCGGTCGTACCTCTGGCAATGATACCGAATTTGATGTCAAGGGCCTTCAGGAAGGCCATGAGTATCAGTTTCGGGTTAAGGCCATTAATGAGGAAGGTGAATCTGAACCTTTGGAGACCGATAGCAGCATATTAGCAAAGAATCCCTATGATTCTGCCAGTAAGCCAGGTACACCAAAGATCGATGATTACAATGAACACTTGGTCAAGCTAAAATGGGAGCCACCTAAGGATGATGGCGGTGCGCCAATCACTGGCTATATTATTGAGAAAAAGGATAAGTTTTCACCCATATGGGATGAAGTTCTTACTACTAATGTAAGTATTTCTATTAGACACTGTGTGCATATTCTGTGTTTAATTCATTAATTAAAGTTATAAATATAAAGTTATGCCTAATTAAATCCTTTACCCGCCATATATAGTCACCTACACCTGAGGCAACAGTCGATGGCCTTACCGAAGGAAACGTGTATCAATTCCGTGTTCGCGCTATCAACAAGGCTGGCCCCAGTGAGCCAAGCGACGCAACAGAGCCTCACTTGGCGAAACCGAGAAACCGTAAGAACTCATCATAAATTTTTTGGCATCAAATTTAGAATGGAAAGTGGGAAAATAATTCGCTTATTTGTTATTGTATTATTATTAATAATATTATTTTAGTTGCTTTTTATTTCATTTCTGGTACGTATACGCTTATGCTTGTTTTTATGTTAAGCCAAACATTGATTTAATTTTTTAATATTTCAACAATTGTCCATATTATATTAAGCATGCGAAACGAATCTAAACTAATACAAAATACAATACAATTTTAGTAAAGCCATTTATAAATCGCGAGAAAATGAAGCCTGTCAAGGTACGAGCTGGTCAAACGGTTAAGTTTGATGTAGATGTTAAAGGTGAGCCAGCCCCCACTCTATCATGGTTCTACAAGGATAAGGAAGTAACACCTAGTGGACAATTCCGTTTGGATAACGAGGACTACAACACAAAACTCACATTATTGGATAGTTCACGAAAGGATACTGGAGTTTATAAGCTGAGGGCTGAGAATATTAATGGTGTTGATGAAGCTGAAGTCGAAGTCATTATATTGGACAAGCCAGCTAGGCCCGAAGGACCCTTGGATGTCTCGGATATACATAAGGAAGGCTGCAAACTGAAATGGAAGAAGCCCAAAGATGATGGCGGAGTGCCTCTATCAGGTTATGCCGTTGAAAAAATGGATACAGCAACTGGTAAATGGGTCCCTGTGGGAACTGTTGATCCTGAAAAGACAGAACTTGATGTGAAAAACTTGGATCCCAATCATCGTTATCAGTTCAGAGTTAAAGCCATTAATGAAGAAGGTGAATCGGAACCTCTTGAAACGGATTCGGCCATTACTGCTAAGAATCCATTCGATGTATCTGCACCTCCTGGACTACCAGAACTTGAGGATTGGGACGAGCACCATGTTAAACTGAAATGGGAACCACCAATCCGCGATGGAGGTTCTCCCATTACAAATTATATTATTGAAGTTATGGACAAAGATTCTGGAGAGTTCGTTAAAGCAGCAGAAACAGAAGGACCACTTTGCAAGGGAGTTGTTAAAAAACTGGAAGAGGGTCAGCAATACAAATTCCGCGTTCGCGCTGTAAACAAAGCTGGTCCCTCTGAGCCATCAGAACAAACTAATTGGCATACTGCCAAGCCGCGCTTCCGTAGGTTTTTTTATAAATTATATTTATCATATTGATATTGATTTATTGTTTTCTATTCTAAACAGTGAAACCACATATTGACAGAACAAACTTAAAACCTGTTATTGTAAAGGCAGGCTTATCCATCAGCTTGGACATTAATATAAAAGGTGAACCAGCTCCGAAAGTGGAATGGCTGTTTAATGACTTACCTGTGCTCAGTGATGAAGAAGGTATTAAAATTGACAATGTTGATTATAATACAAAATTCTTTGTTATGAGAGCCAAACGTCCCCAAAGTGGCAAATATACCATTAAGGCAACAAATGAAGTTGGCGAAGACATCGCTGAATTGGATGTGACCGTACTGGGCAAACCAGGTAAACCCAAGGGTCCCTTGCAAGTTAATGATATTACCAAACACAGCTGTAAGCTGAAGTGGGAAAAGCCTGATGACGATGGTGGCGCTCAAATTGACTATTATGAAATAGAAAAACTGGATCCACATACCGGGCAATGGCTACCATGCGGGAAGAGTTCCGAGCCTGAAGCTAAGGTAATCGGCTTGCACGAAGGAAAACCCTATAAGTTCCGTGTGCGCGCTGTCAATAAAGAGGGCGAATCTGAAGATTTGGAATCAGATAAGCCAATTATTGCTAAGAATCCATTTGATGAGCCAGATAAACCAGGTCGACCGGAGCCAACCAATTGGGATAAGGACTTTGTCGACTTAGCTTGGGATCCACCCAAAAACGATGGGGGCGCCTCTATTCAAAAATACATAATTCAAATGCGTGACAAGTCAGGTCGCGCCTGGGTAGATGCCGGTACAGTTCCTGGTGACAAGACCAAGGGCACTGTATCCGCTGTTGAAGAAGGACACGAATACGAATTCCGCATTGTCGCTGTTAATAAAGCAGGACCAAGTGAGCCTAGTGATGTTTCCAAATGTGTTGTGGCAAAGCCGCGTTTTTTGAAACCACACATTGATCGCAAGAACCTACAAAAGAAAGTTATGCGCAGTGATCAAATGTTGCACATGGATGCAGCTGTCAAGGCCGAGCCTCCAGCTAAAATAATTTGGACCTACAATGGAGCCGAAATAAAAAACAACGACAAAATTAAGATTGAAAATGAAGATTACAAAACAACTTTTATCATGCCCAAAGTGAAACGTAACGATAAAGGTATTTACATAGTTACAGCTAAAAATGATTCTGGTGTGGACACCGTTGAAGTCGAACTTGAGGTACTATGCAAACCAAGCAAGCCGAAGGGTCCATTGGCCGTCTCTGATGTGACAGCTGAGAGCGTACATTTGAAATGGGATAAGCCCGATGATGATGGAGGCGAGCCCATTGAGCATTACGTTGTTGAGCGTATGGATACAGAAACAGGTCGGTGGGTACCTGTCCTAACAACTAAAACGCCGGAAGCAGACGTAACTGGCCTAACTGAAGGAAAAGAATACCTGTTCCGTGTTAAGGCTGTTAATGCTGAAGGTGAATCGGAGCCTTTAGTAACTGATATTCCGGTTACTGCCAAGAACCCGTATGATGCCGCAGATACACCCGGTAAGCCACAAATAGTCGATTGGTCGGCGAATCACGCAGATCTTAAGTGGCGGGCACCCGATGACGATGGTGGTGCACCAGTCACAGGATATATTGTCGAAAAGAAAGACAATAACACTGGAAAATGGCAGAAAGTTATGGAATCAAATACACCCGATTGCAAGGCTCGTGTTAACGATTTAATTGAAGGAACTAAGTACCAATTCCGTGTCAAAGCAGTTAATAAAGCTGGTCAAAGTAAGCCATCGGAGCCATCTGACCAAATGATTGCTAAAGATCGATTTGCAGCACCCAAAATCGATAGAACAAATATTAAGGATATCACCATCAAAGCCGGCCAACATATACGCTACGACATTAAAATTTCTGGCGAACCACCACCATCCAAGACATGGTTCCATAACAAAGCTCGTATCGAAAATGATGACTACAACATCGATATGGAATCGTATCGCACCAAGCTGGCCGTGCCATTTGCAAAACGATTACATACTGGTAAATACACCATTAAGGCCGAAAATGAGTCCGGCCATGATGAAGCATCATTTGAAGTGGCCGTTCTCGATAAGCCAGCATCACCAGAGGGTCCACTGCGTGTAACGGATATTCACAAAGAGGGATGCAAACTGAAATGGAATCCACCTCTAGACGATGGTGGACTGCCTATAGAACACTATGTTGTTGAGAAACTGGACGTGGAATCGGGACGGTGGGTGCCCTCTGGACGTTTCAAAGAACCATTCGCTGAACTGAATAACCTAGAGCCTGGTCATGAATATAAGTTCCGGGTATTAGCTGTAAATACAGAAGGCGAATCGGAACCATTATCCGGAGAGCAATCTATAATTGCAAAGAATCCATTTGATGAGCCCGGTAAGCCAGGAACTCCGGAGCCTGTTGATTGGGACAAGGATCATGTGGATTTGGTATGGCGGCCACCTCACAATGACGGCGGCTCCCCAATTACTGGCTATGTGGTGGAAAAACGTGAAAAAGGCACAGATAAATGGATCAAGGGAGCTGAAATATCTGCTCCGGCATTTGGCGAAGAATGCAAAGCTTCTGTGCCAAATCTTGACGAAAACTGCGAATATGAGTTCAGAGTAAAAGCTATTAATGCAGCGGGTCCTGGAGAGCCATCAGATGCTAGCAAATCTGTCATCACGAAACCAAGAAAGTGTAAGTAATCCATTGGCATAGTCTACAAGTTCCTACATCCGATATTTGTTCGCACAGAGAGCTAAATATAAATGATTAATTTCATAATGAAATCTATTTTTATTAATACATTATTCTGTTTTAAAACATCTTAAGTAAAGTTTAAGAATAATTTACCTTTTTGTAAATAGACTAAAGCTATATTTACCTTCGCCATTTCAAAATGATTTCTTTCAATTACCAGAAATATGTTTTTATTTCATTAGACTTACATTACACTCCATCTAAAATCTGTTATTATTTTACACTTTGTCTTCTTTATACAGTGGCACCAAAGATCGATCGCAAAAATATACGCACATACAATATTAAGGCTGGAGAGCCGATTTTCCTAGACATCAATGTCAGCGGTGAGCCAGCTCCAGAAATAAGCTGGACTCAAAACGGCAAAAGCGTTTATCCCACATCCGCAAGCCACATAGAAACAGTTCCCTACAATACAAAATATATCAATAGTAGGCCAGAGAGAAAAGACACTGGACTTTATAAAATTGCCGCCCATAACCTTTATGGTCAAGATCAAGTCGAATTCCAGATAAACATTATAAGTAAGTACATATTTTTATGGGCTTACATACTTTACATACTTTTTAAATCAGTTTGAAGTTACCGGTCAGTCAATATCTATCCGATACAACTTCTATAATTAATCAAATATAGTATTATACTTACATTGGATATACAAACCCTTGCAGCTAAGCCTGGCAAGCCGGAAGGCCCGCTAGAAGTATCCGATATTCACAAAGACGGATGCAAGCTTAAGTGGAAAAAACCAAAAGATGATGGAGGGGAGCCTATTGATAGTTATTTGGTCGAAAAGTTCGATCCCGATACAGGCGTTTGGTTACCTGTTGGCAAGAGTGATGTACCAGAAATGACTGTTGATGGCCTAATACCCGGTCATGAGTATAAGTTCCGCGTAAAGGCTGTGAATAAGGAAGGCGAATCTGAGCCACTGGAAACATTGGGTTCAATAATCGCCAAAGATCCATTCAGTAAGTTTTAATTAATATTATTTCATCTAATGAAATTTGAATCTAATAATCGTTTGTATTATTCAGCGGCACCATCTAAGCCTGGCGCCCCAGAGCCAACAGACTGGACAGCCAATAAGGTAGAACTTGCTTGGAATGAACCAGCTAGCGATGGTGGCTCGCCAATTACTGGATATATTATTGAAATAAAGGATAAATATAGCCCACTATGGGAAAAGGCATTGGAAACGGACTCGCCTACACCTGTCGCCACAGTGAACGGACTGATAGAAGGAAATGAATATCAATTCCGAGTAACTGCCCTAAACAAGGGCGGACAATCAGAGCCATCTGATGCCAGCAAAACATTTGTAGCCAAGCCACGCTACCTAGCACCTAAAATAGACCGAAGGAACCTACGCGATGTAACAATATCTGCCGGAACAGCTCTTAAGTTAGACGCTGTTATTGTTGGTGAGCCGGCACCAAAAGTGGAATGGAAATTTTCTAACTATCCTTTGCAATCCGGAAAAAATACAACTATTGAAACGCCCGACTATTACACCAAGCTTGTTATACGCCCCACTCAACGGAGTGATTCTGGTGAATATTTGGTAACAGCAACAAATAGCTCTGGCAAAGATAGTGTCCTGATCAATGTAAATATTACGGATAAGCCCTTGCCGCCCAATGGACCACTTCAGGTATCTGATGTTCATAAGGAAGGATGCCATCTGAAATGGAAACGACCAAGCGATGATGGTGGCACTCCCATTGAATACTTTCAAATTGATAAGTTAGATCCCGAAACTGGCTGTTGGCTACCATGTGGGCGATCAATCGAACCTCAGGCCGATATTACAGGTCTAACGCCTGGTAATGAATATAAATTTAGAGTATCGGCTGTAAACGCTGAGGGAGAATCGGCTCCATTAGTTGGCGAGGAATCAATTATTGCCAAGAATCCGTTTGATGAGCCCGGCAAGCCTGAAAACTTAAGGCCAACTGATTGGGATAAGGATCACATTGATTTGGCCTGGACGCCACCACTTAACGACGGTGGATCTCCAATCACAGGATACCTTATTGAAAAGAAAGATAAATATGGTCATTGGGAGAAGGCTCTAGAAGTACCAGCTGATCAATGCAAAGCCACAGTTCCTGATCTAACTGAAGGCCAAGCATATGAATTCCGAGTTAGCGCCGTTAATGCCGCCGGACCAGGCGAGCCATCTGATGCAACAACTCCCATTGTCGCAAAATCACGCAACAAGCCGCCAGTTATTGACCGCTCTAACTTGATCGAAGTGCGTATCAAGGCTGGGCAAGCTTTTACATTTGATTGCAAAGTATCCGGAGAACCAGCGCCATTAACTAAATGGCTACTTAAAAAGAAAGAAGTGTATTCAAAGGATAACATTAAAGTTACCCATGTCCCATATAATACCAAGCTTAAAGTGACAAATGCGACCCGCTCCGACTCTGGTTTATATACTGTGCGTGCTGAAAACACCAACGGAGACGATAGTGCTGATGTTAAGGTAACTGTTATTGATAAACCATCTCCACCGAATGGACCACTTAAGGTGGAAGATGTCCATGCAGAGGGCTGCACGATCAAATGGAGTCCACCTGACGATGACGGCGGCCAGCCGATTGATAATTATGTGGTGGAGAAAATGGACGAAGCAACTGGTCGTTGGGTACCAGCAGGCGAGACAGATGGACCAACCACAAGTTTGAATATAAAGGGTCTAACGCCAGGACATAAATATAAGTTTAGAGTGCGTGCTAAGAATCGCCAAGGTACATCAGATCCACTTACCACACCTCACGCCACTGAAGCTAAGAATCCATACGATGCGCCCACCAAACCGGGAGCTCCATCTATTAAAGATTTCGACAAAGATTTCGTGGACTTGGAATGGACAAGGCCAGAAAGTGATGGGGGCTCACCTATAAGTGGTTACATAATTGAAAAACGTGACAAATACTCACCAGATTGGGAGAAGTGCGCTGAAGTCGATGGCGATGTAACAAGCGGTCATGTGCCCGACTTGATTGAAGGCGTTAAATATGAATTCCGTGTAAGAGCTGTAAATAAAGCCGGTCCCGGTGTACCAAGCGATGCAACTGAGCCGCATGTTGCGCGTGCTAAAAACTTGGCACCTAGAATCGATAGGAATTACATGTTGGATATTAAGATTCGTGCAGGCAACGTGTACGAATTTGATGTGCCCGTGACTGGAGAGCCCATTCCAAGCAAGGAATGGACTCATGAAGATAACATGGTTATAAATACAGATCGTGTTAAGATTTCAAATTACAATGATCGTACCAAACTGCGTGTTCTAGATGCTAAGCGGGCGGATACTGGAGTCTACACTTTGGTTGCCCGCAATATTAATGGTGTTGATAAGCACACAGTGAAAGTCACTGTACTAGATGTCCCAACTGCACCCGAAGGTCCTCTACGAGGCGATGAGGTGACCAAAAACTCAATGACATTACGTTGGCGACCCCCCAAAGATGACGGTGGTTCCGAAATAACGCACTATGTGGTTGAAAAAATGGACAATGAAGCTATGCGTTGGGTGCCCGTCGGAGAATGTGCTGGCACTGAGATTCGTGCAGACAATCTCATTGAAAACCATGATTATAACTTTAGAGTGCGTGCTGTTAACAAGCAAGGACAATCACAACCTTTAACAACTAGTCAAGCCATTACAGCCAAGGATCCATACTGTCATCCCGATAAACCAGGTCAACCACAAGCTGTTGATTGGGGAAAGGACTTTGTGGACTTGGAATGGGCTGCACCTAAAAAGGATGGTGGTGCACCTATTACTTCATATATTGTCGAAAAGAGACCTAAGTTCGGACAATGGGAACGTGCTGCTGTTATACCTGGAGACGAGCGGAAAGCCCATATTCCCGATCTGACTGACGGTGGAGAGTACGAGTTCCGCATAATTGCTGTAAATCGAGGTGGTCAGAGCGATCCATCGGATCCATCTGCAACTATTATCTGCAAGCCCCGCTTCTTGGCTCCATTCTTTGATAAGTCTCTCTTAAACGATATAACTGTCCATGCTGGCAAGCGACTGGGCTGGACGCTACCAATAGAAGCTTCACCACGACCAACAATCAAATGGCTTTACAATGGCAAGGAAATTGAGCCAAATACACGAATCGAATCAAATCTTTTCCAAAATGAGCTGACATTCGAAATACCATCAGCGCTTCGATCTGATGAAGGACGATATACATTGATATTGAAAAACGAACACGGTTCCTTTGATGCATCGGCACACGCAACCGTACTCGATCGTCCATCACCACCAAAGGGACCCCTGGACATCACTAAGATAACCAGGGATGGGTGCCACTTAGGATGGCAAGTGCCCGATGATGATGGCGGCTCACCAATATTGCACTACATTATTGAAAAAATGGACTTGTCTAGAGGAACATGGTCAGATGCTGGCATGAGTACCCATCCTGTTCATGATATTATCCGCCTTGTTCATCGCAAAGAATATTTATTCCGTGTTAAGGCTGTCAATGCTATCGGCGAATCTGAGCCATTGGAAGCTTCGAAGAGCATAATTGCCAAGAATGAGTATGATGAACCCGATGCACCTGGTAAACCAAGTGTTACGGATTGGGATCGCGACCATGTCGATCTGCAATGGGCCGCACCAAAATCGGATGGCGGTGCTCCCCTTACCGAATATATTATACAAAAGAAAGAAAAGAACAGCCCATACTGGGTAAATGTTGTCCACGTACCGCCAAATAAGACAGCAGCAACTGTACCAGAACTTGTCGAAGGACAAGAGTATGAGTTTAGAGTAATCGCTGTTAATCAAGCTGGTCAGTCCGAGCCATCCGAACCATCTGATATGATAATGGCTAAGCCGCGCTATTTGGCACCAAAGATAATAACACCATTACGCGAAGTACGTATTAAGGCAGGTCTTATATTTCACATCGATATAGATTTCATCGGCGAACCAGCACCAGAAGCTATATGGACGCACCAGAACAATGCATTGAAGTCAAATGAAAGATCAACCGTTACCACAATTGGACACCATACGGTTGTTCATACTGTTAATTGTCAACGCACAGATTCAGGAGTTTATCATTTGCTATTGCGTAATGATTCTGGCATCGATGAGGGTAGCTTTGAACTGATTGTTCTCGATCGTCCCGGCCCTCCAGATGGCCCGTTGGAGTACGAAGAAATTACTGCTAACACTGTGACCATATCATGGAAGCCACCAAAAGATAATGGCGGCTCTGAAATATCTGCATATGTCATCGAGAAACGTGATTTAACACATGGCGGAGGTTGGGTACCTGCTGTTACCTATGTTAATGCTAAATATAACCATGCAGTTGTCCCAAGGCTTTTGGAAGGTACCAAATACGAGTTTAGAGTAATGGCTGAGAATTTACAAGGCCGTTCCGATCCATTAACATCCGATCAGCCTGTTATAGCCAAAAATCAATACACCGTTCCTGGAGCACCAGGTAAGCCTGAATTATTGGACAGTGACAAGGATCATATTACTATCAAATGGAAACAGCCTATTAGCAACGGCGGCTCACCCATACTTGGCTATGATATCGAGCGTCGTGATGTAAATACTGGTCGGTGGATTAAAATTAATGGAGAACCAATTCCGACCACAGAATATAGAGACGATCGAGTATCACCAAATCATCAATATGAATACAGGGTATCGGCAGTTAATGCAGCCGGAAATAGCAAACCGTCAGAGCCATCATGTACACTAAGTGCGCGTCCCATGCGAGAGAAGCCAAAACTGCATCTGGATGGCTTGCACGGCAGGCGTATCAAAGTACGTGCTGGGGAACCAGTCAATGTTAATATTCCGATATCTGGTGCCCCAACGCCGACGGTTGAATGGAAACGCGGTGACATCAAATTGTTAGAGGGTAGCAAAATTTCATACGATACAAATTCAGAGCGTACTATTTTCCGCATCGATGATTCAACCAGGCAAGACTCTGGAACATATAAGGTTACAGCTACCAACGAATTTGGCAAAGACTCTGCTAATGTTGAAATAATAGTTGTTGACAAACCAACGCCACCGGAAGGTCCACTAACTTACACTGAGACAGCACCTGATCACATTTCAATGCAATGGCATCCACCGAAAGATGACGGTGGCAGTGAAATTACAGGCTATATCGTTGAATTTACAGAGTTTGGTGTTGATGATTGGAAGCCTGTGCCCGGCTACTGCCCAAAAACAAATTACACTGTCAAGGGGCTTACGGAAGGCAAAAAATATTTGTTCCGTGTTAGGGCTGAAAACATTTACGGTGTTTCCGAAGCTCTCGAAGGTAAGCCAGTTGTGGCTAAGTCTCCATTCGATCCACCAGGTGCACCCACACAGCCACAAGTTGTTGGTTATACTCCAAGCTCAGCGTCATTGGAATGGCATCCACCAGAATATTGCGGTGGAAAGCCAATTTCGGGTTATATTGTAGAAAGACGAGAACGTGGCGGTGAATGGATTAAGTGTAATAACTATCCCACGCCGAATACAAGCTATACTGTGCCCGATTTGCGTGAAGGATCTAAATACGAGTTCCGTGTGACTGCGGTCAACGAAGCTGGTCCTGGCAGCCCATCGAAGCCATCAGATCCTATGACTGCCGAATTACAACGCTATCGTCCCGATCCACCTGAACCTCCAAAGGCCGATCGCATATCAAGGGATAGCGTCACATTGTCCTGGCGACCTCCGCGTAATGATGGCAAATCCAAAATCAAGGGGTATTATGTGGAACTACGACCTAAAAATTCAAAAGATTGGAAGCCAGTTAATGACATACCAATTAGTTCTACCGTATTTACGGTACCGGCTTTGATGGAAGGCGAGGAATATTCATTCCGCATCATTGCCGAAAATGATGTTGGACGCTCAGATCCATCCAAGCCATCACAGCCCATCAAAATAGAAGAACAACCAAATAAGCCATGCATGGACTTGGGCGGAGTTCGCGATATTATTTGCCGTGCCGGGGACGACTTCAGCATTCACGTACCATATGTAGCTTTCCCAAAGCCCACTGCATTCTGGTACTCAAACGATGTTGTGTTGGATGACGACCAACGTGTACACCAACACTTAACTGACGATGCTGCTTCGTTTGTTGTAAAGAATTCAAAGCGATCGGACTCAGGACAGTATCGCTTACAGCTTAAAAATCCACATGGCTATGATACGGCTACTATTAACGTAAAAGTCTTAGATAGACCCGGACCACCAAGCAATTTACGTGCTGATGAATTTGCTGGTGACTCTTTGACATTATATTGGAATCCGCCGAAAGATGATGGTGGCTCCCCGATTCAGAACTATATTGTTGAGAAAAAGGAAGCCCGCTCTTCAACGTGGAACAAGGTCAGCAGCTACTGCACTGTACCGTTTGTACGTGTACGCAATCTGACAATTGGTAAAGAGTACGACTTCCGTGTAATTGCCGAAAATAAATATGGCGAATCAGATCCGGCTAATACGTCTGAGCCAATCAGAGCAAGACATCCGTTCGATGTACCAAATGCTCCTGGCATACCTCGCGGCATTGATTCCACAGAGGATAGTATTACGATTGCCTGGTCTAAGCCCAAGCATGACGGTGGATCGCCAATAACCGGATACATAATCGAGAAACGACTTTTGAGTGAAGACAAATGGACCAAGGCTGTTCATGCCCTCTGTCCAGATCTTAACTGTAAGATACCCAACCTAATTGAGAACGCTGAATATGAATTTAGAGTGGCTGCTGTCAATGCGGCGGGTCAATCGCCATTTAGCGCTTCAAGCGACCTTATATTCTGTCGCCGTCCACCACATGCCCCCAAGATAACGTCTGACTTATCTATTCGAGACATGACTGTAATTGCCGGCGAGGAATTCCATATAACAGTGCCATATCACGCGAATCCACGACCAACACCGTCTTGGAATATCAATGGCAACGATGTAGTGACCGATCAGCGGATTCGGTTTGATACAGATGATTACAGCTCAGTTTATTACAATAAATGTGCTAAACGTTCGGAAACTGGGTCTTACACAATTACCCTGACAAATAGCAAGGGCTCGGACACCGCATCCTGTCATGTGACTGTTGTTGACAGACCTGGTGTACCGCAAGGTCCAATGAATGCCTATGATATCACACCCGATACGTGCACACTCGCATGGAAAACACCACTAGATGATGGTGGGTCGCCAATCACAAATTATGTAGTTGAGAAACTCGATACCAGTGGTACATGGGTAAAGGTAAGCAGTTTTGTGCGTAATACACATTATGATGTAATGGGCCTGGAACCCAATCACAAATATAATTTCCGTGTACGAGCTGAGAATCAATATGGACTATCCGACCCGCTGGACATGCCTGAGCCCATAACCGCTAAGCATCAATTCACTGTTCCTGATGAACCTGGCCAGCCAAAGGTAATTGATTGGGACTCTGGAAACGTGACATTGATATGGACTCGACCAGCCAGTGATGGTGGCTCTCGCATTCAGGGCTATCAAATTGAATACCGTGACATCCTTAATGACTCATCGTGGAATACGTATGAGTATCTAATCAAAGATACTAAATATCAGTTGTACAACTTGACGAATGGCAGCGAATATGAATTCCGTATTAAGGCGAAGAATGCTGCTGGCTTCAGTAAGCCATCACCTCCATCGATGCGATTCAAACTGAAGGGTAAATTCAATGTACCATCGCCACCAGGCACGCCCCAGGTAACGAAAGTGGGCAAAAATTATGTCGATTTGAAGTGGGAGAAACCACTCAGCGATGGAGGTTCGCGCATTACCGGATACATAATAGAACGCCGAGATATTGGCGGGGCTGTTTGGGTTAAATGTAATGACTACAATGTCCTCGACACTGAATTCACAGTTATTAACCTAATCGAAATGGGTGATTATGAATTCCGTATTTTTGCTCTTAATGCTGCTGGGCGCTCAGAGCCTAGCCATTGCACAATGCCCATTAAGGTGTGCGAAGTTTTGGGCGGCGAGAAACCAGATTGGATATCGAGATTACAAGACAGGATCGCACCTTGTGGCAAAGATTTTACTTTACAATGTGCTGCCTCTGGTAAGCCTAGCCCTACAGCCAGATGGTTGAAAAATGGCAAGGAAATCCAGATGCAATCTGGAGGACGATTTACATGTGACAGCAAAGATGGTGTCTTCCGTTTGCATATCACAAATGTGCAGTCTGGCGATGATGGTGATTACACTTGCGAAGCAATTAACTCACTTGGATTTGTGCATACATCAGGTTATCTTAAAGTCGGCTCACCGCCGATCATAAACCGTTGCCCCAATGAGTTGTACTTACCGGAGGGTGATAATACAAAGATAAAAATATACTATTCTGGCGATCAGCCACTTTCAGTGAAGATAACCAGAAATAACGAATTAATTTCCAATCTAGCTGATGAATCACATTTTAAATATACTATATTTGATGATTATATTGCTATATTTATTCGCGATATCGTTAAGACCGATGGAGGCACCTATCAAATTGAGCTCAGCAATGATTCTGGTAATGCAGTTGGACATTTTGATGCGCGTATTACCGGACTGCCATCAACGCCCGTTGGACCAATGGGTATTTCCCATATCAACAAGCACTCATGTACATTGGCTTGGCGTCCACCAGCGTACGATGGTGGCCTGAAAATAACGCATTATGTGGTTGAACGGAAGGATATATCGTCACCACATTGGATCACTGTATCCAGCACCTGCAAGGACACAAACTTCAATGTGCAAGGCCTAATCGAGAACCAAGAGTACATATTTCGCGTAATGGCTGTAAATGAGAACGGCATTGGTGCACCATTAGAAGGCTTGAATCCAATTCGTGCCAAAGCACCAATCGATCCCCCATCACCACCGGGCATTCCAGACATTACAGAGATTGGCGGCGATTTTGCCCATTTGGAGTGGAACAAGCCGGAGTCGGATGGTGGTAGCCACATACAAGGTTATTGGATCGACAAACGAGAAATTGGCAGTGATACCTGGCAACGAGTTAATCCAATTATTTGTGCTGCTAATCAAATCAATTGCCATCATCTGATCGAAGGTCGTCAGTACGAATTCCGCATATTCGCACAAAATATTGCAGGCCTATCGAAAGCATCGACCGCATCGCAAGCTGTTAAGATCATCGATCCAAAGGCCGCCACAGCTCCTCTTATTGTGAAGCCCCTGCGTGATGCGAACTGCATACAAAATCATAACGCGCAATTCACATGTGAAATCACCGGAGTACCTCGACCAACCATCACTTGGTATAAAGGAGCGCGTGAGATAACGAGCGGAGCTCGCTATCATATCTACTCCGAGGGCGACAACCACTTCTTAAACATTAACGACGTATTTGGCGAGGACGCTGATGAATATGTTTGCCGTGCCGTAAACAAAGCCGGTGCCAAGTCAACTCGTGCAGCTCTCGCTATTATGAGTAAGTGTTTCATTACCAATAAGTTATCTTTTTATGTTGAATTGTCTTGACTTTTCTAAGGTATATCGATTCGGTACACAATCAGTTAGTAATCGAAAACAGATTTTAATACATAAATGTAATTAAAATTATTTTATTGACAATTTACAGCTGCGCCGAAGTTGAATGTGCCACCACGATTCAGAGACACTGCATACTTTGACAACGGTGAAAACGTTGTTATTAAAATACCATTCACTGGTTTCCCCAAGCCCCGCATCCTTTGGATAAGAGATGGCGAGAAAATTGAATCTGGTGGACACTACAATGTTGAAGTAAAGGACCGACATGCCGTATTAACAATTCGTGATGGATCACAGCTTGACTCTGGCCCATACCGGATAACGGCAGAGAACGAACTTGGGTCGGATACGGCTGTAATTCAAGTGCAAATTAGTGATCGTCCAGATCCGCCGCGCTTCCCATTGGTCGAGAGTATTGGCACAGACTCGTTATCTCTGAGCTGGAAGGCGCCTGTTTGGGATGGCGGCAGTGACATTACTAATTATCTAGTTGAGCGCCGCGAGCATCCACTTTCGTCATGGATACGTGTTGGAAACACACGTTTCACTTCAATGGCCGTTACCGGTCTGACACCTGGCAAGGAGTATGACTTCCGCATATTTGCCGATAACGTCTATGGACGATCTGATGCTTCAGAAATAAGCACACTAATCAAGACAAAAGATTCGATTAAGAAAAAGCCAACTGAGCGCAAATGGGAGTTGGATGAAAACGGTAAAAGGATACGCGGCAAAGCTGATGGCCCAATCAAAGACTACGACTCATACGTGTTCGATATATACTCGAAATTCGTGCCACAGCCCGTAGAAATTTCGCACCAAAGCGTCTACGATAGATACGATATACTCGAGGAGATAGGTAACGGAGCCTTTGGTGTTGTGCACAGATGCCGGGAGCGAAGCACTGGAAATATTTTCGCTGCAAAGTTTATTCCCGTATCACATGCTGTTGAGAAAGACTTAATTCGACGCGAGATTGACATTATGAATCAGTTGCATCACCAAAAATTGATCAACCTCCACGATGCGTTCGAAGACGACGACGAAATGGTTCTCATACTTGAATTGTAAGTAAAATAAACTTTCACAATTTACTACCTTAAATAGTCTTAAAACCTAAAGTGTATTAAACAGTCGATTATAACATTCTTGAAAGAAGACTCCAGTAGTTTATAATTAAAATTTCCTGAATTAAGCGCCTTAACTGTGTTTTCTGATTTACTACACCCAAATTAAACACTGTGTAATGATACGGATCGAATCTTCGTATATTCTTCCTACATTAAATTTATTTTAAGAGTTGATGCGCGTTGCGTAGACAATGTTGGTTCGAGTCTTAATACTCGATAAAAGCAATTAAAAATATGAAAAACGTAGAGAGGACTAAGATGAGGGTATCTCCTTATCGGGCTTTCTTATTTGTTTTTCGCTGATCTGTATAGGATCTTAACAGTAAAACGCGTGTTGACAACGAATGCGTTGTCATCGCGAGTATATGAATCATATTTCAAGCCTTTTGCAATTAAAATATTAGATATGATATTTCCCGAATTGAATTTATTCCATATTTCACAAATATATTAAATATTATTCTTTATAATTATATTTATTATTATTTATATCTTATATAATTGTCGATACGTTATAGCTTATCTGGTGGAGAATTGTTTGAACGCATCACTGCTGAAGGTTACGTCATGACCGAGGCCGAAGTTGTTAATTATATGCGACAGATCTGCGAGGGCATCAAACATATGCACGAGAAGAATATCATTCACTTGGACATAAAGCCGGAGAATATAATGTGCCAGACACGTAGCAGTACAAACGTGAAACTCATTGATTTCGGATTAGCCACACGATTGGATCCCAACGAGGTCGTAAAAATTACTACAGGCACAGCCGAATTCGCAGCCCCTGAAATTGTAAATAGAGAACCAGTTGGCTTCTATACGGATATGTGGGCTACGGGCGTGCTTGCCTATGTGCTGTAAGTATTATTTTTATAAAATTGTATAGTCTGAAACTTAACAGAATTGCTTGCTTGCTTTTTTTATAATACAGCCTGAGTGGACTTTCACCATTCGCTGGGGATAACGATATACAGACTCTAAAAAATGTTAAAGCCTGCGATTGGGACTTTGATGTGGACGCATTTAAGCACATATCCGATGAGGGCAAAGATTTCATACGCAAGCTTCTCATGGCCAACAAAGAGAAACGAATGACTGCCCACGAATGCCTGCTGCATCCATGGTTAACAGGGGATCATAGGGAGCTAACCCAAAAAATCTCTCGCGATCGTTATCTGGCATATCGCGAGAAATTGCGAAAGAAATACGAGGACTTTGGCAAATATCTGTTGCCGATTGGCCGCTTATCTGAGTATTCGTCACTACGAAAATTGCTAATGGAGAAATATAAAATACACGATGCCGTGTTCGATCGTCGACAAGCCGCTCCAAGATTTGTCATCCGACCCTCGTCACAGTTCTGTTATGAAGGACAGAGCGTTAAGTTCTATTGCCGATGCATTGCGATTGCCACGCCCACACTTACCTGGTTGCACAACAATATCGAACTAAGGCAGAGCGTCAAGTTTATGAAACGGTATGCAGGAGATGACTATTACTTTATCATTAATCGCGTGAAGCTAGACGATCGTGGCGAGTATATAATTCGCGCCGAAAACCATTATGGTTCCAGAGAGGAAGTTGTTTTCCTCAATGTACATCCACTGCCAAAAGAACAACCAAGATATAGAACCGAATCGACGCCAGTTCGACGCCGTGAACCCTTGCCCTACACCTTCTGGCAGGAAGAATCGGAATCGGCACCCTGTTTTACATTCCTATTACGTCCACGCGTCATGCAGGCCCGCGACACATGCAAGCTCCTCTGTTGTCTGAGCGGCAAGCCCGTTCCTACTGTTAAGTGGTATAAGGATGGTCGTGAGCTAAGCAAATACGAATACGCAATGACCCACTCCGATGGAGTTGTCACAATGGAAATAATTGATTGCAAACCTTCAGACTCCGGAAAATACAGCTGCAAGGCAACGAATTGTCATGGAACAGATGAAACGACGTGCGTCGTTATTGTCGAAGGTAATTTTAACTTCACCTAACACCACAGCCTTCAAATATTTACCGTATATCGCAAATTCTACGTATGCAAATATGAAAATATCTCAGAGTGAACTCTGAATATAAGCATAGCATCGCATCTTCTTTATATATTTTCATACTCTCTCTATGTGATATGCGGACGGCGTGTTGTAGCATAAATATACAACAAATATAGCATATATAAACGTTTTCTTTCACTTTTAATTTGAGCTTTAACTTCAACTTTTAAACATCTGATTTCTTGCATTTACAACTCCATTACTTTACTCCAGGAGAATGGGTTACGCCTGAGCAGGCAGAACTTGCACACAACTTCCTCTACTCAGGAGGTAATTGTTTATGAATAAACTCTCAACTAAAACTTACACTTACTTTTACTTATAATTTTATCTATACTTTTACTCTTACGCATGCATAATTGTATACCCATACATATTTATCCTAGCTATCTGGAATTACACTTTTAAATTTATAACAAGGGTGCTTCATATGCATGTTATGTAGGATCGAGTTGATTCCATATTAAAAACCTTGATCGCTAATGGACGTTACAAAGGTGGTTTATATTAAAAAGTCGTTGGTACTCAAATTTAAAATGGGGCTTCTGAAATGAATAGCTGGAAGCTATTGGTTTTAAGAGTCTATCTAAAACAACTTTTTAAATTATTTAACGGAACATGAGTTCTGTATTTCGCTATGACTGTATTTTTATATCCTGAACCTTTTCATTTGACCGAGAGAGGTTTTATGCAATCATTTTTTGTGCAAGGCCTCCAGCATTCTTACTTGTTTATTTACTTTTGTGTATTACCGTCAATATAAATTAAGATTTAAAAAAAAATTACTAAACGTATCCTACCCTACCTACCTACCTGCCTTCTCCCTCTATCAAAATAGTTGAACAAGCTATAGAAGAGTCCATTTATCGCTGCTTAGGATGCAATATATTTAATTTGTCTCAATTTCTTTGGACTTCCCTATTTTCTAATACAGACCGCAAGTACATCGAACAACCCATCAAGCCGGCTCCGCCACCGATTATAACGACACGGCAATTTACATCGTCAAATATTTCCAGCAACTCGCATCAGTCATCAAGCACCAGATCGATGTCGGACGTTAATGTAAGTGTATCGAGACACAATCGAAGAAAAGTTCCAACTAATTTTATAACTCTTTCCTGTAGACTGTCACCAACATCAACTCGACACAGAGCACAAGTTCCTCAACGACACAGAATAGCATTTCAGGCAAAAAGAAATATGCAGCCAGTAGCTTACAGGCACCCGGCAGCCCATCACGATCTCGTAGTGCTACTAAAGAGCTAATACGTACGTAGCTTACATATGAAAAACTATAAACTCTAAGACAAAAATTGACCTACTAAAATTAAACCGAATATATCGTCAGGTTTTCAAGATATTTTAAGGTAGATGCATATAAAGGCTATTTAAATATAAAAACTGGTTTGACTGGTGACTAGGTTGATGTTATCTAACTATAACTAATTGTTTTATGATATTAAAGAACCACAAATATCATTAAATCCATTTACATTGATAGGGAAACATCGTATCTAAAGTAGATAGCTAAATCTTTAGGTGATACGTAGCCAGAAATCTCTTCAAAAACAGTATCACGTTTCGTGTTACAATTAATTAATAATTACGAAATTAGATTAATTAGAGCTCAAAAATGTACTTGTAGTTCCGCCCGACGATTCCTTAATGTGTAAGCCGGAGTTCACTAAGCCACTTCACGACTTAACAATTAGCGATGGCGAACAGTTGCAGTTGGTGTGCCACGTCAAGGGAGACCCGGAACCACAAATCACATGGTCCAAAAATGGCAAGTCGATATCGTCATCTGAAATAATGGATCTAAAATACAAAAACGGTATTGCTACGCTCACAATCCACGAAGTTTTCCCCGAAGATGAAGGAGTATTCTCATGCACAGCAACAAACTCAATTAGCGCTATCGAAACCAAGTGCAAGCTGACTATCAAACGTAAGTGTTTCAAATGAAATCCTTATCCTAACTGGCTGGAAATATCGCATAATTAACTCATCCCATCCCTCTATCCCCAGCTCTGGATAAACAGTCAAGCAAGCGCCAGGCAACTGGTAGCGACAAGCCACCGAAAATAGTAAGCCACTTGGAATCCAGATTTGTAAAGGATGGAGACGCGGTCACATTGGCCTGTCGCATTATTGGAGCTGATCATTTTGATGTCGTTTGGCTGCACAACAATAAAGAGATCAAGCCAAGCAAAGACTTCCAATATACTAACGAGGCAAACATTTACCGTTTGCAGATTGCTGAAATCTTCCCAGAAGATGGCGGCACCTATACTTGTGAGGCGTTCAATGATGCAGGCGAATCATTCAGTAGTTGCACGATTAATGTCACAGTACCTGGCGATGATCCCAAGCAGCCGACATTTATCCAATTTCCCGTTTCCGTTTCCGTAACGGAGGGGGAGAATGCCCAATTCGAATGTGAATTTGATGGAGAGCTGGTCAGCCTAGCTTGGCTAAAGGATGGCAAACCTATTGACGAAGCACGTACTAGATACTCATTCACCAAGGATGGCAATCGATACAAGTTTGCAGTAAACAAATGTACTTTAGATGATGTGGGACAATATCAGGCAAAGGCTGTATCAAAGAAGGGTGAAACCTTGAGCGCATTTTCGGTAAATGTCCTCAGCTCCGATGCCTAAACTTCAAATAACTTTGCACATGCAAAAAAAACTTTATTAGACTGCTCATCAAAAAAATATCATCTTATAAGTATTTCATATGAAAAAATTAAAGAAAATACTGAAAATCGGAAGCAACAAAGCACCTGGGAGGACTGTGCCATGTAATATGATATGGCCCTCCTCTTCGAATCGTATCTAACCTATTCATATATGTAATACTTTAGAGATAAAATAATATTGCCTTCATACTTACGCATAAGCAAAGTGTACAATAATTTATAATTCTTTCAGTTGTATCCATTTATGTTTACGTTTATTTAATGTATGTATGTACCTATTTATATACATCATATATATTCAATATATAATAATATATATTCAATATATAATAAACTCACTGAATCACGAATGATGTATGGAAGCAGTGAACCAATCCATGTGTTGTGCCACTTCTCTGACCGCTGGCATCCTCACTGACCATCAAACAAATTCACAAGTCAGCGAAGTAGCCCAATAATGGATTACCTTCTGCTGCAACTGTACATCTAACTACTGGCATACATACATGCATACATACTTACGTCTCCGATGTAAATTTGATATTTATGTATTTGTGGAATGTGAACGGCTATCGACCCAAAAATATGACACTCAAATTTTTTAAAATCGAATTCAAAATAAACGACGTAATGCAATGAATAATGAAAATGTCTTATATATTTAGCACAAATCAATTAGATTATAACCTGATTGCAGATACCCTGTATACCCAGAAGGAAGAGGGGGGGGGGGGGGGGCACTCGAATGAGAATTGAAATATAGTATTCGAAAAGCCTATAAACAACTTAATATATATTCCATATTGTATCTGCTGTCACACGTCCTTTAGATACAGAAGTCTCCGGTGTGAAAAGTGGATATGGTGGGTCTATACACCAGGCATGTAATATACACTGTGAGTAAAACTTCAAAACGTCAGCGTAAGTCTAATTTATTTACATTTCATGTACATTTCATTTTTATCACATATACATAAGCATATGTAAAAGTTTATATAAAGATGCGAACAAAATAACGATAGAATGTAACAAAATATATTTGATATTCACTTAATTATGACATTTCTTCAGCTAGTTGGTAGCAAATTTTTTTTAACTTCATTGTTCTCTTTTTAATTTTTAATTATAAATATATTTGAATATCAACCGAGTCAACGAAAAAAAAGTACATTATGATAGTGACTCGCGCTTAAATTAATCGATTTTAATATTCATACGAATATTTATATTATATGGTAGGATCAGCATAGAATACCTATTACAATTATTTTTCCGTTTATCATGTTTTAAGAATGGTGTTCTTTGTATGGGGGAGGGGGAGGAGGAGGAGGAGGAGGAGGAGGAGGAGGAGGAAGGGGAGGAAGGGGAGGAGGAGGAGAAAGGGGAGGAGGAGGAAGGGCAGGAGAGGGCGGAGGAGGGGGAGGGTATTAACTTCCTATCACATGTAAATATTATATAATCCGAACATTTTTGCTGATTTATAAAGGCTTATCAAATAATAGTTGTCAAATATACTAAGTGATCCACACACATATTGTCGTATTCAAAATTGGTTCATTCCAGGACAACGTATGGCAAAACTATCAATGGTTCATTATTATAGGATTGAAGCTGGAGAACTTGGTGCCACTCCTTGAACTGTTGGACTCGACTACTACATTTACTACTGGTAGATTCGTCGACAACACCACGAATACCACTTCTATATTCAATGGTCGGCTGCGATATTATTTGATTACAATTTTCGGTACTTTTCAACATTACATTTGATGTTAGATTATTAATGACGTATTGCATTTTACTCGCATCGCTCACAGAGTCTAAGCTATGTGATTTAATAACACTTAAATTATCGTTAGTATAGCATATATTAGCATCATTAAAATTCAGATCTGCTACAGATGTGAGCTTTGGCTGATGATCTGTCGCACCAATAGAGTTGAACGACGGCAGCATGCCATTGTTGTCTAATGGTAATTCACTTAGCGTATTTAACTTGATATCTTTAAGTTTTTCTTCTTTGCCAGCATCGTCATTTTGATTGCCGAATTCAACATCAATCAGGGATTCATCACTAGAATAGAAGTAAAAGTCCTCTTGGTGGTCATCGTGTTTTCCGGCAATGCTTACAGACGCGATTGGGTCAGTCTCATTCTTTAATTTATAATTATTTGAAAAGGCATTTTGACAGTGTTCAGCTTGCTTAGTACTCTGATTCCTTTCCTCGCGTTCACTATCATCCTCCTCATTGGAACTACTGCTTCCACAGCTACTACTACTACTGCTGCTGCTGCTGTAATTAACGATGCGCTCATTTCTTCCCGCCCTGTCCTGTCTGCACAATTCATTTGTGAAAAACAATTTTCGATGCGTTTTTACCATCGGCTGTGCACCGCGGCCAACATGGTTAAATAAATGTCTTAGTTCCAAATCTATTGTTTCTTTCTGGCAAATCTGTTGTCGACTTCGATGTCGATGTCGACGTCGTAGCCGACGACAACGGTGGTGATAGCCATAACATTTCTCCAACTTATCGTAGCAGGGGTCTGATATCGAAATTGATTGCAAACCATTTCGTTCATCCTCTGCCTCCACAGAGATTTGGGGCTGATACGGTTCAATTATTTCAGTTTCGGACTCTTTATCAATTGTAGTCTCAGCTCCGGCGGCGACTCCAACAACAATTGGAGATATTGCTGATAGAGAGTTAGCCGGTGAGTTAATTTTACTGGGTGTTTTCTTTATTGTCAACACAATATGATTATTACCCCCACCGCCATGAGCCAAGGGCCTTTGAACGATTGCATATTCCTCGTCATTGCTATTATTCTCATAGTCGTTTTCCATATGGCCATCCTCTTCCGCCAATATGCTATCAATGGTCGTTGAATGACTTCTGTTTGACTCATGTTCATCATCACTTGCCGCCTGAGCACACTGAGAGTATTCAGTGGTATCGTAACCTGCTTGCTTATCGCTCATCTCGATATGAGTTTCATCCTCATCGCTGCTGCTAATATTGCTATTACTAATGAGCGACATCTGTCTGTGAGTGGCAATATTTCCATTGATGGCAATTTTAATGCGCTTGATACGTGGGTTTTCTTCTAATGTTAAACTATGCGTATTGTGTTTATCATAGTGTATGCTATCATCATTGACGTCAAACGTTTGTCTTGTTGCTTTTCTACGTTTTTTTCTGTTTCTCTCGACATTACTTTCGGATTGCTCTGACTTTTCCGAAGCTATAGTCCTTTGATTTCTTGGTTTTTCATTTATTGAGTCTTGAGTCAATTGTAAACTGGCACTGCTGCAAGTACTGTTGCTTCTACGGCGACGGAATTTCACATTTTCTAATCCAATGTTAGAACCATCTGTTTTTTCACTACCTTCACGACTATCAATATCATTATTAACCAGCTTTAGCAAATTGTAACTAAATGCAGTGTTGTTTGCTATTGGATTATCATCGGAATATCGTACTTGATTTTCATTGTAGTTTTGTGTTTCATTTGTGTTGACTTCAACTCTCAGCGGATTGGGGCTACTTTGATTATTTTCAAAATAACTACAATACATTTCAGACTTTTCCTGTTTTACTAACGTATTATCACTGTTTATTGTTGGTATAGCTTTCGTTTTATCCTTTAGCCGTTTAGCTGCCAGGCGGCACGTTGGTAAGCACTTAGCAACACCCAAAAACGGTTGAATAAACGCTTTAAAACTTTTTGATTTATAATTTTGAACACATTTTAGATAGCTTAGATCTTTACGTATCCGTTGCCCATGTGTGAGGGAACCATATTTAGGCACAACATCAGCTCCATCGCTAACTATATAGGAATCCACTGTGTGTAAAAATTCCGTTATGGATGAAGTTAGCACTAATGACGAGTCAATGCTGCTCCAATTTCCATTAATGTTTGGTATGTAATAGTTATGCAATGCATTTATATGAAAATTTGTAACATCATTTGTTTGCACATCAAACCGTTGCCTTGCAATGCATTCGGGATCTTCATGTACAGTGTAAACAGAAACAGGTTCTGGCATTACATTGCTGGACTCTTGATCTGCTGAAAAAATATCGCTAACTGCTGGTTTCAAGTCTTTATTAATATCTTCTTCAGTTAATGCGCTAACTGCGTTAGTCTCTGTTAGATCAAAATCAATATCAAGAGTCGCTTGCACATTGGACTCTGGTAGCGAGATATTTTTTATAATCGATTGCAATGGATCATCGTCGTCATCAAAATCTAAATCAAAAATGGATTTCATTGGCTTTTGAGCAATAGTCGGTTCAGCAATGTCAACGGCAGAGTTCTCAGTTTTTATAGCCGTCTGATCACTGTGCATTTTATCGACAGAAATCTCAAAATCACTTGTATCCTTATTTACAAAATCTGGTTCAGCATCGATGTGACTTTCCTTATTCTCTTCAACTGATTCCTTTGGTATGTCTTCAACAATTATGCAAGTGCACGGCACCATTTCAGCCAGATACCGTTTTTCAGTCTCTTCAACACTTAGCGGGCTGCTTAAACTGCGTATTATATGCATTAATTGCGTTGTAACATCGTTATAGTCCGTTTTCAATGCTAAATCTTCCGGGTTCTTTGCCGATGATGTTTGCTGAAGGGAATTGCTGTTGCTATCCAGAGAATGTATTCTCTTCATGTTTCGCGGTTTACTGTCTCGTGAAGGCTCTGATGTAATCGTATCACTATCTGTATTTCCAGGGTCTACAAATCAAGTAAAATAAAATATATTTAACAATTTCAAATAAAAGGGAGAAAACCCGTTCGTTTTTATAAGTTCAAAGGTTCATAAGTTTTTAGATGATAAAATAATTAGTTCAAATGCATGTACACACCCATAAAATATAAATATTGTCAATAAAAATGACTTAGTATGTTAAATTAGTAATTATTTATAATATCCATAATTTCAGGGTATATGTACCTAATGTATGATAATTCATAATCCATATAAAAAAGGTGATTTTTAGTGCAGTACACGAAAAATTGTTAATTTCATACAATTTCAGCAATTTACCTTCTATTGTATTTGAAAGTTTCTCGGTTCCTGCTAGAGACACATTCGTTGAGAAGGCTTCCAATGTACGCGGCGAATGAATTGATGTTTCTGAAAAAATGAAATGGATTTACTAATATATTTAAATAATACACACAACATATTAACTAAATGGAGCAAACCTGAACAAGATGATGTTGGTCTCGTATGCAAAGATCGGGATTCCAAATTTCGAATCTTAGTTGAACTACTATTTAATATTCTATTCGCTACTGATGTTGCTGGCATTGTGTTTTCGCCGCGGTTGAATGAAATACTAAGCTTTCTGCTTTGTATCTCATTAAATAGCTCTTTTGTTGTTTTTACTTTCTTAACGCCAGATCCAAAGAATATTTGCTGCGATAGACTTGATTCTTTGGCAATTAGTGAATCCACACCTTTAGAGCCCTTTTTGCGGCCGCGCTTTTTTGGAACTTGAAATATTTATATATATTGGAATTTACATAATTTCGATGAAAAGTGAAAGTATTACAAATTGTTTCTTACTTGTTTCGTCGCATGTTTTAAAATGGTTTTGGCCCAGCTTCGCCTCTAACTCTTCATACGGCGATAGACGACTACACGAGGTACTTGAATCATTATTATCTTCATAAATTGGACGCGTTGGTAACTCTATGCTAGTGGGTTCACTAACATTGCTCATAGTAGTTTGCTGGCCATTTGCTTGCACAGAATCCACATCGCTGGAACCTTCCAGTCGACAGACAGACTTAAATCTGCCTGCAAAAGTCAAATCTGCTGACTGAGTGCGAAGTCGACTTTGGAAATTTCCAGAAACGGCATCTCCAGATAAGATGGAGCTCATCGAGCTATTCGACAATGACAAAATATCTGAATATAATCAGAAAGAAAATTATTACTTTTTGCAATCGTAAAAAAGGAAAACATTTTTTTTACCGGGATCAGTTAAATATACTTTTGGTGTTATTGATTCTTTCATGGATGTGCGATGCAAATTTGATCTCTTCACATTTCTAGACTGTTGCGGAGTTTCGTCTTTGAAATTTAATAAAGAGGATTTATCTCGACCATCTCTATCCTTGCGCTTTTTATCCTTTTTTAATTTCTTAGGCCTGGAATAATTGGTGGGCGTTGCTAACGACAAAGACGATTCTGTTGCCGGTTTTTGTTGACTGTTGACTGATTGAGTGCCTGGATCATTCTCATCGGAGTCAGAGACAATATCAATTACAATAGAAGCCTGATTTAATTTCTCATTAGCCACTAACACATTTGATACAGAATTTGACGAATGTTCATTTATAAATATTGATGGTTTTTGAGATTTGTATTCGTTAGCTTTCGGTTGCTTAATAAACTGTTTGTTAACGACAGCCAACGATTCGTCATTATTGTCCATATTTATGTTATTATTTATCAAGCTTGAGAAGTTGATTGGATGATGTTGTTGTGGTTCTGAGGAATCAATATTGGTGTGCAAATTGGATATAGCACGCGGTAAAGTAGGGCACAGAGACTGTGAAGTGTATTGAAGTGTATGTAGACCTGATTCCGTTGCGTTCGATTCGGATTCTATTAGATTTGTTTCAACTGTCGGCTTAAATGCCGACTGATCCACTTGTTGGGGCTGAGAATCAATTGATGTCTGTTGATGTATTCCCACCATTTCACGCCATTTTTTTAAAAGCGATTTAGCCCTACGGGCTAACTGATCATTTTTAGTTCTACGCCGAAGCTGATTTATGTATTTGGCCAATCTGGTGGCCTCCAATTGCTCTTTCGTAATCGTTGTACCTTCCAAAGCACAAATAACAGCGAGAACTGCCTCCATATTAACGACCTTAAATTATTTAATTGATATTAGCATACATAAACACATATATATAAATATATTTGCATAAATAGTCATTTTATATCCTTTCCTTCGATAAACAGTTTCACTTACATCATAGTTTTGATCAAGTGCCTGCGATAGGTGTGAGGTCAATTGCTGGATTTGGTTTTGGTTCATTTATGCCAGATAACCAAGCCTACCTGATCCAAGGAGAGGCAAATAGAACTTAGATGTCTCGCACAGCCCAAACTTGCATCAGCTGCAAAGAGTCAAGACGAATTGCAAAATATATTGAATACAACATATATTTAATAATAAATATATATACATAAAAGTTTAAAAATATATAAAGTAATTTAAACATATCCTCTATGTACAATATATACAAACTTCACTAATATACACACTATACGCACACACACACTCTCACATATTTATATATCTGTATAAAATATATAAGTGCATGCATACATATTTATTTTTACACACAAATATATGTGAATATGCGTAGAGTTTTGGAAACATACGTTTTTAAGTAAAATATTTGCGTGCTGCGTTTGTTTTATTTCTGTAATGTGCATTTTTTGTAATATTTAACATATTGTTTGCGTTCTTGCCCTTTTGGTTTTAGTGTCAATTAAAATGCTTCACGCCAACACAAAAATATAATATTTAGTGACTGCGGGTCACAATGCACACAAGCACACACACGAATTTACTCGTGTACACGCTTTCACACAAAATATTGTAGTTTATGTTTTCAAATAACTTTAATAACTTAGATCATCAAACTTTTATATATAATTAACACACCTGTTGCGTTTATGTGTTTATAGGAACCGTTTCGATCAAACTTATTTTTTTTTTAATAATTTTCAACACAATTCGCCATTTTTTGATATGGAGATGTGCAAAGGTATATATATGCAACACTATTAGAGCTGGAAGAAACATCGATAATTATGCCGACCAACACTGTTCAATTATCCATGTTATCCGAATTTTTGCCCCAACTCTAACACCAATTAAATTCAAATTACAATTTCATAATACACATATAAAGTAACTTTAAAGAAATCGAATTTTATAATTCGATACATCGAAAACATCAATGTGATCATAAAGCGGTGTCTCTCCAGTCAAATCTGTATGAGATATCTGAAATTTATCGATAGAATAGAAATAATTACGTAGATGTGTCTAAAAATATGTGAAATGCAAAAAAAAAATTAAAATAATAATGTAATCTGTTTTATAAGAGCAAATACATATTTATCTACTTTTATCTTAATATTTTAATATACAATGATATAATATCTATTTATCTTATCTTTAATTAAGACTGCAAATTGATTTTAAGCTGTACTCTAATATCAAATCATACGCATCGCTACCAAGATTTAAAACAGCTATAAGTCGAAATAAATTTGAGAATATTGTCATCATAAAAATATTTTAGACATCAAATATAATGTAAAGTCATAAAACTGATATATGAATCGATATAGAACTCAGACTTACGATTACTATAGCTAAGTTAAGAATCGAAACATGGTAGCGTCGTGTCTCATCGATGAGAATCCATCGATGATTATAAAGTTTCGTTACGTAACCCTAATTTCGATAGTTAAAGACTTTAAGATACTCTTCACAGTTAACACGTATTTGTGAAACGCTCATCTCAGATTTACATACACAACACTTGCATACATACACTATATGTGAGTGCCAACACAACTATTAATATTTTAAAATTCATAAAAGTACAAGAAATAATAGTTTCATTTTGAGTTGTCGATAACATTTGAGCTTGGAAAATTAATTTGAAACGTCGTCTATTGAAATGAGGTCTAAGGAATTAAACAGACAAATATGCATTTGGGATAAGTACATTTTTATATGGTAGGGTGTGTATATATGTATAGGTGTGTATGCATGTGGTGCCACGGTACTACTACTAGTAGTCTTTGGAAAGGACTGCCAACTTGATACAACAAAACAAAGACCTAAATAACGACATTACGTGCAATAAAGCACTATATTTGGTCAGAATAAAAATTTATAGGAGTATATGTACACATAATTACCAAGTGCAACACTATTTACTGAATATAAAGTCATATATTAATTATCAGTTCATGTAGGTAGAAAAATTAGAAAATAGATTATAGATAACTATAAAAAAAATATATATATATATATATATATATATATATATATATGTATATATATATATATATATTAACTGTAATCAGGTTTAACAAATTTGTGCAGTTGAAATGAATTCTGGTTTCGATTTAAACTTCATGTGCAATACTCAGCCCGCATTTTATAGGTTATGTTTCCTTGTTCCTATTCCGCTGATGTTATTGTTTCAATTTTTGCGTTACGCACACCTGCACGCTTATATATTGTTCTTTATGGGTATAACTGTATTAAACATATATATATATTATATATACACGTATATATGTTCATATATATATATATATATATATATATATATATATATATATATATATATATATGAATATATATATATATATATGTATGTATATGTACGTAAGCAGTGAAAGTTAGAATTTTTTTGTTCGTATTTTGATTTAGTATACAAAGATTCAAAATCGCAATCGAACTTGAAATAGCGATAGTGCGTGTGTGTGTTTGCTAACCAATGCTAATGGTCCAAATTGTTGTTTATTTCACATTTCAGCGACAGAATATTAAAGAAAACAAAACTCAAGAGTTGACGAAAATGACAGACTCAATGAAATTCGGACCCGAGTGGTTGCGCAATATGTCGGCGGAGCCCTCAAACGTTGGAACTAGTAATCTATCTGCCACTGCGGGCGGCGGGATAAACAGTGGCCTTACATTACACAGCCTCGGTGGTGGCGTCGGTGGTAGTGGTAGTGGCGGAGGAGGCGTTGTCGGTGGAGTCAATATGCTGGCCAATCCAAGCCATACAGCTGCCAATCGTAATATGTTTCCGGAGTACCGTTACGGTCGGGAGGAGATGTTATCATTATTCGATCGAAATTGCCTGCTGCCCCAGATTCTGCCATCGTTCAAAAAGCTGTTTATTGAAAAAGTTCAGTTTCCGCTTGCTCTAACGCCGAGCTCTGAAGAGGAAATAAACAGTCAAAACCAGCTGGGCAGTAGTGTAAGTCTTAAATAATAATAAATTCCTTATACTCGGTTCAAAGATTAAATGTACTTCCGTGTTCCACAGTCACGCCCTGCCTGGTTACAGCGCTCGCCGGGTGGGTTTGGAATACCGTCTCGAGGCTCTGGTCGAAGTGGAACCGTTGATCGTGGTCGGATGCGTGGTAAATCTGTTTATCACTCAATATACCAGAGACCGAGCGCCATATACGATGACAGTCTCTCGGCTATATCAATGAAGGTAAAGCCTACTGATTTAGCAGCTGCTAATTTTCTAACTCAATATTGCGCTTTTTTATTTACAGCCTGATCGAAACTGGAGCGAACGTAATGGTACTGGGGATTCGTCAGCTATCGGTGCCCCCGGTGGGGGCAGTGGCAGTGGCAGCGGTGTTGCCGGGGGCCCCGGTGTAGATTGGAATGGTACACCGAGCTCTAGTCCACGGAAGGACTTCTCAAGCCAAAGCCGCAACATGGAAAACTGGCGCAGAAATCGCAACGAAGATGGTTCTGGAGACGGCCCAAATACAGGCGGAGCAGTTGGTTCGGAAGTTGCTGGATGGCGCAGTGGGGGCGCCCACCGGTGGGGTAAGATCAAAACACGTAAAAAAAAAACAAGTTCTAAAATCAATCTGGCAACTGCGTCTCTTATAAATTTAAGGACGTTCAACCAGCTGGCGCGACGAGGAGTCAATGCAGTGTGGGAATTTGGATGGCAATAATTTCATTGGAAATCCGACCATAGCTAATATACAACGATCTATTTCCGTAATTGGAACTGTGACTAATGAACGACCGGTCGTCGGTAAATCGCAGATTGGATCAGCTGGATCAGGTGGACCAAACACAAATCGTTCTATGAGCTCCAAAGCAAATCAATCGTGGCCTGGAAGCGGTTGCTCTGCTAATCCCGATGGTGAGGATAACTTGCCGGAATGGGCAATGGAGAATCCATCGGAAATGGGTGGCACATTTGATTCGACTGGTGCTTTCCATGGCGAATTGGTGGATGCCGAGCCTGGTAAGGCAAATAGTGGAACGCCACATAAAGGAGACTTGGACACAAATGATTCCAATAGCTTCGCAACAGCTACCTCGATCAAAAGTGACCAATCAATTCGAACTCAAATCGAACAGTCAAGTGTAACGGGCATTGAATCGCATTCCTCAAGCTCAACAACAAATATTACGGCCACTAATGTAATCGAAACTGTAATTGGCAACAACAACAACAGTATTAAGAACGAACAGAATGAAAGATCGGAAACAGCCGAATCAACACCCACGCACAAAGCGGAGGCAGTTGGCCATGGCGATATTTCCGAACGCTTTAAAGAGGTGGCCGATGAGGTTGTGAAACTAATTATGGATGATGATGGTGGTGCCACTATCAATAGCAAAACAAGTATTGGAGCCAGTAGTAATAGATATGGAATGCCTGGTTCGGCTGTGGATCCTGGTCTATTGCAGCATCAGCTCATGGCACCTGATGCGGCAGCGACTACAATGCATGGCACAGAATTATCCCATAAAGCATTCAACGATCAACTAGGCATACAACAACAGCAGCAGCATCATTTGCAACAGCACCATTTACCCGTGCTGCCGCATGTGATGAATGCTAATCCAAACGAATTGTGGTTCTATCGCGATCCTCAGTCAAATGTACAGGGACCGTTTAGTGCCATTGAGATGACTGAATGGTATCGTGCCGGCTACTTTAATGAGAATCTATTTGTACGCCGCATTTCAGACAGTCGTTTCAGACCACTTGGTGACCTGATTAAGCTTTGTCATGGCAATATGCCGTTTACGCACAACCATCTCCTACCTACGCCCATTGACTTGGATAATCTACAAATTAATCTGACGCCCCGAAAGCCCTCGGCGCATGCATTGCCCCTTTCACTCAACGAACATCATCAACAGCAGCAGCATCATCATCGTCCTGGCATTGATGAGCAATTGAAAGCAAATGTTACGGCAGCTGCAGATTCTTTGAGTGCAGCTGTTAAAGGACATATGAGCGCACACACAATGGACACATCCCACATGCTAACCATGCGCTTCCAAATGCTGCAAGATCAGTACTTGCAACACCAGGAGTATCAGATACTATCGGAGCTATCGAAAAGCGATTGCTTTCAGCGTATGGATCCCGCGCAACGTGAAGCCGTTGTCCGTAGCAAGGTTCAGATGTTGGTACTGCCAGAATATCTGAGTAGTTTTAGTGGTTTAAGCAATTCGCTGGCAGCCTTAAATCCTATTGCCGGTAGCCAATTGTATGATGCAATTGCCCAGCAGGCCAAGAAGGATCCACAGAAGATTTATCCGGTCAGCGCTGAACAGCGACCAGAGGGCAACTTCTTGGATGCTGCCAATGATTTTATATTGAATGCACAATTAATGCATCAACAAACTCAAGGACAAAATCCAGAGCCAGCTAATATCGAACAAGTCCAGCATCAATTTGGCACTGATTCGGATGTAAACAAATTGAATGAACTGCACGCTAACGATCTGGATATTTTAAACGAATACAACTTGCGAATGTTGCTGAGAGGACCGTCATCAGCCGCAGCCGTCAGTCAACAGCATCAACAACAGTCGGCTCCATTAATCAAACCCAGCTCCACTGTAGATTTTATAACCGAGTCGCAGCTTTTGGCCCAAAATCTTATGATGCCCATATGGCCACAGCAGCAGCAGCAGACCAGCCAGTCGTCGTGGCCTGTCATGCAGAATGCGAAGGTCACCTTGTGGGACGTTGCTACATTGGAGGAGGAACAAAGTCAGAAGCTATTGCTGCTGCAACAGCAGCAACAAAAGCAATATCTTTCCAGACCAGATGGCAGCAACACCGGCACAGCTGCTGCACATTTGGATTTCGATGCAGCGCAACAGCAGCAGCACCAGGGCAGTGACAATCAGTGCAACCCAAAAGTTGAGCAGCCAGTACCACTTCAAGAGCAACCAACAGCACTGGACAACATCAATACACACAACAAGGATCAACTTTCAGTCCAAGGAATTGCTGGCAAGCCACAACAAGTCAACAAGCAACAACAACAACAGACGGCAAGTCAAAAGCATGGAAAACAGCCAGAGCTGAAAATAAGCGACGACGAGCGCCGTCGAGAGCAGGTCGAAGAAAAGCGGCGCATCAAAGAGGAACGTAAGCGCCAACAGCAAGAGGAAGAGAAGAGACGTGCCTTGTTAGCCGAAGAGGAAAAGAATAAACAACAACAAGAGGAAAAAGAGCGACAACAGCAAATACAAGCTCAACGCCGCAAGGCTTTGTTTAGCAATAATCCCCAAGCCACGACCGGCACAACAGGTAAAGATCCCATAACTAATAATAATTAATGCCTTGCTCGATGCGATCTATATTTTTCTCGATTTTCGATAATGTATAGTCCGCAATGGAAAATGTGTGAAGATCTGATTTAAACCTATTTTTTTTATTATTATCGGAATCGGATTTAACCCCTTTAAATAAAATCAAACAAGTAAAAGTACTTTAGTGGGAAGAGCATGAACAAGAGAACCCCGAATCCCCAAAATCCATAACATTAACAAGCTGTATATTTATATCGGGGATCTACAAAGTAAATTTACTGCTTCTAGTTATACTCAAAATTTAATAATAGGAAATGAGAAAAATGGAGTTTCGAAGAAATTTTAAAACTCGTCGACTAAGCTCGGCATCCAGCGTGTTACATACATTTTAGCAAAGCTACCGCCCGCAATCAATTTTCAATTTTTGAACATGGCGCTTCGTTTCGTCGGTTAGCATATATGTGTACATGTATATCTCATACCATTCCCTAAGGATTAAAAGTATTAGATGGCATTACGACCTCTTGTCTCTGAAATCAAAGGAAATTTAGTTTTGGAATTAGAGTGTTTCGCTTTGATTTTTATACCCTGATCCATTGAAAATGGGAAATCAGGGTATAATGGTTTTGTGCAAATGTATGTAGCAGATAGAAGGAGGCGTGGCAGACCCCATAAAGTATATATATTCTTGATCAGGACGACAAGCCGAGTCTGAGCCCTGTCTGTCTGTCCGTCTGATCGTATGTGTGAACGCGTGGATCTTAGCATCTGTAAGAGCTATAGACTTGAAATTTTTTTAGGTCCGTGTATAGCACGCGTTTGTTTTAATTATTCAATAACTATTCGCATTTAATTGGTTTCTAATAAAACATGATTGAAATGCAGTTAATAAATTATATCTCGGACGTCTTAAGAACTAGAGCATTTAGCATTTTTTGCATTTAGTTTTATGTATATTTTATGCAATTTCGATTTTTGTTGGATTTTGGATACCAGCTCCAAATTTCCGTGAATTCCCAAAATTTAAAGTTTAGTAGAAACTAGGGCCAATTTGTGAAGCCGTTGGCATCGCTACCAACTCAATAAAATATTTAGATCATATGCTGAAAATTTCATTAAAATCTATTAAGTAAAACAGAAGTTATTAAACAAAACGTTTTCCAATCAGCAGCGCCAAGCTCACGCATTTTTCCTATGCGTGTGTACACATACATTTAAATCTTTTCTCTTCGAAGAATCGAAATTGCGATTGAATTGTGCTGAATTATTAACTGCTACTTAAGTTAAATTTTGCAATATCTTACATAGGCAGTGCAGTAAAAACGGCGTCCGTTAGCGGAAGTGGCGGTGTTAGTAGAGAATCGTGGTCTCGTAATGTCGTTTTTTATTTTTATTTATTTTTATTTTTTTTTGAATACTCGATACAAACTACGGAAAATATTAATAAACGCAGATAGGACTGGGATCAGGGTATCTCCTAGTCGGGCATCACGACTAGAGCTTTCTTACTTGTTTTATATTTATTCGTGCTAAAATCAACAATTTAGAACTATCACAAGTATATAATTTTTTCATATATTTGGTCAGGTGCTTCTGCTTCTCCAACAGCTGCGACCGGCAATAAGGCAAGCAGCTTGAAGATTGATCAAGGAAATCGTTCATCGCTTGCTACTTCAATTGCCCCATGGTCGTTACAGACACCAAGCGTGAACAATGCCGCACCAGGATTGGCCGAAATTCAGAAGGCTGAACGTCGGGAACGTCGGGCAGATCAACAACGGCAGCAGGAGCAACTGGATAGGCAAATGCGTGCCACAGCTGCCGCAGCAGCCGAGGCTAATGATGCGTTGCTCAAATGGCAGGCATCGCCGGCACCTGCGCCCGTAATGAGCCTGGTTGACATACAGGCCGAGGAGGCCAAGCGTCTGAACAATGAAATGCTTGATCAACAGCGTCGTCGCGATCACGAGCAGCAGCAGCATCTACATCAAGTGGTGTTATCTTCTAATCTGAACGTCTCCGGCGGTGGTGGCCTCTCCAACATATGGGGAAATACCAAAAAGGCGTGGAGTGCAACTGCTAGTCCAGCGCCAATCGGCACTGGCCTCTGGGATGAGCCAACGTGCGCTCCACCAGCGGCTGCCAGTACGAAGTATGTGCCCCCAACTGCCGCTTCGGTACTTGCCGCAGGATTGCCAGCGACAGTGGCAGCGACCAGCAAACAGCAATCACAAACACAGCTGAAATCAACAGCCGGTGGCGTTGCAATGCCATCACCTCGAAATTTGCGCAAGAGCCAAACATTGCCGACTATGCAGAATGTATTATCAAAGAATGTCAGAACTGCAACTGGGCAGAGCACACAGCAGGAGAAAAATAGTAAAACGGCTTCAAGTAAAACAACGATCAAAGTATCGGTTGGTGAGGAGAGAAAGTCGATTGTCAAGGCCAGTGCACAGCAGCAGAGTGGCGATGCCACAAATAGCAAAGTGAACGAGTATGAGAACGAGTTTACATCCTGGTGCATGAAAAACCTGGACAACATGTCTGCTAAAGTCGATGGTAAGAAGAACCTTCTATATACAGGTCACAATAATCAGCTAAACATCAAAATGCTCTAAATATTCCATTCACAGTGCCAACATTTGTTTCCTTTTTGCAAGACCTGGAAGCGCCTTATGAAGTCAAGGATTATGTACGCATATATCTAGGTATGTTCCCTTTTTATATCCTGATCCCATTGAAATCGGGGTAATGTGTTAAAATGTGTCAGACAGGCAGAAGGAGGTGTAGCAGACCACATAAAGTATATATATTATGATCAGGACGACAAGCCAAGCCCATCTGTCCGTATGTGTGAGCTAGAGACTTGGAGGTCCGTGTTTAGCACGCGCATATCAAATTTGTTTCAAATAATCGATAACTTTTCCCGTTTTATTGTTATCAATTAAAAACATAATCGAAATGCAATTATTAAACTATAATCGTTCGGCTTAAGAACCTTAAGATCCTAGAGCCTTAAAATTTTCTATTTAGTTTTATGTATATTTTTAACAATTTTGATTTTTGTTATATTTGGAGTTCGCATATTTACTAGCTGACAATTACATCAATATAATATGTAGATCATATGCTAAAAATTCCATTAATCCATCCTTCAAGTAAGACAGAAGTTATTAAACAAAATGTTTGACCAATTTGCAAAAGCACGTGGCAAGCAACTTCAAGCGCAGGCATTTTTCCTATGGTTTACTTAACTTCAAATTTGCTACTTCTTTTGCAAGCAGTGCAGTGGCAGTGTTGATAGAGGCGGATTGCAATCAATAATCGCTGGGTTCAAGTCCGGCAGCGAAGGGAAGTTTTTTATTGTTTTTTTTATTGAAAATGTTAAAAAAAACGATAGGGCACCCCGATTAGAGCTTTTATACTTGTTAATTATGTGGTGGCGGTGTAAGTAGAGTTCGCAGAAGTAGGCATTGCATTATGTAGAAGTAGGCATGGCCCATATAGCTTATATATTCTTGATCGGAATGACGTACCGAGTCTATCTAGCCGTGTTCGACCGAGTGAACGCAGCGATCTCGTAAGCCATAAGAACCAAAGCCTTGAAGCTTAAAATAAATATACCTGTACCCAATACGAGCTTATTATTTGCTTTCGTTAACTCATCTCATTTACTTGTAGATAAAAATTGATCATTTGACTTGTTTTTTTAAGCTTAGCTTGAATATCATAAGGTAATAAGCATCCAATTTACTGTGTGACCTTTTGTAACGAATACGCACATTGTATATTTTGGATTCTGGATACCTATGGGGGCAAAACTGGGTGCTAATATAATATGAAAGTCCATCAAGAATAGAGGTTTTTCAATAATTAGCTTCTCTGCAGTCTGCAATCCAAGCGAGTAATCAAGACGGTTACATATGAATAAATGTGTTGCTTGCAATGCAATGTATAAATAAAAATGCGCAGTTTGACTGGAATTTCAGCTGTTTGCAGAGTTCAGGATATTCCCTAGTCAGGCAGAAAGCCCATAATCAGGACACAAACCAACATTTAACACATCTACCAATACCGCCACATCACCACTCAACTGTTAAATCAATTCAATCAATAAGTCCAACCCAATTCAATTGCTATCGCAATTCTTAGAATATGAACAATGCACGCCTTTCAAGACATATGTGCCTATTTAGAGGAAAATGCTCTACTTGCCATGTACTTTTGCTGACTGACCAAATAATTTGTTTAATAACTTCTGAAATCACCGCATCCATATATAGGCGAAGACGGACATGGGTAAATCGACCAAGCTTGTCGTTCTGGTCAAGGTCCTATTATATACTTTTACAAATCCACGGGTACGATATTAATATTAATAATTATTCTTATTAATAATATATGTATATTATTTCATACACTTCAAATAGGGAATTAAATAATAAATTATATATATGAGGTTGACCATGTTAGACACTCGGCAAATCGGAATAACGGGAATAACTTGTCTTAAAGCTAAAAACTCAAAAATGTGATAACAATTCAAATATTTATTTCAGAGTTACAGTGCAGGTGCGTCACCGTAAATAGGCCTCTAAATAGAAATATAAATTATATTATAATTTTGAATCAAATATAAAATAAAAAATAATTAGGCGAGTTTGTTTAACAAGTTTGAACAAGTTCACATAACGGGATGCTATCTGTTTGAAGGGCGCTAATAACCATGATAAATATTTTAATGGTGTTTATAATAATCTAGCAATGCTAAAAATGATCAGGGCAGTGATAATAATACCTAGTTCGAATCCTGCCTGCGGGCCTCAACCACTACATAATACTCACTCACGGTCATTTCAATCGTTTAATTCTGAGTTTCTAGCTTTAAAACTGTACAAGATATTGTTAATCATTATTGATTAATTTTTTTTCCCAATCGCAACATGAATTGACGTAACGATGATTGAATGTTCAGACACAACTGTAAATATTACTGTTTATATAGTCAGTATCATCTGCAGTTAAAGCCTGTGAATTACAGGGAAAATTAATAAGAATTACTACTACGTTCTAAATACATAATATAAGTTTTTAAATTTTAGATAATTAGAATATCGTTTCGTTCGTAAGTTTTCCGTTTTTATCTAAGTTTGAGATATAAAATTATTTTTATTTTGTTAAGGACGAATCAGGCTTATCGGTATTAATTTCTTTTCAGGTGAAGGCAAAGAGTCGACAGAATTTGCAAAACAATTTTTGGAGCGACGTAGCAAATACAAGAGCCTGCAGCGTGCGCAAAACGCGCATAACGACGATATGTGCAAGCCTGCTCCGGCTATAACGCCGTCGTGCAATGATAATGGAGATAACAAGGTAATCCGATTTGATTTCAACTTTAATATACATATATAAAGCTGCTTAATTTGTGTCTATTTGCAGAACAAACAAAAGAAAATTAAAAAAAATAAAATGACCAAAATGGATGCTCGCATTCTTGGTTTCTCGGTAACTGCTGCGGAGGGTCGCATTAATGTTGGAGGTCGCGATTATGTTGATGGCCCGTAACCTTGAGAAGAACGAGAAGAACAGCTCCTTACATTAAAAAGAACGAGAAAAGTTATTAGCTATAGAATTGACATTGAATTTGAATTGAAAAACAGGTCACAATTGGATGTGGTAATAAATCTGTTATAAATAAAAGCTCATATATATATATATATATATATATATATATATATATATATATATATAACAATAACAATAAACTGTTGTATCTGCAGACTCAAAATGTCTATATACGTATGGTTCATATTTATATGCTTTACATATGCTTATATCCTAAAAATATGAAAACATTTTAATTTTCCAGAAAGAGACTATTGAAAACTTTAAGAGACCCATTTATTTTTCCCAATTATCTGAGTGCCAATTTTTGATTCTTTGGCTGGACAAAAGTATTTTGACAATTCAAACTTATTCAAAAAAATAACAAAATGTTAACTTTGGTGAAAGTAACAAAATTTTTAATAACAAATTCCGGTTGACATCAATGACCTTTTGTAAGCATCTAGGAATTGATTTTACAAAAAAAGACCAATCTAGTGTAATTACTTATGACATGGAGCGTTTTCCAGCTGCAATATGAATTTCTCTCCAATGAGCCTGTCGCCGGAAGTGAATGCGTGGTCATTGAGGCTACGTAAATATTTATCCTTATTCATCGTTCCATCAATGGGTATCATATCACCCAATCCATTGAAGCACACTCAACACCAAAACATTACTGATCCTCCACCATGTGGTACCCGTTCGTACACGGGTCGCACTTTCTTGCGAGTATTTCTTGGCAACCTGTAGTTAATCTTTTTCCTTGAGGCATGATACTCTAAAGAGCTTTCGTCTGTCCATAAAACTTGCTTCCAGAACGATTGCGGCTTGTTTATGTAGTGTTGGGCAAATTGTAACCTTTTACGCTTGTTTTTTGCTGAAATCGAATCCTGTAGCCGTCTTTCGATAGATTTCTTACTAATTGCTATATTGTGGTGCTCCTTATAAAGTGGCGGTGTTGGTAGAGTTGATGCGCGTTGCGTAAAAATTGTGGGTTCGAATCTTGATGTCGTAATGTCGATTTTTATTTGTTTTTTTTTTTTTTAATACTCGATACAAGAGCTTTCTTACTTGTTTTTTTTTGTTTATCTGGTAATAAATTGTTTGTCTAGCTACGTGGTATAATCTGCTAAGGTATTCTATGGAAATACCTACATTATACTTAGTGACTTTGTTCCTTAAAGCTTTCAATATAGTCTCTCACTGAAAAATTAAAATAATACCGTTACTTCTCTCAGTCTGCAGTAATAAATAGTTTTCAATTTGGCAATTTTTTGTTAAAATATTGTTGTTCACCATTATATGTTAACACATATTTGAAACCGTAAACCGGTGCTACGAAGCTGATTGACTTGCATTTTAGTATAATTTTCCCATTTTTTTTATGTAAAACAGTTCATTTATTTCGTCGATCCACACTTGAAAACTATCCGAGTAATGGGAATTTTTATGTTTTTGTGTATTCCTTGTTTTATGCCGTCGGTTTGAAACCTCTGTTCCGTTGCGCCGGAACTTACATTCAAGACACGTTTGCTGTGGTCCGTGCTTGTTGCTTCCCAATAGTGAAGGCGGCGAATTGGGTTGGTCCACTTGGATTTCTTGTTCGCGTTTGCGCTTAGTGGCCACATGTATAGCAGCAGTAACTGTGTTCTGTGTATATACATATATATACATAAATCATATGCGCATGTATTTAACAGTGAGCAAGCAATACCTTATGTGGGAAAGTGACGGCATAATGTGACACCCCAGTAGAAAATTTGCTAATATGCCGATTTTAAATTTTAGTTGATAGATGTTTATTCATACATGTTCATTCATACATCGACAAAACGCTATTTAATATATATATATATATATATATATATATATATATATATATATATATATATATATATATATATATATATATATATATATATATATATATATAAGGACAGAAAGAGAAGAGAGTCAGCGCGTAAATACAGCTTTGTTAGCAATAGCATTGGCAAATTGAAAATCGAGTCGGGAGTTTCCAGCCGAATGATTGCAGAATTTTACATGGGGAGGGTTGAAAGAGAATAGCCCCAGGCCTTGGCTTTCGCTGCGTGCGCGAAAGACAAGAGGGGATAGCGGAAGGAGTAGGGAGGTGAGGTAAAAATGAACAATGGTTGTCGCTTTGTGCTGGTGGCGTGTGACATGTTCGCGCCTTTGTTGTTACTGTTATTATTTGGTCTTTCTCGAGTGCATTTGTAAGCCCAAACTGTATACATTGCGCAATCCAATAAACAAATTAACAACTTTTGTTCTTTTCCACTCGAGTAATGCTTAATAACACACAGCATTAACTTTAAATATAGACAGCAAAGAATATACACATATATTATTATTTATAAAAAACAGGCTTGTCTTGGTAGTAAATATACGACAAGTTCAAACGCAGAATGAACTTATCAATCGAGTATGTTATATACTCGAATTGATATGTACGTTTTCATCAAGCTATTAAGAATATCTCTACTTGGCTTGGAAGTTGGATGTAGGTCTGTGTACATATAGACCCATAAATATGAGAGAATATATGTGTGAGTAGATATATGTAAGAAAGATTACCTATAAGTATAAGTAGTATAGTGACTCTATACTAATGTGTAGGTGTAGACATTTACTTATGCGTATACTCTACTACTACACACATGCCAATTATCGGCTATATTTTATTGGAATATCGGATCACTTACGAATGTAACTCTGCAAATGAGCGATCGTAACTAGTTATCAGCTAGTACTTATGCAGAACTGAAATATATTAAGTAGATAAAATGTTCGATTGTGATTGCGATTGTGAACTGACACCTGTAACGTTTTATAAACTTATTATATTATATAAGATTAGGGCTTTATGTATATAAGACGTAATTCGTATCGTTGTCACGATGAAAACGTTTTTATTGCTGCCAATTGAATTATCTTATTGAGTTAGATGTACTTCGAATCGACAGATGTTGGTGCAGCCCCCGAAGCAACATCCCATGTAACCAGATACCTGCAAATTATCTGATTGAGCTGGTTATTCTCGCCCATGCAGGCTATACGGTTAGCTGGTGGTAGTTGCCAGCAACGCAAACAGTCCTCACATTTGGTTCTTTTTTGTAATTTGTCGAGCTCAAATGCAGCTCTTAGCGTTTACTGTTCCCCTGCCATTAAATAACGTTTTGTTTCAATGGCTATTTGCTCACACAGTGCCATATTCCTATCCTATGGGCCATGAAAATATTTTGTAACAATTGATAACAAAATTACTTATCATTAATAATTTATTTTATATATTTTAGGCACGCTCCCATGTTTTACGGCGAGCTTTACAAAAGAAACTAACCACACCACACATAAATGGGACGGACCCATCTAGAACACGCGTTCTCTGCGGTTTTTGTCTCAGCTGCAGCTTGGGCTTGTGCAGAAATTAGAAATTAGTGCACAAAAATTAGAATCTTACCTTCTGATTTGCAGCATAGAAAAATTATGAAAGGGCTTGCCTGATCATTCTGTTTCGAAAGCGTATGAAACTGTTGCTGCGCTTAAATAAAATTTTTATCATTCGTAACGAACAGGCTCACAGGAATTTACAAAAACAGACGCGGCTGAGTTATGAACTTGTTTTGTATTATTTTTAACAATACTACTGACAAAATCTGAGTCTTGTATGTTTTCTAATCGATAGCTTTATCGACGATTGCGTCCTAGCTTTATCAAGTCATACTTTCAAAATCAGTGTTTCGAAATATTTTATGTTTACGGACAATACCTCCAAGTAAAATGCTGAAAATCAAGGAACCAAGGAACGTTCGAAATTGAAGAAGTGTTAAATTTTCATAGTACCATCCCATTTAATAAATGGGAAAAATTTGATACAATTGGTTTTTGGACTGCAGTTAGCAACTATCTAGAAACGGCTCGTAATTAATAGCACATAAGGTTTATATTTCTTTAATCTATTTATTTTGAAATATTAATTTTATATATATATATATATATATATATATATATATATATATATATATATTTATATATATATATGTATATATATATATATATATATATATATATAAATATAGATTACGTAAAGTAAATGTAGCCATAATTATAAAGTACCTGAAAAGTAGCTAAAATGCTTAAAAACAGGAGAGAATACATTTATGCTGACCTAGTCAAGTTCATAACATTATTTGATTAGACATACAAATTCTTATAAAATCAAAGCCAGCTGCTTTTCTATAGATTTACAATATTTGATTAGCTTTTTCTGGCTTCCCCAAGTCCTGAAGAGTGGACAGCACTGCTCACAATCCCTCTTTCACATATATTAGTTTTTATGTGCCTATGTATGAAATCATTCTGTCTATGAGATGTGTATGCTGTGTGCTAAGAACCTATACTAAGCAGTGAGAGTGCACGTTGAACTGTGTACACAAGAAGAGATGGGGCGAGACAGAGATAGAGATAGACATGCAAACTTAATGGAACTAATTTAACGGATTCACAAGATCTCACTTCTACACAGAAGAAGAGAGTAGTAGCAGTGAGGCAGCAATGATAACGTAAACTTAGAGAGCACATAATTCTTGTTGTTGCAGAACAGTTTTCTTTGTATACCTATGGAAAATGATCATTTTGTATATAATGCTTGTTGCTAATGTATGTAACACGCAGGACGCGATGTGTTTGATCCATGAAGGTATATACAGTGAATCATTAATGTCTTCATAAAGCCGCAACTTTTCTTCTGAGAAAAAAGGAATACAATTTATAAGGCGAGAGAAAATTTAGTTTTATGAACTATTTAATGTTGGTTAGTGTAAGAGTTGTAACTAGAAAGCCATGTGAAACCATGGGAGGACATTTCATAACTTTTTCTTAAAGTCAATAAAAAGCGATGTCTTGATTTGTTTTTTAAGCGTTAAGGTTGACGAGCTCAAAACAGATTATGACTGTCATTTCCAATTGCTTCCAGAATTAAAATTGAGTGGGCTTGGCCTTCTTTGGATACTGAAAATTATGATAACATGATAACACTTCCTCGTATTTTTTGGCAGAGAAGGGA